GAGAAAAGGTTAGATCAAAAAGAATTAACCTAGAAGGTAACACCCACGCACAGGAAATCAATGTGAGTCAATGCCCTGTATAGCTATCCTTATCTCAACCAGCAAAAACCCTTGTTCCTTCCTATTATTGTTTATACTCTCTGTACAACAAAATTAGAAATAAGGGCAAAATAGTTTCTGCTGGGTATTGAGGGGGGGAGGGGAGGGGGGAGTGGGTGGTAAGGGAGGGGTGGGGGCAGGGGGGAGAAATGAACCAAGCCTTGTATGCACATATGAATAATAAAAGAAAAATGAAAAAAAAAATAAAATACACATCATGGTAAAAAAAAAAAACATATTTGAGATTGAATTGGTTATTTACTGTTGCACTTAGTGGTTCAAAACAACAAACATTTATTATCTCGGTCAAGTTTTTTGAATTAGGAATTTGGGAGTGGCTTACTTGGGTGATTTTGGACCTCTCCTGTCCCTTGATGGGCCTCGTGTTTGTTAGGTGTTGGTCAGAAGCCTCAATTCCTCATTATGTGGGCCTTTTCATAGGGCTGGTCAGATGTCTTCATGACATCGCAACTGGCTTCCCTAGAGTGAATAATAGTAGAGAGGAAAAGATAGAAATTGCACTGACTTTATGACTTACTCTCGAAAGTAGCACATTGTTGTTTCTGCCTTGTTCTATTTGAAGTAAGTGACTAAGTCAGTCTGCACCCAAGAAGAGAGGACTGGGACTCTACCTCTTGAAGGAAGGAATACCAGAATCCTCCCATATTCCAACCTCTGGTCACAAATTGTTTACCCTCTTCTCATCTGCAGTAACCTCTCCCAGAAGCTATGGCCTCAGCTGGAGATCCAGTACATCAGCCTCTACGTCTAGTTCAGACGTGCTTCTTTCATATAGTTGTTTTCTAAGCATAGCTCCTTCCATCCATAGGATAACAGACACTTCTGTTTAAAAAATGGGAAAACAGGAAATACAGGATAATTGGGGGGAAAATAGGAATCAGTGAAATAGGAGCCTTCTGAAATATACCTGAGCACAGATTGGCAGTTCCTTGATTAAAACTCAAGTCCTGGGAATAATTTTTCATCACAATTGGCATTGCCTTCTGGATTGTCCTTTTTCATGAAAGGCAGTCCTTGTTTGTAGCTGCATAGTTTTCTCAGCCAGCTCTTGGCTTATGGAAGCTAAGACTTTCTTTCATTTTGTTTTTGTCTGTTTCTTCTGTCCAAGCTGGTATGTTTCTGTCAACGTAGTCATCTTCATTTTGTTCATCTTTATTTCCTTTGATTCAAATTGGATTCAGTCTATTAGACAAAAGCCACAACCACAAGTCTCTTTGAGATATCTCTTTTCTAACTTGAGCTTTTGCTGGGACTTGAGAAGTAAAATTCTAAGCCTCTTAGGAAATGTGTTTAACTGAATGTTTGTCTGGAATTCTATCTCAGAGCTTTCTGAGATCTTTACATAAGATTATATAGTCACACCCTTCAGCTTCATCTTTAGATTATGCTTTCTTGACAGTGCCCTGGATTTTGTTTTTGCCTGGAAGCCATTCTTATGTTTAGCATGGCTAAAATGGGTAGGAATGTTCAAAACCAGCAAGTTCTGACTTGTTTTTATTCAACTGTGTTTTTTCTAACCTCTCTCTTCTGTTACATTTTCCTGTAAGCAGCAGGAATAAACTAGGTAACACCTTCAAAGTTTGCCTTGAAATCTCCTTAGCTAGAGCACCCAGTTCAGTAGTTATACTTTTTGTTTTCCTTTTTACTGAGCATGACTTCCTGTGGCTACATAATAAGGACGTTTTTTTTTTTTTTTTGGTCTAGTTCCCAGTGAGATTTTCTCACCTTCCTTTAAGCTTTTACCCATAGCTTCTCCCATGGTCTGAATGTTAGTGTCCTCCAAAAATACATACGTTGAAACTTAATTAACAGGTGATGCTTTTGAGAGGTAATTAGGTCATGATGAGACTAATATCTTATAGAAGAAGCTGAGGGAGCTTCTGCCCCTCTGTCCCTTTCTGCCATATGAAGACCCAAAAGGTACCATCCATGAGGATCAGACCTTCCCCAGACACTGAGTCTGATGGAGTCCTGATCTGGGACTTCCTAGCCTCCAGAAATGTACATGGTAGATTTCTGTTGCTTTTAAATTGCCCAATTTAAGATATTTTGGTAGAGCAGTCCAAGCTGATTGAGACAGCTCCCCCAAATCATCATGCTTCTACAGAACTTCTTCAATGCTTTTCTAGCTTTTACTCACCTCTCAAAAAGTCCATTCAACTTCCCGTAGCCTGATTTCAAGCCACTTTCACATTTTAGGTTTTGTTACAGCACCATTCAAGATCTGGTTGCCAAATTTGTATTAGCTACCTATTAATACAGATCAAGTCATTCCAAATTCAGTGCCTTAAATCAACAAATCTTGTATTGTCTTAGAGTTCTGTGGGCCAAAAATTCTGGAGTGGGCTACCTGGCAGTTCTGGATTAAAGTCCATTCATGAAAGTTGAAATAAAGATGTTTGGCTGATCCTGCAATAGTCCAAAGACTTTGAATGGGGCTGGAGAATCTGCTCCCAAGTTCACTTATCTGATTGTTGGCAGGATGCCTAAATTCTTCACTATCTGTTAGCCAGAGGCCTCAGTTTCTTACCTTGGGTTGCTTGACTGCCCTCCATGATATGGCAGCTGGCTTTGTCCTACTATGACTGAGCCAAAGAGAGGGCAAGTGAGACCGAAGTCACCACATGTTCCGTAATCTACCGTCAGAAGTACTCTGTGACTTCCACTTTAATCTGTTTACTGGAAGTGAGTCCATCCCACTCTCCAGAGGAGAGAAATGAGGTTCTCTGAAGGGAGAAATATGAAAGAATTCATGAGTATATGTTAAAGTCACTCCAGAGATTGCACCACTTTCCTGCTTAAAAACTTTATAGCAGCTTCCTGTAATATGTAGAATAAAACATAAATTTTTTTTTTTTGAGACAGGGTATCAAAATATAGCCCAGGTTGATCCTCCTGCCTCAGACTCCTGAGTACTGGGATTAAAGGTATGTACTACCATCCCTGACTCAAAACATAAATTCTTTACCCTAATTCACAGCCTCACATGGCTGGTTTACCTGTCCCATCTCTTGGATGCTGGTTTTACACCTGCCTTCTTGCTCATTGTTCTTTAACCATTTCTGGCCTTACTTCATTCCTTGACAGAACAGGCTCATAAGAGCCCCCTCTCCCATCTATTTCTGCTCTTCTGGTATTTGCCAGCCTGGCTACTTGCTAATATGTAGATCTCTGCTTACGTGTCACTTCCTCATAGAAGGAAGACCAAACAATCTCAGGGAGAGCTACTCAGGTACTTTATATCACATTATCATATTTAAAAATTTTTGCATAACACTTACATTAAAATTCTTTTGTGTACCTGTTTATGTGACTATTATATTTTCCCAACTCCCTCGTTAGAATGTTGGTTACATGAGAACATGGGCTTTTTCTTTTTTTGTTCATTGCTGTTTCATCATTGCCTTGAATTTGGCATAAGATAGCATATAGTTTATGACTTTTGTGTGGTTGAATTATTGTTATTTCTTTATTCTGTAAACTTAATGGAGGCAGGATTGTAACCACTTAATTCTCAGGACCTGTCATCTGGGAGATACTTAAAATTTGTTGAAAAACAATGTGGTAAATGAAATTTAGAAAGATTAAATACATTTCTCTAGATTATTTAGCTAATAGTAGCATAGCCATGATGTAAACCTAGGCCTTTCTGTTAATTCTAAGATGCTAAACATACGAAGTGTTTGGCATGTAGTTTCTTCCTCTTCTCTCAATTCTCTATTCTGGTCTTTGTTAATATACCATATAAATTATTTCAAAGTTAAACTCAACACACATTTACTAGTTGGGATCTATGGGTTTTTTTGTTGTTGTTTTTCGGGGGTGGTCATTGGTGTTTCACTTTGTTTTGTTTTTGAGGCAGGGTCTTGCTATATAGCCCAGGTTGGTCTTGAACTCAGGATTCTCCTGCCTCAGCCTCCTGAATGCTGTGATAACAGGCATGTACCACCACGTTTAGCTATGACATTCTTTAATAAATACTGTTGTATGTCAGCATTGTTTATGTATTAGTTTTTTAAGATGTTTTTAAGATTTATATTTCTTTCAATGAGCTCAACTTGCCATCTGTTATGTTTTATTTTAGTGCCTAAAACCAAGTACTAAGCCAGGTGCAAGTGGTTCACGCCTGTAATCCTAGCTACTCAGGAGGCAAAGATCAGGAGGATCAAGGTTCAAAGCCAGCCCGGAGAAAAAGTTGGCGAGACATTATCTTGAAAAACCCTTCACAAAAATAGGGCTGGTGAGTGGCTCAAGGTGAAGGCCCTGAGTTCAAGCCCCAGTACCACTAAAAAAAAAAAAAAAAAAAAATCCAAAAACAATTACTAAAACTTTTGGTATTTCACTTACTGAGAGGTTGGTACAACAAAAGTTAAGAGAGATAGAAAACATAGATCAAGCGGGTCATTCTAAAGCATTTAGAGAATTCAAACATTTATGACACAAGTACTATTTTATACAACCCACACACCATGGTAAGCAATGGACTGGAATGTAGTGTATGAAGATTCTGTCTCTACTCTATAAGCAGCTACAGTCAAAGCAGAGGAAAGCAGACCTGAAGTAGTTTGGTTTTCTGTGGGTTCTGCGAATGTAATGATTTACCCTCTCCTACTCTCTGTATCTTTAAGAGTTATTGGAAGATCTGGAACTACATGTCCCAGATAACTGCCCTCAGGTGAACTTGAAATTATAATTAATGAAAGCATTGTATTGAGGAATGGTGCAAGGTACTTTGCCGGTTTCCCTGGGTTAAAACATCTAAAATTATTGATTTAATTCAATGTCTTGAACTTAGTTTTTCTTGGCCTTGATGGTATAGCTTTAAAAAAAAAAGGAATTGAGATAAAATTTAATCAAACTGCTTTTATCTTTATTTTTAGATTACCACACTTATTAATCATAAAGATAATACAAAAAAGTCGGATAAAACTCTGCAAGCAATTCAGCGTGTAGGACAAGCCGTCAACTTGGCTGTTGGAAGATTTGTAAAAGTAGGGAAAGCTATAGCCAATGAAAACTGGGATTTGAAAGAAGAAATAAATATTGCCTGTATTGAAGCTAAACAAGCAGGTATGTGGATATTGATTTTGAAAGCTGTTTATACCAATTTTATTGCTTTGGATATAACATTTTTTCTTTGTTTTGAGTAAAGATATGTACTATTTGTTAGCCTTCTGACAGTGGATGCCTAAGACAGTAAAGGCTTGAATTAGCTTCCAGGAATCTTGGCTCGTATTCTAAATCTGAAACAGTACTCTTTTCACTGGTCAGAGTAGTGGCATAGTACTCATTAGCCATTGAGATGGGAGAAATACTGTGCTGTGTGATGCCTGGACTCTGCCCTCGAGGCGTATGCTAATGTACTTGCTACCATATAGGAAATGGAAATAAAATTTAGTATGAACCAATACTCTACAGCAGACAAGTCACCATGAGTTCAACATGAGATGCCACAGTTCTCTATAGCTCATGTCACAGAAGCACCTCAGAACCTGAGGTGTTTAGAGGGCAACAAATAGTTCAGCTTTTTTGAAGTATCACTTACCCATTCTTTCAATGAATTTTTACTGAGTCATGGCCATATACCAAGCATTCTTCTTGGCTATACAGCCATGTGAAAATCACTAAAAAGTCTACCCTCATGGAGCTTGCATTCTAGTGAGGGAAATAGACCATAAACAATGAATAAAAAATTATATAATGTCAGGTAGTGATCATTATCATGGAGGAAAAAAGCAGGGTAGGGGTTAAGAGACCAGTGGAGGTGTTGTCAACTTTGACGCTATTGATATTTTATGCTGGATAATTCATTGTTGTGGTGGGTTGTTGTGTGCAAAATGTATAGTGTTTAATAGTATCCCTAATTTATACCTACTAGATGCCCGTAGATCATCTCTGCCCCATTGACAACTGAAAATACCTTCAGACATTGTTAAATGTCTCTCAAGGAATTAAAATGGCACCCATTTGAGAACTGCTATGATAGGGAGTTAGAAAGACCCTCTCTGGAAGGACTGTTGGAACAGAGAATGCAATCAAAATGAGGGCCCCAGCTATTTGAGTATTGGGGAAAGGGCATTCCAGGCAAGAAAAGTGAAAATAGGTAGGTACGCCTTCAGTCAATGACGGGAACTTTGGATATGTTTTAAGAGTGATAGAAGAGCTAGTAGGAGATTCTGTGCAGGACATTGGCATAGTCTCATTTCTGTAACTGATGAGTCCTATAGAAAGAGTAGATTTTAGAAGTGTGAGGGTAGAATCAATAGGCTGTTACAGTGGTCCAGGTGATGGACAGTGGTGACCTAGGTGAGGTGATACCATTTGAGGTAGTGCAAGGCACTTGCATTTGGATATATTGTCAGGGTGTAGCTGATAGGATTTGCTGATGCTTCATATGGGGGATGTAACAGAAAGAGGACTCATAGATAATTCCAAGGTTTGGGGTATAAATAGTTGGGTAAATTAAAATGGTGTGCCATTTCCTTGGATGAGCAACCAAAAGAGCAGGTGTTTTGGAAGGTCTTCAAAAAGAAAGAAATGGGTCTAATATGGCTGAGTGAATAATGTGGTACCAACCATATCAGACCCAGTTCTGTATATTACATGAATAACTTAAGATACCATTTCATAGATCATAGGGAGTCACTGAGGAATTTTGAGTCAGATGAAAGATACTGTTTTGTGTCAGAAATCATTCTGATATACAGAGGAAAAAAGAATGAATGAATGAAAGCAAGTCAAGAGAAGACTGATAATGAAGGCAGGGAGATTAATATGGAAGCTTTTACAATAAAAACATCTAGACCAAGAAAGTGTAAAAGGGTTATAAAGAACAGAAAGAATATACAACATACTTATTAAGGTGATTGAAGAGATAGAATGACATTGATAACTAAAGGTTAAGGGAGGACTCTGGGTTGACTTTTTGGCCATTTGCTAGATTAAGAGTAGGTTTTATGTGGGAAGCAGGGGAGATAGCCTTATTTTATTCACAATTTATATTTTTCCTACTTTTAAACAGGATATGGAATAGGTTATAATAAAAGACATGTTCAATGAACCCATTAGAATAAAGAGGCGAAAACAAATATACTAGATGCTTTGGCAAACATAATTATTTTAATTAAGCATGAAATTTTTCTTTGTACTTCCTGGAAGGTAAGACAGAAATGTGAGAAACAAAAGATTATATAATTCTCATTGTTTGCAGAAAGGAAACAAATGAGCTTGTAGGAGGAATCTTTTCCTGGCATCAAATTATTATGTGGGCACTTATAAAACAGATGTTTCATAAGGCAATGGATAGTCAGAAAGTACAAAGATATTCTTCACATTGTTGTTTCTTGTGGCAACCCTTGATAAAAGCAAGAGTAGGGTATTTTAAATGAAAGGGCAGCGTGAGGCCTACTCTCTCTTTGTAGTGTGCCACTGTGCTCAGTGTAGGGTGAAAGGAGCATGGAGCACACTGACAAGCTGCAGTGAGCCTGGGCAGCCATGCAGGTGGAATCTTTTGGAAGCCATCAGGTGTTATGGGTCCCATGTGTCCTTGCTTCTCATTTAGAGTGCCCTTTCTCTTTGCAGGAGTTGCCTCCTGTGGTCACTAAAGGAAAAGGAGAACCATGCCTCCTAGAGTTATATAATCGGGACCCTCTCCCCCTTTTCCCTCTTAAACATGTGCAAATATTAAGTCTTGACTTAAATCACTCCTGAAATGTTTCTGGTACAGTTCACCCTTACTGACCATTTTCTCCTTGGGCAATTTAGCATTCACTTGAGGAAAAGAATGCAAAATAGTAAGAAAAAACTAGAGCTTTAAACTTCAATTGTTCTTATCTATAAAATGGGGCTATTAATGCTTATACAGGAGATCTTGGTATAATAAATATATCATTTGGCACATAGTAAGGGCTCAACAAATATTAATGTCATTATAATAATTACTTTTGTTTCTTTCTCTGTGGTGAACCTGACACTGGTTTTACATTTTACTTGGCTACTAGGCAAGGTTTATATTTTATATGGTAACTAAATAAATATTTATGTTTGAGTGCCTTTGGGTTCACTTTAAGACACATTACTAGCTAGTTGCTTATAATAAATTAGAAATGACAACCAAGAAGTTATAAGATAGCTTTGTGCTTTTTCAGGGAACTAATTTCTGAACAATCTACACTTTGAACACTTTAATGTTGGGAAGCAGTTGACCATTTTGGTGGAGCTGACAAAACATTCCCATCCCACGTATTTGAGTTAAATGCCTGTGGTTCAGTTAGAAAAAAGAAAGTTAGAACAATGTCATATGCATAGGCTTCTATGTAATATCTTTGGTGATTGAGAGATACTCAAAAAATTAACATTTTCCATGGGATCAGCTATTGAAAAACTGATACTTGTCCTCCTGCCCCTATCTAGTTCCAAGCACTTTTGTTCTTTGTATATTTTACCATAAAAACTTTGTGATAGAAAACTTTGTAGTGCTATGTAACAAACTGACTCCAGAGTAGCACCATAAAATCACAAATGTTTATTATCTCACACAGTTTCTGAGTGTCAGGAATTGAAGTGACTTCCCTGGGTGGTTCTGGGTCAGTGTATTTTAGGATGTTGCATGAAAGTGTGAGTTAAGCCTTAGTTACCTGAAGACTTCAGGGGACTTCAAAGCTCCCTGTCATGGTGTTGGTAGGCTTCACTTCCTTGCTAGCCATTCCTCACCATGTTGGCCTCTCTGTAGTGAGGGTTGCCTGTGTCCTGGCAACTGGCTTCTGTTGGGGAAGGAGAACAAAATGACTGTTTCAGGTTTTTTGTAACCTAATCTCGGAAGTGACATACATCAACTTTTCTCCTACCAACCCTACATAGGGTGTGCATTCCAGTGCGTGGAGCTCTTTGAGAGGCCATTGTGGACTTTCATCTGTTGGGAAAGCTTCAGTGATAGCTATTACATGTTTGTCACCTAAATCTGCATCACCAGTCTGTATTTAGTAAGCCTGTGTGTTGTATATTCCTGTGTCATTTTAAACTCCTGTTGTCTGCAACTCACCATCGCCTTCCTGTGTCCTTTTGATTTTCTTTAAGTAACTTGGGTTCACAACTTGGAAGCCATTTTTCACTATTCCTGTCCTTATTGCTGGCCAGATACTGATTTTGTTTTCTTTCCTTAGAGTTTGCCAGGTCATCCTTACATTCCTATGATTGCCATCCTTGAAGTCCTTACTACCTCACACCCACAATTAAAATAGTAGCTTGGCTTTAAAAGTCTGTTCCTTCCACTTAGCCTGTTCTATAAGCTCCCACCAGACTGATCTTTCCAAATACTGACTTCAGTTGTTTCTGACATGTGGTCTGTCCACTAAGATTTCAATAGTTTTACTCGAGATCCTTAACCTAATGCTGAGACATTACTGTGTGTATATAATAAAATCGATGAGTGCTTTTGTGAGAAAACTAATCAGGCATATAGGTTTATTTGGGACTTAAACATTATCTTGAACACCAAAAGTTCATTATTTTAAAGTTCTCATTAACTATAATAGTAAGCAGTTTTGTAGAATATTATAGCCTGGTTTCATCTATGAGGAGAGCAAACATTCATATTTTTCTGATGAATAGTTGCTATTATAAAACAGAGAAGAGAATTTTTCTGGAGGTCTGGAAGTTTATTTGGTAGAGTGGTTTGTGCTGGGCACCATAAAATAAGTTTTAGCTGAAAACCTGAGAGAGAGTCAACCTAGATTTGAATTCTCGGGGATGGGGCTTTTGTTTTTTGCTTTCCGACCCCAAGTCTAGGCTGATGGGCTGATTGTTTTATTTTGCTCATCTGTAATTCTTTCCAGCACCCTCCCTCCCACTGCTTCATTGACGATATCATCTGTTAGACATAAATCCTTATCTTTCTGCTCTCCTTGGATGTCCCTACACCCAGACTCCTTCAGGTTGTGGTGAATGACAAGGCCTTGCCCCACACAAAACCTTGACAACTACTTACTGCTCAATAGAGGAGGGTGTTATTTGGGACTTTTCTTGCTGTCTTGAAGAGCAGGAGGCTTTTATATTGTATAGTTGGCAGTACCCCAGAAACAAAAATTACATTTTTCAAACTGGGTATTGGCAACATTTTGTCACAGTTCTGAGGAGTGTCCTCATATTTTCTCATTAGAAAGCTTCACATGAATCTTCAAGGTGAAACTGTTTCTTATTCTTGAAGTTTGGCTCTGGATCTAAGTTTTTCCCTATCATACATGTTATGTTCGAGATCAGAGAAAAGATATATATTATTACTGGAAGTTGCTTTTAACTAGATAAATGCTAGTAAATTAATCTGTTAAGTAAAAAATAATTCAGAGAAAAGTCTGATTTATTTTTTTATTTCAGTATCTTTTTCCCAACTTAACGTTCTCCCTTTCTCATTAGGAGAAACAATTGCAGCACTTACAGATGCCACCAACTTGAGTCATTCAGAATCTGATGGCCAGATCACCATTTTCACAGACAAAACAGGAGTTATAAAGGCTGCAAGACTCCTTCTTTCTTCAGTGACAAAGGTGTTGTTGCTGGCAGACCGAGTAGTTGTTAAACAGATAATAACATCACGAAATAAGGTACTTGCTTTTCTGATGTCGCTATACTTTGACTTTCAGGGTAGTTTGAAGTATTTTTTAGGTTAATTCCAGATAATTTGGCAAAGCTTGTCTGGTATAATTATTTAATGCTCATTGGCTATAGTGTTTCTTCCTAAATTATGTATATAATGGGTCTAAACTTTTGAATGCAGATCATGTTTCTCAGAAAATCATTACTTGTCTAGACTTACTGCCAAAGCTTTAACTGTGTGGCTGGGGATGTGCCTCAAGTAGTAGAGAGCCCTTGCCTCGCAAGTGTGAGGCCTTAAGTTCAAACCCAAGTACCTCCAAAGTACTTTAAATGTGTACTGTTTAGTAAGAAAAGCTAAGCACCAAGATAATGTATGTAGTACACACCTAGTTCACAAACATGCTGAATTCTTCAGTAGCTTTTTTTCCTAAGTCAGAGAGAAATAATTTATAAGCTTGTGATAAAATTAAATAATCTGAAACCATAATTATGCACAGCTACAAAACTTCTGTATGTAGAGTCCCTAAACATTCCTGAATAATTGCAAAAGGACTTAAATCCTGAATGGATTTAACCTATTCCAGTGCAGAGCTCATAAGGACTCTTAGACAGTGGTCCTGATCCTTGATCATCTGGGAACCCAGGGCATGTTAACAATGGTTTCTTTCCCTGGATAATTTCCTGGGAAGGAGGAGGGCAATGAACCAGCAGAGGGACTGTCTTATTGGAGTTTGAGGCCAAAACACATGATGAGTGTTGAGTGATCCAAAAAGTGTAAGTTTAAAGAGAAAAAGAAATTGGAGAGGTAGGTCAGGCAGTGCTAGAGAAAAAACAATCCTTCCTTTTTTGGAAAATGGATGCTTTGCTCAGTATGGTATCTGCCTTATCTGTGTAGTTGCCTGCGTTTCCTGAGCTGCCAGTGTAGGTTAACATGCCAAATATCCATCATTTCCTCATTAAAAATAAGTAAACACAGGATATCTGTGTTTTTTTAATGTCTCATAGTCTGACTAAAACTAATCCAGTACTGTTATTTTAGAGAAAAGTATTTGAAAATATGCTTTACATCTGTTTACTTTATTTATTATGTCAAGAAAACACAACATTATCTGTGGGGTCTTCTATAGATTCACACTCTGTATTTACTCCTCAATCCCTGAAGTTTCTTGGTAATTAATCTGTTTGACACAAGTAGTTCCTGACTGTTTCAAACTGTTTTCCTGTTCTTAAGTCCTAAACCAGCCTCCCTTTCTGAAACTCCTCACTCTGAAGATGACCTTTGTTCTGCTCTCCTCAGAATACTAAGATTCCTCTAATCCTGGCTCATTGAACTGTACAGTTTTTTTTTTGTTGTTGTATTTTCTTTTGTCTTTATTTCCTTCCTAGTTCTATAAAGATTGGATTACTATATTAGTTCATTTTCCATTGCTACAACAAAATTCCCAGGGCTGGATACTTTATAAAGAGAAGAGATTTATTTAGCTCCCACTTTGAGGCTGAAGTTCTAAGGTATGGCAGCCTCATCTGTTCAGTCTGTGGTGAGAGCCCTGTGGCAGATGGCATCACAATAGTGGGAGCATGTGTGAACAGATGAGACTGCCAGATCTTGTCATGGCAGGATAGGGAGCAGAGAATAGGAAGGGGCCAGTCTGGTGTTTTTCATAAAGAGGGTTCCATTAGTCCCTTCTGAAGGTAATGCCTCCAGTGACCTAACCACCTTTCAGTAGGAACATCTTAAAGGTTCTACCACTTCTCACATCAGTACACTGGGGATCAGAACAAGCTTCTAGCACAGGAACCTATGAAGGACACTTGAACTTGGACATTCTCACCTTGTTCATACTTACCTACATAAATGATCTTTTGTATATTTAGATATTTAAAAAATTCCTCCATTTAATTTTCAAAGGGAGCCCAGTTTGTCTCATCTTAAAATCAAATCATTCCCTAAGTGATTCTAACCTTTGTATCAGCTGCTTCTTCTTGGAGCTCTTTCTCTGTTTTCTTTTCTGGATCCTCCTCAGTTTTCCCCTACAGTTTAGAATTTCCCTTTTCCCCTCACTCTCCTCAGCCTTCAATGTCTCAGTTTCTTCCATATCTATCTCCCATTAATAAAATATTCTCTATTTTGCAGGTTTTTGCAACTATGGAAAGACTAGAGAAAGTGAATAGCTTTCAAGAGTTTGTCCAAATTTTCAGTCAGTTTGGAAATGAAATGGTGGAGTTTGCACATCTGACTGGAGATAGACAAAATGTATGTATTTACCACTTTTAAAAATTTTCAGACAGACATGTTTTTTAATTTGGATGGAGGCATAATCTTTGCTGTCTTGAGTTGGCTTCTTCGCTTATTAAACCTATATCTGTGGTCTTGAAAGCATTTCATAAATAAGCCAGGGTACAGTTGGTAGACTGATATAGCTTTTTTGCACACATTTAATAGTTAAATATGTTCCCGCTGAGAATAATCATAGTTGTCTGGGAAGTTTAACTTAAGTCCTTCTCTTTTATGAAGGAATCCATTTGATTCCTCTACCAGAGCTCAGACAAATAAACTATGTCATCATATGTATTCTTACAATATTTTGTTACGTGTTTCTGTTTTTCTTACCACAGTAGATTAGTAATAACTACAGCCTTGCTTTATTTGTAGCAGCTATGTGCTTAATATGCATGATTTCATTTAATTTTCAAAACATCCCTTTGAAGTAGGTGTTATTATTACTGTTTTACAAAAGATGAGGAAACAGAATCTGAAATGATCATAAACTTTCCTAAGGTCACTCTATTGTAAATTGGACTTAGATAAGTCCAGTGCTAAAGCCTGAGGTTCTTAACACCAACCACAACATGGTATCAGTTCTAGGATCTGATCCCCAATTCAGACCATAAACTCTTAAGTTTAGGGAGGTGGAAGACCAGTATGTCCAGGATTGGTTTTTCCTTATTGGGGTATTTGTGCATGAGTTTGTCTTGTCAGTAGGTTGAATGTATAATTATTGATCATTTCTCGAGATATTTCTGGGTATTGTTCTACAGGCTACTCCTTTAGTATTGCCCATGGGCTTTCATGGTTGCCCTTGGAGTTGGGAGATGGGTGGAAAAGTGGCAGTCTGGATAATGACAATAGTTTCTAAGTAAGCTGTTTTATAGGTACCTTATTGTTTCATTTTCTGTTCTGCTATCATTGTTCTTTATAAAATAAATTTTCTTTCTTTTCATTCTTTTTCTCTTCATCTTCTTCCTCCTCCCTCTTCACCTGTAAAAATTATTAGCATGAGTTTTTTTTTACAGTAATAATGACAGCTTAGCATCTAACATGTTTTTGGTCACTTGAGCAAGAGGTATAGTTTGTAGGTTCCACAGCATCTTCCTTCATCTGTACTTTCTACTGGATCCTCTTCTGCTTCTAGACATAACTGGATGACTTTTGCCATTATTTCAGTTTATTACAAGGAATTTGGTATGGAGAATTCTTTTCCCCAAGGCTAGTAAGACTATGATCCAATATTTTAAAACTTGTACACTTTGGCTGAAGAGGTACCTGTTTTTGAATTTTAACTTATCAAATGTGGGGTTCCTGAATCTTACTAGCAGCCTTTTTGGCATCTTTGTGTTTGATAAGTGCTACTCCTGGATCACTTCATGGAATATGCTTCCAGGGTTCAAATGATAACATATATGATATGATAACAGTGGCTGTCAGCCAGATTCATTCATTTTACTCAGCAGATATTCATCAGCTACCTGCTCTGAAGCAAAAACTGTTCTAGGCATTGGAGATAGAGCTCACATTTTAGTGGGGTGGGAGGAGATAGACAGTAAAGCAGAAACATTGACTGCTTGTAACTGAAACCTCTGAAAGTAAAAGTGTGGATAAGGGGATACTATGTCTACATTGAGGCAGTGACAGTTTATAAAACCATGCTGGATTCTTTTTATCTTCACTTAATAGTGTTACTAAATTGAATGTTGTTATTGAGTAAAATTGGGTTGCTTATATGATCTTAGGCTACTCATTGATTTCACTCCACTTTTAGGATTTGAAAGATGAAAAGAAAAAGGCAAAAATGGCAGCAGCCAGGGCAGTTCTTGAAAAGGGTACAATGATGCTTCTCACAGCTTCAAAGGTAAGAAGGTTTTTTTACTATATTGTCAATTAATGATTAGAAAACCAGATTAAATGCTTCCAGTTTATGTACTTTACATTTTTTAAAATAAATTAAAGTAATGATGTAGAACCTAGGCCTGAATTGTCAAATCTCAGTTATTTGCAAGATGCTAAACTTTCTTCCCCAGCTCCAAACAGTAGTCTATGAGTCAGCTTTGATTCAGCAGCTAAGTGGGAGAGGTGAATTAGGTGCTATGAATTCAGCCTGTCACTCCCTCAGGGTCTGCATGTTCCCTGAGGAAAAGCATATGTGCTGTAGACAAAGCTGGACAAGTTATGATAGGTTAAACGGTGGGGTGTGAATCAGAATCAGCCCTTAGTTTGTTTTCTCAGTAAACTCATACCTCTAATTCCTTTTTCTACTTCTTCAAAATTCTCAAGCAATAGCTTGTATTTCCAAACTTCCAATTTGCAACTTGCCTGCAGGTGCAATCCAAGAATGAACTAGTAAATATCTCATTAGCTGTTTGTTTAGAATTTTTTTCGAGTATTTACTTGTCTACTGGGATCAGGGAAGCCATGAAAATGGAGACTTCATGAAACCTTTTCAGAAAACTGTCCTGTGTAGCCCCTAGAGTAGGGTTTTTTTTTTCCCACATCATTTTTTAAAAGTCAAAGATGTAGCCACAGTCATAAATCATATTGTTCCTTTTTTCTTTTTTTAAGTTTTCACATGTGTAAGGCACATTTAAAAATAGTTTGATTCATGATGAGGAAATAATGGGTTTTTTTCTGCAAAAAAGTTTTTAGGTAAACTTATTGTTGAAATATAAAGATATAGTTTTGCATTCTGCATTTTTTACTTAACCTTGCTATCACTTTTTACTCATCCTGCTTCCACTTTAGTGAGGAGAGGCAACTGGGGGAGCCAGGGACCCAGGAGATTTGGGTAAAGAATCATTTTTATTAGCATGTTATGTTCCCTGTAAGATTTTATTTGTTATGATATGGGCCAAATATTAAAATAAAAAATGTAATTGTTTTGAAGACATGTCTCAGGCATCCCAACTGCGAATCAGCCCATAAAAACAAAGAAGGAGTGTTTGACCGAATGAAAGTGGCTTTGGATAAGGTTATTGAAATTGTGACTGACTGTAAGCCAAATGGAGAGGCTGATATTTCATCTATCAGTATTTTTACAGGAATTAAAGAATTCAAGGTAAGAACTGCGTATATTTTGGTTTTTTTCTTTCTATTTTACGAGCATTGTTAGGTTTAGTGCCCATGCTTTTGTGTAATGATTTAGAATGATGCTTCACAAAAGCAAATGTACCTCTTTAAAGCAATGCCACTGTGTATAAACTTAATGTTCAGTGATTTTTGGCTTAGTGTTACATTTACAAAAAACTCTAGCTTTTGTTTATAGTAACTACTCTGGTCTATGGTTTGGTTGTAGCCTGCTATTTAGAAGAATGTTCCCTTCCTGTGTCTTTTGAGCCGTGCCATACCATACATAGCAAATCATTTCTGCTAGAATTCCTGCTCTTCCTTGTGTTGAGGGTTGGTAACTTGAGGCTGTAGCAATAGTAATAGCATTAACAATAACTGAAATTCTAACATAAACAATAATATACACTAACATTTTTGAATCCTTACTGTGTGTCAACCCTGGTCTAAGTGCTTTGACATATGAACTCATATAATCCTCAAAAGAACTATTGTCATTATCCCCACTGTGCTGTTGAGGAGACTGAGAGACAGAGATGAAATTAACTTGCTGGTGAGGAAGTACCAGAGTTAGGATTTGACTCCAGGCAGTCTTGACTTCTTGTTAGAAGTCTGAGAGATAGTGATGATGCTGTGTGGCTAAGAGCAGTGTCTGAGTCTGGGGGTGGGGAGGGGAGCTAGGAAATCATCTAGTACAATGTCCTCATTTAACAGATGGAAAGATCAAGGCCCTGTGAAGTTATCTAATATGCTAAGGTTACCCATCTCTAGCAAACAGAGCTGAGACAGGATGGTGTTCTTTTCATCTTCCTACACATTGGCTTCTAATTTGTGAAGGCCTATGGAGGAACATGGATGAAAGAAAATAATGGAAAGAACATTTCTTTTTAGGGCCCTGCTCCTAATAAATTTGTTTTCTTATTTAATTCTTAACTACCCTTTTAGGTGATTTTTTTAATACCTGTTTTGAGAAGAAGAAAGCTTATGAGTGGTGGAACTCTTCTTTAGGGCCCAGATTCTCTAGTCCCAAAGTGTATGACTTTTAGCTTGTACCTCTGGGCTTGTTACTCTGATGCTAGTTCTACTCCATATCCCTTCCTGAGGACAAAGAAGCCACAAGGACTAGTCATTCCCTTAGAAATGTTGTTGCCAAAAGGGATGTTAGAGGAACTTTCTTGATCCCCTCTTTTCATAAATGCTGTGGGAGGAAGTGGTTGTCAAAGATCATAAGATAACTAGGGAAACGAGTAGAGTTAGAAGGTATTTTGCCCCCACCCCAGCATTTCTGTTTCGTGGTGAGCAGGAGCTGTGCTCTGACTGTGGCTGCTTGCTGACTGCCTTCACTGCTGACCCTTGTATGAGAGGCACTCCAGAGAGCAGGGCTATTGTGACTATGCTCAGCATCATTGTCACCGGTTTCTTTTGGGCATCTTATTTTTTTCTGATAGAGAGTAGGAGCTATCGAGAAAAACTGGATACTTTCCTGTATTTGATATTGTGAACAAATGGACAAATCTTATAAACATACAGACATGAATAGTCTTCAAAAAGACCCACAAAACTCTGTTAGGTTGCTGTTTTAAAACGTGTATATGTTCTCTCTAAAAGGAAAATTTAAAAAAATCTTTAACATAAATGATGTGAGGTCCACATGACTAATTTTTATGTTTCAATTATTAAATTCTCAAATCCTCATTATTAATTACATATATCCTTTCTTACCTGTCTACCTAGAATGGAGTGATAATTGGACACAACCTGGACCAAGGGAAGGGGCGACAGGCACTCCACTATAGCCTCTTGACCTTCCCAAACTTCGGTGTTTTTCATGGGTCATGTTAAAACGGGTCATTTGTAAGGGTTAACTTGAAATGTTTGTGGCGGGGCTTTAAAGTGCCAAGCAAATGTAAGCTATCATCAGCTCATTCACTGTGACCACAGTCATGATCATTACCACTCTTTGCCCTTTGGCCCAAATTGTTTTTGTGATATATTTCATGGGCTTGAGGTTAAAGTTGAAGTCACAAAGTAAATCTTTGAAAGCTGAGAGACAGAAAGATTGCAAAGTGAGCATGTGTTCATCACACATTCAAAGAACTTTAGACACAAGATGGCTGAAGCAAAACATTGTGTGGGGGCTAGGGAGGTGAGATAGACTCACAGAGAGGTTTTGAAAGAAAAGGCCATATCCATACCAGGTTTACTAAGTTATTATTTTTTTTTTCATTTCTTACTTCTTAATTTTTTTTGGTAGTACTGAGATTTAAACTCAGAACCTGATGCTTAATAGGCAGGTGGTCTACTTCTTGAGCTAGACCCCCAGCCCCATAGCAGGTTTTGTGCTAAAAGTTTAGCCTTGATTCTCTAGATAGGGAGGAGCTGATTCTAGATTATGTGACAATATCCAAGTGTCCTCGATCACTAGGACAGTTTTTGCTGGATTAGGGAAGGCAAAATTTCTATCTTTCCCAGTCCCTCTCATCATCCACACCTTCCCCAGCCATGCTTCTGAGCTAAGCACGCATGTATTTAGGTATAATTTATCTTTCAGGACTTTGCCTAGTGATTTTTCTCAGATGCAGATCTTTTATCTGGAGGCTAATTTGTTTTTCCTGTGAGTTGTGGGTGATGGTGCTTTTACCACCTTAGTGTTCACTGATCTCCTGGGAATGTCATTGTAATAACAATGGGATGAGGCTTTGCATGGCCTCATTGATGACTCTTGAGCAAAGTGTCCTCCTGGGTTACCTTAGAATTTAATTATTATTGGAGGCTGTATTTTCCCCTTGGTCTGGGAAAGAAATTGCTGGTGTTTTCCTGAGCATTCTTAGAAATTATAGACAATTTTGGTTTGGTGGGAATACTCACATGGATGTATGTTCTTTTTGTTCTAAGATGAATGTTGAAGCTCTCCGGGAGAATCCTTATTTACAGTCCAAAGAGAATCTTTCTGCAACATTGGAATTCATCTTGGAGCATACAGAGGATTTCACTGATTCAGCCTACACCAGCCATGAGCACAGGGAACGCATCTTGGAACTGTCGACTCAGGCGAGAATGGAACTGCAGCAGTTAATTTCTGTGTGGATTCAAGCTGTAAGAACTGTTTTCATCAAAGTAAATCTTATATAATAGTTTCTGCTAATGTTTTAAGAGATGTGGAAGCCAACATAATCATCAGGAGTATGAATTTGCTCAGCATGGGACAAGGTTGTTTCATCCCTTTTTTCCCTTCCTATTGCCAAAAATATCCTTTCCATCCAGCACTCAGAGTACCCAACATTTCCAGCCCTTTTGATTCTCTTCCTGGCCAGGCTAGATTCTGTGCCACTGTCATACTGTTGTCCCCACTCTTTCACCAAACTCACCTCTGGAAAATTCCTCCCCAAAATACTTCTTCAGAGTGAAGAGCAGAGGAGTAGACCCCTACATAGAGGTTCTTGGGACCTGAGTCTTACTGCTGGAGCCATTCAGATGTGAACAGTTCTTAACTCTGAGGACAGCTGATTTACAGACACAGCGGTTTAGAACACTTTTTGAGGTCTAGATGCAATGAAGATAAGGGTAGATCCAGCTAGCAGGTAAAAGATCTTCACCTCTGCACAGATTCCTGGCTTAAATTGGTGGGCAGACACTTATTGGGCTACAAATAGGCTGCTGGCTTACTTAAAACATAAGAGACTATTTGGGCAGGATTGGTAAAGATGACAGAAGCGGAATGACATAGGAAGTGTGTTCCCAACCTTACAGCAGTGGATTACAAAAGAGAGAAATGGGCCTGAGACATGTCTCTGGCACCTTTTATTTATTTCCTAGACCTAAGCTCTGTCAAAAAAGTGTTTCACAGCAGCGGTAGAACAAATCTGGGAGTGATGAACAAAAGCTTTGGCAGTAAGAATGAAGAAGGAGGGTGAATGTGGCTGTGATGAGGGTGATTGTGAAGAACAAAAGCTGCAGTTTACTTCCTGGTAACTAAATTGTCATATAAATGAAGAGTAGATATTAGTCTCAGATATTGTCTAGGCACCACAACAGTGCAAATGCCCATATTTATAGTAAATCTTACCCCAGAGTAGAGTGGTATAAAAGATTTAAATAGTACCTTGTGCCTGGTTTGAATTATTACATAATATCAAATCTAAAGAGTAGTAAATTTTAAGCTCAACATTGAATGTAAAGTTTCTTGTAATGAAATGCTCTGTTGGGAATCTCATTCTATCAACACTTAAATTTGCAGCTCATACACTTCACATGTTTCTCAAGCATTCAGATCTCTGATTCTTCCTGCCAGATGTACTTTTTCTCAGTTCATTTTTCCCAGTGGTTATTGCTGTTATATGTCAGGCACCAGAAATCTAAAGAAGAATCAGATAGAAAATTTTTCCCTGCAATAATTTTACAACATAGGAAAATGTGGGAGGAGGTGGGTCAAGGACAAACAAACAAACAAAAAAAGCTTTGTAAGTATCCTAAGAGAAGGTATAGGCCATGTGTTGAGAGGGTTTGAAAGAGGATGAATTTATATTATATTTAGGAAGGGGAATCAAGAAATCTTTATGAGGGTATTGATATTTAACTTTGATTTATTCAGTCATGGAATTGAATAGCTAATGCTGTGCCAGGTACTATGGATTCAGTGGGGAACAAAATAAATGTGATCCCAGACTTTGTGGAGCTTCCATATGTCAGTTGAGGAAGATGAATTTTGAATAGTCAACATTTTAAAGAAAAATATGTAATTGCAAACTGAAATGGTTACTTAGAGAAAATATTCAAGTATATTAAGGGGATCTAGGGCTGTTGATGTGACTCAAGTGGTAGAGCACCTGTCTAACAAGGCCCTGATTTCAAACCCTAGTATTTCTCCCTCCCCGAATAAAACGAAAGAAAGAAAAGAAAGCAAAAAGCCTAATTTCATTTAGATGGATGATCTGAGAGGACCCTTCTGAGAAAGGTCATTTTGTAAGTTCTTAAGAAAGAATAGAATTTTGGTTTTTAATCATGTTAAAGGTGAAGGAATAAACACTTCAGGCAGAAAATAAGAGATTAGTTTCAGAATGATGAATTTATTTTGGAAAATTAGGTTTTAAAAATACACCTGTTTATACTTAGTGTGGTAAATACAACTAAATAACTAAAATTCTATTTTACCACTCTAGACAGGCAATTTTAAAAAATACACTTGTATACTCAAATTATATTAAACATTTATTATAATTCATAGTTCTAATAAAATTGGAATAACATTTAAAAGATGAGCTTACCCTACATATGTGCTGCTTAAAATTTTTAGCAAAGCAAGAAAACAAAAAGTATCTCTGAAGAACTGGAACTCAGTATTTTGAAAATCAGTCACAGTCTCAATGAACTTAAGAAAGAAGTAAGTATAATTTGAAATTTAGCCTCTTCAATTCTTTTCTACTTTTCATGTTGTGTGATAGGTATAAAATGCATGTCCCTGTGCTTAGAAAATGGTTTAAAAGTTTCCCTCTGTTCATTTGAAGCCACCATTTTTAGTGCCATCATCCTTAAAGCTTATATATGAGTACTCATACCAGCTTTATTACGGCCCAAAACTGGAAGCAACCTAAGTTTCCATCAACAGAGGGATTGATAAATGACTTTGGTATTATTGTACCAAATACTATTTAGCAAAAAAGGAACAATACTGATATCTACAGCAATATGGATGAATCACTAAAAGATTATAATGAAGGAAGCCAGGCAAATAAGACGTGCACATGCATGTGTGTGTGTGTGTGTGTGTGTGTGTGTGTGTGTGTGTGTGTGTGTGTGTATGTTTCCATTTAGAAAGAATTCTAGACAAGGCAAAATTCAGTTTAAATGATGGAAAGCAGAGAAGTGGCTTCTAGGGGTTAGGAATTGAGGAATATTTACTGTAAAGGGGGCAAATGTTTGAATTCTTGATTGTAGTGCTGGTTATATGACTGTGTGTTTGTAAAACTCACCAAACTGTGCCTTTAAATTGGGTGCATAAATTAAATCTCACTAAAGGTGATTTTTTAAAAATAACCTTTGAGTTGAGAAGATTCCCTGTTCATATATAAAATTGTGGTCATCCATGACTTACTAGGCCACTCAGGGAATTGAAAATCTGTGGCCACTCTAAGTCAGGGGTTTGTTCACACACAACCGTGGGGCCGTCCAATTTTGTAAGTAGTGTTTTGGGATACATCCTTCCTATATGTCTCCTATGTGCTGTCTATAACACAGGGTTGGATAGTTGTAGTGGAGGCTGTGCGGCCTACAAAGCCTAAAATATTTGTTCCCTGGCTCTTTACAGAAAATACCCAATTACCTCTTTAAGTCAGAAAACACAATTTCAGTTCATAAGTCAAAATGTTTACCCCAAAGAATTAATCAGTATTTCACTCTTCATTTAGTTGTTAGGACTTTTCTGCTGTTCCCCACTCTTCAGCAACCCCTAGAGCTTTTGGGGGAAGATATGGTCTCTTTTATTGCCTCATCCTCCATGAGGTAGTTACTTTACTGATTTTTGTTAGTTTGGCACTGGGAGAGAAGAGAGAGAGTTAGAGGTAGAAAGTTCTTAGTGACTGGTACCCTTATAAAATAGCTTTGGTCTCAGTTGATATTTGAAGCACTCTCTCTCTCTCTCACACACACACACGTTTTAGTGTGTTTCTCAGAGGCTCTCCTGTGTCCCCGAGCCCGAGGAGTACAACTCCCATGTCATATTATTCCCTCCACTTTGAGGGGGAGAGGTTCCCAGTAAGTGTCCATCAGCTCTCTAGGCAGATCTTCCTCTCAAAACCTCTTCTCCTCATTATCTCTAATTTATTGATTATTTTATGTTTTTGAAGTGTGTCAAAGGCTCAAGAGAATGAAATTGGGTCTTAGATAATTCTTTTATAAAATATATACATAGGAATTTCATTTACATCTTAACTTGGTACACATCTCTGTTGAAACTTCCATTTAAACATCTTGTTAACCATAGAAGGACAGGTTAGCCTCTGTGGACCTGTTTCATAGTTTATAAAATAAAGAGTTGATGTTAGATATTCTCTAAGGCCCTGCTAGTTAAACAAAATTGGTAAAAATTCTTGTTAGCATATGTTTCCAAAGGGAAGTGAATTTTAATGTCTTTGTTTCTGACTGTAATTATTCTCACTTGGTTGCATGAATGCAGATAATTCTATTGTTAATTTTATAGAAAGTTCTATAATTTGAATTGACATTGGATTGCTTCCAGGAAAAAAGAAATTGCTTCATTCAAATAAGCTTAATTCAAAGTTAGATTTTCCTTAAGACAATGTTTTTGTTAAAAATTGTCTTTTCTGGACAGCCCCCAAATCACCTGTCACATTAAGAAAAAAAAAAAGATAAGAAGAAAAGATTGGGGGTTAATAGTGCTGTGCCCAAGATATTCAGTAAATAAAACCTTAGGGGTTCTGTTACCCTTTTATCTGTTGTTTCTGCTGGAACATAAAACCTTATTTTTGTTTTTGTCCTCCATCATTCTTCATCCCCCACATCTGCAGCTTCATAGTACAGCGATGCAGCTGGCAGCAGATCTACTAAAACACCATGCTGATCACGTGGTTTTAAAAGCATTAAAACTTATTGGAGTAGAAGGAAATTTAGAAACTTTGGCTGAATATGCTTGTAAACTCTCTGAACAGAAAGAACAGCTTATTGAGGTGAGTAATAGGTTTTCTTGCTAAAGGAATTGTTGTTTACAATAGCTAAACTCTTGTGAGGGAATGTTAATAAGTATAGTTTGGGACTAATTTATCTGAGTACTTTTTCTCCTTTGGAATCTTAAAGGTATAGAGTGTATCTGCTCTATTTTTACAACACACTGATCTCAAAAACAAAATAATAAAAAATGCTAGAACCTACAAATGCATTTCTTAGTCTTCTTTTCCTTATCCTCCCAGAGAGGTTAGACTTTGGAGTAGAGAGATAGAGGTACATTGTGCGACTTTGTTTTTGTCTGAATACCTAAGGTCTCAGCAGGAAAGAGATGACCCACTCAAATTGGGATAATTTGAAGATGGTTTAGTAAGGGAACTATTTATAATTGCACAGATGGAATGTGGGAAAACCTTAAGTAAAGTGTAGTAATTGGGCGTAGTGATAGTAGAGCTGGTACCACCCTAGGCCCAAATTAACAGAGGAGGTGGGACCTGGAGGTCTTCTGAGTATTTCCTTGAGAGATTGTGGATTTTGGTCTAGGCAATAGACAGCCCAAAGTGAACCTGAAGGAAAGGAACACAGGAGTAAAGGCCCTTTCTCTCACTTCTGCTGATCTATCCCTGGGCTTCCCATTGGCCAAACCCAGCTGCAGACAACCTAGCTCACTCTTCTGGGGCAAAAAAGCAGATTTGAGAAGGGAGCAAAGTAGATAAAGAAGGAAAGAGGGAGACATCCAGCACACTATTCCTTCTCTGAACTTTTGCTCTGCCTCATTCTCTAATGTGTGTTACTGGTGCTTCACCAGTCGCTTTCTTTATAATTCTATTTTGGCATATTTATTCATGTTCTAAGCCCACTACCTATTGAAAATGCCAGAGATCTTGTAGTGTATAAAAACAAGCCTTAGCCCATGTATTCTGTGTATGTATAAGTTATGTCTTATCCAACATGTGTCCAAATGCCCAGTCTTCACATTATCTAATATACCTTGCTCAAGAAATCTCAAAGACCAGTGGTTAAATGGATTGGCTTCCTCTCTTTTACTTGTTTGCATAGCAGCCTGGAGACTTTTAAGGAATATTCTTAAAATGACTATAGTTATATTACCTTTATTTAATAGATTTGATAATGCTATGTGTATACATCAAATATTATGACTTTAGAGAAACTTGCTAATTTTAGAAATCCTGCAGCAAATCTTTTTAATAGCAAATCAAAATTTAAAAATTTTTGTTTTAAGCCTTAAGGTTTTTAATAATTTCTGATGGAGGCTTTCTACTTATTATAACAGTCTGCCTAATTGAATGGAATTGAATTGAATTTTTAATTACAAAGTTATGCCATATACTATAAAGGATGAGAGTGTGAAAGCTGAACTATAGACATGCTTTCTTGTAGACCTGTCGGTTGTTGCGACATGTATCTGGGACAGAACCTCTTGAAATAACCTGTATACATGCAGAAGAGACATTTCAGGTGACTGGCCAGCAGGTATGTTAACAGCAGATTGTTCCTTCAAATACTATCTTATCTGTTATTACAAATTATAAAGGAGGAAGGCCTAAAGGGTTCTGTGTAACTGGAGGCCAAGTCTACTGAGAGAAAGAAAGATAATGGAATTTTATTGGTAATGTCTTGGAATATGGCTGACATTCTATTGGATTATCATCTCCTGCCACTCTGGAGATTGGTCCCTTTTACTGAATCCTAGTTTGTATCTATTTGAAATGAAGCTGTTTACAATGCAGGTTTTTATAATGTGTTTTGAAAGTAAGCTATCATTATGTAATAACCATAAAAATATTCATATTTCAGCCTAATAATTACTAAGGACATACGGAAGTTTAAAAAACAATGTTGATTGCAACATTACTTATAATAAGATTCAGTTGGAAACAAAAATACCTTAAATTAGGCAAATGATGCATTGTGATCTTAAAGTAACAGTTATTTTAACCAGAATTAGCAACATTAAAAATGTTTTGTTAAAATGTTAAGCAAAACAAGCAGTATATGGATTTATATACTGGAATTACTTCTATAAAATGTGTGAACACATGGAAATAACTACATGGGAATATGCAGAAATGAAAATTTTGCTTGCTCAATTGGTTGGATTATTTTTCCTGAATTTTTTGTAGTATTATTTTGCTTTTGTAATTTCCCAAACCTTTAAAAATTGGTATTCTATTTAGTACTGTCCCTGACAAATGTTACACCCTAAAGAAAAAAGTGAAGGATGGATCTTCTTTCTTTTTTTAGAGTCTGAACTCTAAAATACGTCTTTCCAGGTATTCTTATTTCAATTATTATGGCCAGCCAAAAAGACTTGCTTTTAAATTGCAGTTGATGATAGATATTGAGCCCCTGAATCTCTGATGTGTAGTTGGGAACAGTGAAAGTGATTAGACACAATGGCAGTATATACCCTTCAGCACGTTGGATCTTGGAGGGATAAATGGGCACTTCCCTGTAGAGATCTGGGGCAAAAATTTATCATGGAAGCAGGAACTGTGTGAATGAACTTCCATAGTGATCACCTGCTGAACACTATTATAAACCAGGGATCTCTGGTTATTGAGAGAAGCAAAGGCTTCAATATCTGCCTTTTAATATCTGTTGATATGTGTGTCACTGTGCTTGGTTACAAATGTATTTTAGAACCATAGTGTTTGACTCTCCTGGTATATGTAATCAGTCTTGTCCCAATCTTCAGGTTCTGGTTGCAATTTTAGGTTTACTGTTTCGAATGCAGTAGATATCAGCAATATCTATATTTTCTTCTCCAGGATGATGGTAGAACCTATTGCTAATAAGTTCTATTACTTGGGAAACATAATAAATGCCTATTGTTAGGAATAGAGGTAAAAAGTAGTAGAAGGGAAAGGAGTTGTTATGCACATATCAAGATAAAGCTTCTAATTGCTAGCTTCTTGATTTTTCTTTGTGTTTGCTAATCAGAAAGTTTCAGTAGATTTTGTTTGGTTGATGGGTTCTATTTTGATGTGGTAGTTAGAGTGTAATTTTTATTGAATTTCAGGTCAGGGGATATAAAAAGGCTCAGCTCAGCCATCATTTTCTGTCTGTTTTAAAATGGCATCTATCTAATCCTTTGTATTAGAGGACTGTATTTTCATGTATTTGTTACATGAAAGATAAAATGTTAGCTAACACAAGATGAAACTTGAAACCCCTAAATCTCAGTGGTTTAACACAATAACAGTTGTTTTCTCACATACATCAAGTCCTAATTGGTGGCATAGCTTTCTTCCTTTTTGTGATCCAGGCTCCTTCCATTTTGTGGCTCACCAGTACCCTAGGACCTCAGAATCCCTGCTGGGTTCTGTGCATTGGACCCTCTGAAGGAACAGGGAGAGAGTACTGAGAAACATGAGGGAAATGTGCATGGGCCAGGAATGGAAAACTCAGTCACACAGCCCTACCCCTCTATTAAGGAGGCTGAGAAATACAATCTTACTGTGTGTCCAGGGGGAAAACAAAATGGATTTCAATGAAAACATAGTAATCTCTTCAACAGTTCTTTTAATTTATTCAATACATTTATTTAGCCCATGAAGAGGTATTTAAGTGTGAGGATGATTCCTGCCAACTTTACTTGTGTTTTGTGAGAGGCACTGTGATATGGTGTTAAGAGCCTGGACTGTGAGTCAAGTAGATTTGAGTTCAAATGTCAGCTTTGCATAGGCTAATTATAGGATTTTGGACAAGTTACTTTGCATCTCTGAGTTTCTCTAGCTGTAAAATGTAAATAATGTTTATTTGAGAAGGTAAGGTTTTGTTTGTGCTTTTGAGAATTGTGTATCAAGCACTTAACACAGTGTCTCAAGCGTGTTATCTACCATGTACTCATAGGTATGATGTGTTATTACTACCATTACTGCTATCTACTTTTCATTACTACTGCTACAACCACCACTATTGCCTTCTCTTCTATTACCATATACGCTATACTATTTATAGTCTGAGTGTTAATTATGCTATGGCAATAACTTTGTTGAAACAGTGTTTTCCTTGAGTAAAGATAACTGTCCCCAAATGCAGGTTTGTGTATAATAATGCATATTGTTTATCTGTAGGTTAGATTATAAGGAACAGCAAGACTCATTCTTTTATGTGTTTCCATGTTGTCTAGCCATGGGGCTTATGTGTAGAAATTACTTCAAAGTTGTTGAGTTAAATCGAATAGTACAGACTTAAGTTTGGTCTCCAATGTGATTGTGAGGGCTGAGGTTTTACAATTCACACCTGTATATGTTGTGTTTCTTTAGATAATTTCTGCTGCTGAAACACTGACATTACATCCATCTAGTAAAATTGCTAAAGAAAACCTAGATGTATTTTGTGAAGCTTGGGAGTCTCAAATTAGTGACATGTCAACACTGCTGAGAGAAATCAATGATGTGTTTGAAGGAAGACGAGGTGAGAAACTGTCCACCAGTTGAACAGTTATTTTATATATTATTATTTTAATGTAACTGTTAGTTTTTAATGTTAAGCATCAGATGCAAAATGAGTTATCTTGTTATTTTAGTATCTAAGTAGTAAGATTTGTTCGACTACAATATAGCAGAGTTCTCCCAATTGACATTCTAGTTTTCTTGTTGAAATTTATTTCTTATTTCTTCTAAATTGTTTTTTGAGTACAAAGGCTCTAATAATACAGAAATTGTCTGATTTAATTCTACTAAATTCATAATGAAATGAATTCAGTTATTTGATTTTTGAATTGCTTTCCTTCCACTTGAATGGAATCTCTTTCCTTGATGACTACATAAACTTGGAATATTGCCTGTGGTGGGTAAGTTCTTTGCTATTTCTACAACATATAGAATAGCACCATGCAATCACTTTTATTCTTTATTTTAATATCAAGGAGTTTTATTTATTTCACATTGTACTGTGTCCTGTTATTTATGTTTATGTTTTTATGTGTATTTTTCCCTTTGAATGGCTTAGTGTCAAAGCATGATTTTTAAAAAGAAGTCGTTGAAAGTCAAAACATCAAATTATATATTTTTACTGAATATGAATATTTATATACCTCATATTTTTCAAATACCCATTTAGGATAAATGTCAATTTGCTTTAACACTCAGGGAATGCTAGATGTTATAGATATCACAGCATTTGTAAAGTGTGATGTATATTTACTGTGCAAAAAGATTTCTGTGGTAAGCTGAAAGACATGTCATCTTGATGCTTTAATAAAGTATTTACAGTTACAGGGGTTTTTATGTGAGGTCAGTTTCATATATTAAAAGGTAAGGTTATGTATAATTGAGATTAGCCATAATTAATCCACATTTAAGGAAGAATGGTCACTGGACTGGAGGGATTGTCAATAAATGGTTGGTGAAAGGATGCATGGCTTGGGGGAGCCAGAGCACCTGCCAGGCCCAGCTTTTACTCTAATAGGTATCAGGCAAGCCCTCCTCACCCTGGTCTTTAATGTCCTTGGCTCAGTCATGAAGGCCTTAAACTGAGTAGTTTCAGAAGATATGCCAGCTCGAAGTCTTTTGTGAGCACAACCTGAAGTTGGTGTATTTGGAGCTCTGAGTGTGTCTCCACCCTGCCAGCCTTTTTTAAAGGCCAGAGGAAATTGTCTTCTGGTCTTCTAATGCAGTGATTTCAGCTCATGTAGCAGGGAGGCTAGAGGGGAGTGTCAGAGAGTGGTCCTGTCAGGCTTGTGGTGGACTCCATGCTCTTGCAGATAGATATAGTCCAGGTGTACTGTGGAAGGTTTTACTAGTAGCTGCAGACATTCTGAAGAATGTGGCTCCAAGCCTGGCCAGCCAATTCTCCCCTACCAGAGCACCATTTAGCTTAGTCCAGATTTTTCTCATTCTGCCTTTAGTGCTAGGTAAGTTTCCATTTTCACTCATAAAAGTGGGGTATGACTGAATTATCAGTAATTGCTTTCCTTCTGAGTTCCTGGGCCAATTAGTTCAGCAGCATCTGAAACTGGAATGAAGCTGAACTCCTGCTTATTCTAGTCCCTTGACAAAGGGCTTCAGGGTGCCTTTCTCTTTTGAGTCTGGGATCCCCACTGTTTCTAAGTTATTTTGGTCTGTCCTCTATTTCTATGAAAAAAGGATTTATAATAGATTTTTTTTCTCTTAGTCCTGGGGAAAGTTCTGAGTAGCAATTAGAATAGCAAATAAAAGCTGATAGGCTTGAGGGGTTTTCTTTCTATAAATATTAGTGAATTTCTTTCTACAAATAAATAAACTGAATTTCTATTTCCCATCAAGGAGTCACTTCATTTTTCTGGGATCTGAGCAATAATCTCACTGAGGGACAGAACTGGGTAGGAGTTTAAAACACCTTCTGAAGCGAGACTGCCTGGGTTCTAATCCCTCACTCTGCCACTATCTAACTACTCTCTCTGTGCTTCAAGTTTTACATGTGCAAAATGCGGATAATAATGATATAACTACCTCATGTGGAGTGTGTGAAGACTGAGAAGCTCATTCATAGTACATTCTCAACAAATGTCACTTCTATTAGTGTTAGCACCTTCTGAAGCGAGACTGCCTGGGTTCTAATCCCTCACTCTGCCACTATCTAACTACTCTCTCTGTGCTTCAAGTTTTACATGTGCAAAATGGGGATAATAATGATATAACTACCTCATGTGGAGTGTGTGAAGACTGAGAAGCTCATTCATAGTACATTCTCAACAAATGTCACTTCTATTAGTGTTAGCATCCTAACTGGCATTACCTTGCAGTAAAGGCAAAAGTATATGAGCAAACATCAGGCCAAGTTTTTTCCCCCTTAATCTCAATTTCTCTCACTTTCTGACATCCCATTCTCACTGTCTCCTTCCCCGACTTGGTGGAGGCTTTGGGAGCGGGTTGTGTGGCCAGACCCACTGTAGAAAATCTCTTGACCTGTGCCCAGTAAAAGCACAGAAGAGAGTCTACCCTTTGTTTCTCTGCAAATGAAGCTCAGCCCTTTTCTAGTGGAAAATGGATGCTCTCTGAAAGTTTCTCTCACTGCATATCCAGTCAACATTGATTCTCCCACCCCTTTTTTTTCTCCTACCAAGGTTAGCTTTTTTAGAAAAGCAGCAAGGGAGGTTTAGTGAAAAATAAACACCTCAAGCTACTAGTGTCTGTGTGGGTAAAATTATTAAAGTGATCATTCAGAAGTATTCAACTATAATAATATACATACACAGAATAGAGGACCCAGATATGAAGCCACACAACTATAACCAACTTATCTTTGACAAAGGAGCTAAAAATATACGATGGAGAAATAGCAGCCTCTTCAACAAAAACTGTTGGGAAAACTGGTTAGCAGTCTGCAAAAAACTGAAACTAGATCCATGTATATCACCCTATACCAAGATTAACTCAAAATGGATCAAGGATCTTAATATCAGACCACAAACTCTAAAGTTGATACAGGAAAGAGTAGGAAATACTCTGGAGTTAGTAGGTATAGGTAAGAACTTTCTCAATGAAACCCCAGCAGCACAGCAGCTAAGAGATAGCATAGATAAATGGGACCTCATAAAGCTAAAAAGCTTCTGTTCATCAAAAGAAATGGTCTCTAAACTGAAGAGAACACCCACAGAGTGGGAGAAAATATTTGCCAACTATACATCAGACAAAGGACTGATAACCGGAATATATAGGGAACTTAAATAACTAAATTCTCCCAAAACTAATGAACCAATAAAGAAATGGGCAAGTGAACTAAACAGAATTTTTCTCAAAAGAAGAAATTCAAATGGTCAGAAAACACATGAAAAAATGCTCACCATCTCTAGCAATAAAGGAAATGCAAATTAAAACCACGCTAAGATTCCACCTCACCCCTGTTAGAGTAGCCATCATCAGCAACACCACCACCACCAGGTGTTGTCGAGGATGCGGGGAAAAAGGAACCCTCTTACACTGTTGATGGGAATGTAGACTAGTACAACCACTCTGGAAAAAAATTTGGAGGCTACTTAAAAAGCTAGACATCGATCTACCATTTGATCCAGCAATACCACTCTTGGGGATATACCCAAGACTGTTACTCCAGAGGCACTTGCACACCCATGTTTATTGTGGCACTATTCACAATAGCCAAGTTATGGAAACAGCCAAGATGCCCCAGCACTGACGAATGGATTAAGAAAATGTGGTATCTATACACAATGGAATTCTATGCAGCCATGAAAAAAGAACAAAATGTTATCATTCGCTGGTAAATGGATGGAATTGGAGAACATCATTTTGAGTGAGGTTAGCCTGGCCCAAAAGACCAAAAATCGTATGTTCTCCCTCATATGTGGACATTAGATCAAGGGTAAACACAACAAGGGGATTGGACTTTGAGCACATGATAAAAGCGAGAGCACACAAGGAAGGGGTGAGGATAGGTAAGACACCTAAAAAACTAGCTAGCTAGTATTTGTTGTTCCTTAACGCAGAGAAACTAAAGCAGATACCTTAAAGCAACTGAGGCCAATAGGAAAAGGGGACCAGGAACTAGAGAAAAGGTTACATCAAAAAGAATTAACCTAGAAGGTAACACCCACGCACAGGAAATCAATGTGAGTCAATGCCCTGTATAGCTATCCTTATCTCAACCAGCAAAACCCCTTGTTCCTTCCTATTATTGCTTATACTCTCTCTACAACAAAATTAGAAATAAGGGCAAAATAGTTTCTGCTGGGTATTGAGGGGGGGAGCGGGAGGGGGCGGAGTGGGTGGTAAGGGAGGGGGTGGGGGCAGGGGGGAGAAATGAACCAAGCCTTGTATGCACATATGAATAATAAAAGAAAAAGGAAAAAAAAAGTGTGTATATGCCATATGTTAGGAGGAAAATAAATGTCATGAAAATATTCTCCAAAAAAAAACCAACAAAAAACCCAAATAACAATAGTTGCCAACTCTTCGTAGCTTACTGTGTTATGTCCTTTGATGAGTGCTAGATGTATATTTTATCTCATTTAATACCCTTAGTAATATTTAATAATGAAAATTGAAGCTTAGAGTAGTTTATTTATTCCAGCGTCTCATAGTGAAAGAGCTACAGAAAGCTGGGAAGTCTTACTGAGTCTGAGTGATGCCAAAGATGAAATTTTATCAATCACTAAGATTCTGTTACTCAATAAGTTAAACTCCACTCCAGCCCTAAAATGGCCCTAAAATGCTTTCATGAGAGCCAATTCTGTGAAAAATGTTCACGACTATAGCTCTGAGTCTTGCGCTCCCCCCCCCCCCCGGCCAAGTCCATTCCAGACATGACTGGGAAATCTCAGTCTTTGGGCAGTTCAGAAGGTATAGAGCAAGGAACAAACAATTGAGAGCCAGGAGACTGGGTTCTAGTTTTTGTCTACTACTTATTAGCTGAGGCTAAATTATAGAAGAGATTATTGGGTATAATGATCTATTAGTAATGGACCCCAGGGCACATTACCTGACACTTTGAGTTTCAGTTTCTTTAGGATATAAGTGAAATTATTTTTAATTGTGCTCACAATGTAATAAATGGTAACAGATGTTTTACTTTTATTTTTATCATTGTGTGACTTTCAACTACTTTAACCTCTATTCCTCAGGTTTCCCTCTTTAAATTCAAAACAAGGGATTTAGAATAGTCTAGGTCAGACTAGGTAAATCTACAGTGTGAGTTTTAACATCTCTCATTCTTGCTCCATGACAAAAAATGCTGATGGATCTTGATATTTTTTCACAGACTGAGCTCACCCAATGGTCTTCAGTGTTTCTCAGCATTATGTTCTACCATATATAGGCCAGAATTGAACAAGAGAATCCTGTACTTGCTTTTGAACTATATGGTCATGATGGTTTGTTTTATTTTTAAATTGATGGGAATAGAGAACAAAACAACTACTTAAAAGAAGATCAAGTGATGTACTGCTAGGTGGATAGTAATGGTAGCAAATTAAATTAAATGAAATCTCTATTTTTTCTACATCTAGTTTCTTTAACTTTACTGTATCTTTGAGATATAAGAGCTGCCAAAACAGTCCCTCACCACCCCTTTTAGAGAGCAAATGTGAGTAGTTCAGAATCATGGGCATTGTGGAGGATCACTAGGTTAGATAATGCAGTATTACTTACCCAAGCTAGTTATATTTAAGTAATGCCTCTGCCCTCTTTTATAGCATATTAAGAACATGTTTTAGAACTACTAACAGGATTCACACTAGGAATTAGATAGCTAGCAAATTTTGAGATTCTGAGTGACCCAAAGATCACTTTCTGTTAATCTTCTTTTTTTTTTTTTTGTTCTGAAAAGATTTATTTTTATTTTTTCATTTTTCTTTTATTATTCATATGTGCATACAAGGCTTGGTTCATTTCTCCCCCCTGCCCCCACCCCCTCCCTTACCACCCACTCCACCCCCTCCCGCTCCCCCCCCACAATACCCAACAGAAACTATTTTGCCCTTATCTCTAATTTTGTTGTAGAGAGAGTATAAGCAATAATAGGAAGGAACAAGGGGTTTTGCTGGTTGAGATAAGGATAGCTATACAGGGCATTGACTCACATTGATTTCCTGTGCGTGGGTGTTACCTTCTAGGTTAATTCTTTTTGATCTAACCTTTTCTCTAGTTCCTGGTCCCCTTCTCCTATTGGCCTCAGTTGCTTTAAGGTATCTGCTTTAGTTTCTCTGCATTAAGGGCAACAAATGCTAGCTAGTTTTTTAGGTGTCTTACCTATCCTCACCCCTCCCTTGTGTGCTCTCGCTTTTATCATGTGCTCATAGTCCAATCCCCTTGTTGTGTTTGCCCTTGATCTAATGTCCACATATGAGGGAGAACATACGATTTTTGGTTTTTTGGGCCAGGCTAACCTCACTCAAAATGATGTTCTCCAATTCCATCCATTTACCAGCGAATGATAACATTTCGTTCTTCTTCATGGCTGCATAGAATTCCATTGTGTATAGATACCACATTTTCTTAATCCATTCGTCAGTGGTGGGGCATCTTGGCTGTTTCCATAACTTGGCTGTTAATCTTCTTGTAGTTATGCCAGATGCTTTTTACATCAGAGCCTGGAGATGAGACATGAAAATAGGCTTTTCTTCTTTAAGTGTTTTCCCCTCACAATTCTGAGATCAGAAAACCATTAATAAAAATTCCCTGACAGTTATGCCATTATAAAGAAATGATTTGAATATAAAATTATTTCCAAGTACCAGTAGTTGAACTTTAGCAATAATTCCTCTTGTAAATTAGCACTGTTCAATAGAAATAGACTGCAAGACAGAGATGTAACTTACAATTTTTTAGTAGGCACAATAAAAAGAAAATAGGTGAGATTTGTTTTAATAATAGTTTTTATTTAACATAATTCTAAAACATCATTTTAGTCAATGGTCAATATTTTTAAATTAACAAGCTATTTTACATCTTTCAAAATTTCATATGTATTTTACCATTTAGCACATTTCAATTCAGACTAGCTATGAATCAAGTATACATAGTCATATATGGTTATATTTAATAGCATGATTGTAGATAACATTCTAAATATTTGTATAAACCATTCTGAGATCCAGCAGATTCTCCCTATTAATGTCAGTCACTCTGTAAGAACAACCATGATTTAGTACGCTTATATTTTTTATTTGGTTGAACCATATGAAATTGGTGTTTTGGTATTTTAAAATGGTTGAACATGAGCAATTTCATATGGTTCAACCTGATATATTACAGCTGAATACATTGTTTTCTGTGAAGAAGCAATTACTTATCTTAAATTTTTACCCCAGATATCACAGACTAGCTTTAAAAAACGTTTTAAAAAACGTTTTTTTTTTTTAAATCCATTGTAACTTGACTACACACATGATCTGGAAGCCAGAAAGATGACAGGACAGGAATGAAGTGGGCATTGTGCATCTCCTTCTATTCCTCAGCTATTAGGCTCCATGCCATGTGTCCATTTGCAGTAAAAAACCTGTTATTTAGTTGTTTTATCTTCCTATCTTGTATACTGGGATTGTCCTCTTCCCTGACTGAGAATACAATATGAAGTTAGTTATAAATTATTTGCTCTGGTACTTGGAGAAAAGGAAGAAGCACTGAATCCTAATACTGATGAAAACAGAGTCTAGTTTCAATGGAGGCAGGCTGCTGTAAAAGGAACAATATGAAGGAAAGTGAATGTAAGTGGAAGTCAATGTCGGTAAGACATTTTACTTTTTTCCCTTTACATTGGGAGAGATTGGCTGTCATATGTACGTTATTTATTTATTTGTTTTTATTATTCATATGTGCATACAAGGCATATGTACTTTAGAAATGTAGGTATTGACAGTCTTTGTGCTTGCCAACCAAATTACAATTTTATTTCTGAAGTACATGTACTTAATAGACTAAATTATCAAAACTAATGTATTGACAATCCTGTATATTTAATAATATTTTAAAAGATAAATGTGAATAATAGAAATATATTAATAGAAAAAAGTTTTTAACCTATATGTTATTTATAGGAGAGAAGTATGGCTACCTTTCACTTCCAAAACCAATGGTAAGTAGAAGAATTATGTACATTTTTAGAATTTTTTTATTCAGAATTTAAATTATGTTCTTGTTGCCTATTGCTTACTACCCTTCTCCCACTACAGAAAAAAGTTAGGGTATTAAATGTTGACTGTTCAAAATTAATAATCTGGTTAGTAATCTACATATGGCCCATATCTGAATATTTGTGTTGACTTTGGGGGGGTTGAGAGACTAGGTAACAGAATTATGATTTATAAGCCATAGTCTGAGGCCAGAAGTAGTTGTATTCTCCATAGCTTGGGTCTAATTTGCAAGATGATGTTGGAATCATTTTCTGTAGACTAAGAACTTTCATATGCTTTTTATCTAGATGAAAACATATCACATACATGGGGAAAAGAAATAGAATGATAAGTTAGATAGACAATGATCCTAGGATCCTTTGTGGTAATGAAAATTCCTGTCTCTGAATGATAAAAATTATCAGTCATGTTACCCAGGTGACATTTTGAAGACCTCAGCAATTCATTTGTAGACATCATTCTATGGAACTTACAGTTGTGAATAAAATGCAGGATACATAGAAATCAGAGATTATATTTTAAAAGAATCAGTTTTCAAGGACCATCTTCTTAAAGCAGTCAAGAATCCTAACAAGTTGAACTTCAGAGGTAGAAGAAAAACAATGGGCTGTGTAGAAGTAGCTTTTGGGAAAGAAGGAAATCATAATAGTAAATGAGAAAATCAAAGACTTGTCAGTTATACCCAGCATAAACTTATATCCAGTTCCACAATCACAAAAAAAGGGGGCACTTTTATGGCTTTCATTAATTGTAACAGGTCAAACATTTTATGTGACAAAAAAATTCATTTGTTCATTCATTTAATCATTAAGTCCTTCTATTTGCTAGGTCCCATTGTAGACATTGGGACAATAATAATGAAAAAGATGCTAAAAGATGAATTCTATGGAGAGGGATGTGAAAAATAGTCAGTTCACCTTAGTATTTCTGTTATTTATAAATGCCTAGCACAATACTCCAGAATATAATTTAGTAATCTATAATTTATTGAATCAGTGAAAAAAACCAGATGGTCTCTGAAACATAGCCCAGACTGTCCAACAGAAATAATTCAAGACATTTAGATAATTAAAAATTTTACAGTAGCTATATTTTAAGAAGAAATTTATGAAATCAATTTTGTATTTTTTTTAATTTTTATTTTATTCATATGTGCATACAATGTTTGGGTCATTTCCATGTGTATCTCTAATAGTATCACTTCAACATGCAATCAACATGAAACTATGGAAAACTTTTTTAGTGCTTTTGTCATTCTAACTCTTCAAAGTCTGGTGTGTATTTTATACATAGAGCATATCTTAATTTTGACTAGTCACAGTACAGATGTTCAATAACCACTTGTGGCTAACAGCTACTATATTGAATGGTACAGATTTAAACTCATACAAAAAGAAAATGGATAGAGAAGAGACAGAATTTGTTGATGATTATTAATAGTAACAATGGCAAAGAACAAATGGTGCGTATAGAAGAGAGAACTGGCAAAAAAAAAAAAAAAAAAAAAAAAGCAAGAAAATAAAACTCCCAGGCTGAGTGTGGTGGTTCTCACCTCCACAGCCAGTTGCCAGTTGTGTGGTAGAGATAGCAGGATGGACCTGGGCAAAATAACATGACCCTATCTGAAAAATAACTAAAGCAAAAGGGGCTGGGGGCATGGCTCAAGTGGCCTAGCAAACTTATAGTCCCGAGTTCAAACCCCAGTATTGAAGGAGAAAAAGGAAAGGAAGGGAAGAGGAAGAGGAAAAACAAAGGAAGGGAAAGGAAGAGAACTCCTACATCTGGGGATGTAGAAATGACAGTGAGAATAGTTGATTATGCAGGGGAAGACCATATAATAAATCAAGTACCCAAATTTTGAAAAGGCATATAATTAATCAGTGAATTTTGTGAAGAGAGATTTTTTTAAAAGAGAGATTGGCATTTAATACTGAACTACAACATTAGAAAATTAATTTTAGCTGGTAAAAAGCAGTCACAACATGGCAAAATAATTTTGTTTCTTTTTTGGTAAATAATCTCTATGCCTTATGCAGAGCAGTTTCTAAGTGTGGATATAAGTTTGTCTGTTTTTCTTATTTTAAATTAACGTAACCCCCCAAAATAGATGATATAGTTAGTATCTTACTGTTTTTAAGCAGATAAGAATAGGCTAGCTTTTTTAAAGTACTATAACTTAAGGCTACTACAAAATGATTCTTGATAATAAGAAAATACATCACATAGCCAAGAGAGTGATGATGTGTGCCTGTAATCCCAGCACTCTAGAAGCTGAGATAAGAGAATAGTTTGAGGCTAGTGTGGGCTACAAAGTGAAAAAAAAAAAAATCTGGGAATCTAGCTCATTGGTAGACCTCTTACCTAGCAAAGCCCTGGATGTAGTACTGAAAGAAAAAGAAAAAAAGACATCACAGAGCTTTAAGCAACTGAATTTATTGATTTATTTATTGATTTATTGATTTTATTGAACTGAATAGTGGTTTTTTTTTTGTTTTTGATAACAAATAATCTCAGAACCATGAACCATTTACTTAGTTAAGGGTAGCATAACTAACCGTATTTTTAGAAATTTGTAACTGTTTTTTTAGGAAGAAAATTTGGTGTCTGGTGCTATTTATACTTAGAGGCTCCAAGTCTTTAGCTTTACATAAGTGATGCATCTGCATGCATTTCAAAATAGTGTCCACTAGATGGCAAGCTTGGTCACATTATTAAAATGGCTTATTTACCTTTTTCATGCAATCCCCAGTCAGGCTTTGTAAAATACTTTAATAATTATAATTTGTAAAATTAAAAGTAAAAAACGAATTAATTTATATGAATAATATGCAAATAAAATAAATGAATCCTAAAAACCTTGAGACTGTTCTTAATTTTTAAAATGCTTTATCTATTGCTACTACCTTGGTCTCCAAGGAAGTAAATAGAGGTGTCATAGCTATCCAAGGAGGAGGTAGGGAGACCATTCATCATGTCTACTTATTTACTAATGAACACAAGAGTCAGCTTGTATTTGTGTGTGTGTGTGTGTGTGTGTGTGTGTAAGTTTAATGCCACAGAACAGCATTTTTGTCAATAATGGACCATATACAATGGTGGTCCCATAAGATTATAACCTCTAGCAATTTCATAGCATCTTAGTTTATGCAAGTACACTCTATAGTTTTTTCACAACCATGAAATCACCTAGTGACGCATATCTCAGAGGTGATGACCTCTGTGAAGTGACACCTCCATGTAGGTTATGTATATATATGTATATATATATACATATACATGCAAGGAATATATTTTGTTTCTTTTTTTATTTCCCTTATTATATCCACAACTTACTACTTCTGACTGGCTATTCTGTTACCAGTTTCACTGCTGAACAAAACTGCCTCAATTTTTCCCTTCTTTTCTTATCGCACATTTTAGATCTGCTCATTTGACATAGCGTTTGTGAGAGTTTTCTAATGATGTTTATTTTTGAATATATTTTTCAAAGAAACATTGTTGGTAGTGATAGGGTCCATTCTGCTCCTCTGTCCATCAAGTAAATATGTATCTATAGACTAGCCTGGTGACCTAACTAGTATAGATACCTTCTTTTCTAGGAAAAACATTCTAAGTAGTCTAAATAAAAGCAGACTTGTTCTTTCAAACTAGAAACCATTAAGCATTGATTTGCATATAAACCCTAGATTCTAAGTATAATCCCTTTATAACCTGAGATTTGGGATTAGCAACTATGATGTCAATGAAATTAAGGTGTTGAAATTTAGCTGTCTATGGGCAAATTAGTTAAGGGGATTGGATTATAGATAATCATTAGTAAGTATAGAAAATTGCTTATAGTGGTTAATTTTAATACATGACTTCATAACAATAATTCAAGCATTATAATAATGTTGTAACAGAGTAGCCAGGGGAGTTTGAGAGGTGTTATTACTGGCTTCCAAGAATATTACAGAAGTTGTTTTGAAGACTTTGTGGAAAGAAGAGCGTACCTACCAAGACAGAATTAGACAAGACACTAACTTGTTTTTGCTGGCCCCAGATTTCAAACCAGTTCAAAGCTGAACTAGCCTACTAGTAGTAACTACAGTTATTTAACTTAAGCTACTGAATATAGTTTAACTACATGTAGATATTGTTGAAATTAGATTTTTATTACAAGTACTTAGTTATGCTTTCTATTACTATTGTATTTCCTCACAATTAAATGTACTGCCTCTTAAGATATCTTAATTTTTTTATTGGCACAGAAGAGTAATGCAAACCTGAAATCATTAAAGCCAGACAAGCCTGATTCTGAGGTAAGACCTTTTCTTTTGTAATACTGTTACATTTCATCTTCTTTTACATCAGCAATGACAAAGTTGTTGTGATTAAAATGTATGTTTGTAGGAGCAAGCCAAGATAGCAAAGCTTGGACTTAAGCTGGGTTTGCTTACCTCTGATGCCGACTGTGAAATTGAGAAATGGGAGGATCAGGAGAATGAGATCGTTCAATGTGGACGGAACATGTCCCGGATGGCCTATTCTCTATATTTATTTACTAGGTAATGGGGTTACATTTTGGTCGTTTTAAATCAGTATACTAATATTTTATATAAAGAAAAGATGCCATGTTAAATCATTGATAGGTTAAAGTCAGTAGCAAATAATATGGCAAAAAGACTAGAAGTAGGTATACCAATTTACTTCATCAAATACAACAAAATGACATATCTATTTAATTAGTTTGATGGGGGGTTACTGGGGTTTGAACTCAGGACTTTGTACTTGCAAAGAAGGTGCTGTACTGCTTGAGCCACACATCCAGTCTATTTTACTCTGGTTACTTTGGAGATGGGGGGGTCTCATGAACTGTTTGCTTGGGCTGGCCTTGAACCATGAATCTCCCAATCTTAGCTTCCCAAGTAAGCTAGGATCATAGGCATGAGCCACCAGCACCCAACTTTTAGGAGTCAGATTTAGAAGGAATCCTTTTCTAGGATGATACCCCATTCTTTCATAATTCTGAAATAATTTTATGTTTTGCTTTTTGTCATCCTGCATATCCGTGCCTCTCCCAGCCTGCACCATTACATTTAAAGAATATGCTTTTTGTATCTTTATACAATGGATTGATAGATCCAGACTGATGAATGAAGCTATGAGGCCTATACCTCTAGAGGTTGCCAAATCTCCATGAGTCAACATTCATTATGGAAAGGAGAGTTTCCCTAACATCAATATTTCTGTACTATATTCTGTTATGTCCCTAATAAAAACTTTTGATCAAATGCCTTATTGACGTCAATGTTGTTCACATTCCTCAGTCTTTTTGTTATAGTAATCTACACCAATGGTATAGTACTTTTGCTTAGCTGACTCTGGTTATATTCCCATGATCTGTTCTAGAATGATTTCCAATGTATGACTTCAAACTTTTCATTCACTTGTGAAATCTCTTTCATTTTTGGAAACTTTGAAGCTACTTCCAGGTTTTAATACTTGATATCTTCTAGATGATCCTCATCCTACTCATTTTAGTTTTGAGAATATTATTAAACTGATAATGGAGAATGTAGTTTGTATCCATAGGCAAATAGGTTTTTAAAAATGATTCTTAGGCTTCAGAAGTCTTACCTCATAGGGGCAGAATGTGTCTATAAGACATGAAAATCTCTCAAAGGTAGCTTCATTTCCAAGAGGAAGGGAGATAAGAAAAGGCTACAATATCCCATTCATTTCTGCAAAGGCAATAAGAAAGACCAAAAATATTGGTATCTATATTCCTCATGAGCATAATAAGTGAGGCAGATGAGAGAGGTGATGGATGTTATGTTTGTGGAGATCCCTTTACGTGGAAGAAATAGTAATAGTGAGAAAGAAGCATTCCCCAGCTAAGAGGCTTCATTTCCCTCTTAATGTTGTTTTCTGCCTTTTCTAGGTAGATAATTCTTCTGGAAGGAGAAGGCTGAAGTGATAAGAGGCAGTATTTTGCTGCTGATTAGCTATCATTTGTTAAACCCTTACCATGTTTTCCACCTTTGGAAACTATTTCTCTGGTGGTTTCCTTCCTTTGTTCTTAGCTGCTTTTAGTAAGCTTCACCTGCATTGAGTCTTCCCAACATGAATTTTGACCTTCTTTCTTATTTTTATGTTTTTAAAGTTTTCACAGAGTACTGAACAAAAATCTCAACTTTTTGCTGTAATCATCTGTAACTAGCATGAGAATCATATCTTTAAAAAGTATGAGATACCCTATTAACTTAATGAATATTTTTGATATATAAAAATCTTCTGAAAGGCTTCATCTGTAGACTCTTTTTGGTACTAGAGTTTAAACTCAGGCCTTTGCACTTGCTGGGCAGGCATTCTACAGCTTGAGCCATACCTCCAGCCCTTTTTACTCTGGGTATTTTGGAGATAGGATCTCACTTTTTGCCCAGGCCAGCCTGGACCAAGATACTATTTTAGGCTTCCTGCCATTGCTGGAATGACAGGTGTGTACCACCACGCCAACTTTTGTTCCATTGAAATGGGGGTCTCATAAGCTTTTTTTGCTGGGGTCAGCATGGAACTCTGATTCTCCTGATCTCAGCCTCCTGTGTAGCTTGGGATGATAGGCACATACCATCAGTGCCTCACATCAGTAGGTGCTTTAAAAAAAAAAGATTATTGATGCCTCCTTTTTTTTAAATTTTGTTTTCTTTTGAGACAGGATCTCACTGTGTAGCTCAGGCTGTTTTGAAACTCATGATCCTCCTGCCTCAGCCTCCAGAGCACTGTGCTTACTAGTATGTGCTCCCATGTCCAGCATAATGACCACTTTGATTCTTATTTTAGAATATTTCAACATGGTATCATAGCATTTTTTTGTTTCAAAGTCAGAATAGTGGATTTCAGTAAAGAATAGAGTGGATCCCATCAAGACTGGGAAGTATGAGGGGCTTCCCACTGAGGGGTAGATTGCTAAAGTTCCATGAAATGGGACTTATTGCTAGAATATGGTTATTGGACAGGAATGACAAAGTTCAGGGAAGGAAATTGATTTTCTGTAATGCATAAATGCCATGTATATTTAGGCAAGTCTTGGTAATGTAATTAACTTCTTATGGCCAAATCTCAAGTTTTTTTTTTTTTTACCTTCATTGTCTATATTATCTGTTTTCCCCTATGGTCTTTTACATTTTCCTTTAAGGCCTATAGTTTACCATCCTGACCTAGGTACTTCTTTTCATGACTAATTGTTAACCTGCCTAGTATCAAGTTTTATAGTTTGGGCAATTTTATAGCCCTTCCTCAGGCACTTGCTTAAGGTCATTGTAATAATTTATATGATTTCTTAACTTACATGCAATAATTCATACTTCTTAATAACTTATATGTTAAGATTGTCTAGTGCTTTGTAGTTAAAAAAAAATTCAGTGCCTTACAGTTTTTAACATGATTTTGCTTTTTGATTTCATTTGATCCTCTCAGTAGTTTATCACAGAACAGGAATGATTTGTTCACACGTATCATAGCTATTAAGTAGCAGACCTGGTTGCTTCCATAATACAGATCTTTGGATTTATGCCTGGTCCATTGCTCTTCTTAATGCAGTCTGTTATTCTCTTTGTTGTAATTTGCTTTTCATACTTTAGAGTTCCTAGTTCTTCTTGGTAGTTTTTGTTGTTGTTGTTTTGGTGGGACTCGGGTTTAAACTCAGGGTTTTGAGTGCTCTACCACTTGAGCCACACCTCTAATCCATTTTGCTATGGTTATTTTGGATATGAGGGTCTCAGGAACTATTTGCCTGAATGACCTCGAACTATGATACTCCTGATCTTACCCTCCCAATTAGCTAGGTTTACAGGACTGAGCCACTGGCACCCGGCTCCTGGTAGTTTTTAATCTGATATTTCCCAATCTCCAACTGGTAGCATAAGTATTATGAGGTATTCTGAGTGTTTTATACATTTAGAATTGAAAGTTAAATGTGTTTCATCAAAACTGAACAACTGAATAGCTGCCAGAGTTGAAATTAGAATTAGAAGTGAGAATTTCCTGATTTTTTTGGTCTGATCCTCTTTTCATTATGTAGCAAAGGCCTTATCAGATCTCATATTTAATTCATAAAGCAAAGTGAAAAAAAGATTTAAAAGGACAAATAGGGCTTAAATATAACTTATCAGTTTAAAACTTCTTTATATTATAAATTAACATATATACTGTTAACTTGGGAAGTAATAGTTAAATATTTAATTGTTTTAAGAATAATTCCATAGTATTATTAGTCATGTTCAATAACTTGGGTTTTTAATACACAAAATGCTCTAAAATTTTAATGCTATACAACCAATTTCTAAAATAACTTTTTAAAACCTTTTTAATAATTCATTTTATTTTAGAGGAGAGGGCCCACTGAAAACTTCCCAGGATTTAATTAATCATCTAGAGGTATGTTTTATTTTACTTTATACTACTACTTTAATTGTGGGCTAAAAGTGGGCTTATAACTTTGTGTGTGTGTGTGTGTGTGTGTGTGTGTGTGTGTGTGTGTGTGTGTTATATGGGATTGAACCGAGGGCCCTGTGCTTGCTAGGCAGGTTTCTGTACCACTGAGCTACATCCTCAGCCCTTTTTAATTTTTATTTTGAGTCAGGGTCTTGCTAAGTTGTCCAGGCTGACCTCAAATTTACCATCCTTCTGAATGAGCCTCCCAAATAGCTGGGATTATAAGCCAGTGCCACCATTCCTATGACTTGTTTCCTAAACGATTTATGATATACGTGTGCTTGCATATGTACGCACTTGTGTGCTATAGAGAGTGTAGAAAGGTAAAAATTTAGAGGGCTTGGGGTAACATTTTGTTCTGCTTTCTTGGTTATCTCATTAGAAAGAAACTTAAATATTATAGGGATAAAGTTGAATAGGTTTTGTTGATATTCCATAGATGCAATAAGTTCTGTTTTCCCAAGTACATGAAAATCCTGTAAGCAGATTCAAATCCCTTATACCTTCCAGAGTTCTAGAAAAGTTTTTTGACCTGTTCTTTGTTGAATTAGATGAATGATATTGACTAAATGAGATAACACATAAGAATGCTTCTGTCATAGGTTGAAGACCAATACAGGATACTCTGTATATGTTAGTTTCTATCTTTTCCTCCATATTCATGATGAAGATTTAGGGCATATAGGGAGAGACAACTATGCTAGCACTAACCTTTTTTGCCCTGTTTTAATGGAACTTCATGTAGGCCATCTCTAATTCTCCCTCTAGGTAAAGATTTTAGAATGGCAAGTGGGTTGCAAAACTCCTGTCTTATTTTCCCTGCTTCCTGTGTTAGCCTATTTGCCAAGAGTATTCCTACATTTGAAATGTAAAATTCCTATCACTTTGTCACTGTTAAATAGTTTCCTTAGGTATTTCTGTATGCTTCTACTGGAACCTCTTCAGGAAAAAGATTTCAGCTGAAGGAATGATTGTCAACATAGAAGAATTAGAGAATTTTTTTTGTGGATTTAAACAGTTGGAATGAATTCTAGATTCATTCTGTTCAATTTGGTTCATGTACATTCTAAGTCATTCTGTACTGTATACCTCTCATCTTCTATGTGAGCTAGTTTATTAAAGCAATGATTGTTAAATTGTGTCCAAACTGTGATGAATATAAATGGCATAATTCCTTCAATAGTCCTTTTTTTTTGGTGGGACTGAGGTTTAGAACTCAGGGCTTTGTGCTTGCAAAGCAGGTGCTCTACAACTTGAGCCACACCTCCAGTCTATTTTACTCTGGTTATTTTGGAGGTGGGGTTCTCACAAACCATTATGCCCAGGTTGACCATGAACTGAGATCCTTATGAGCTTAGCCTCCCAAGTAGCTAGGATTATGGATATGAGCCACTGGTACCCAGCATCAACAAATCTTTACTGAGCTTATACTGCATATCAGATCATGGATAAGAGATCTGTGGAGAAAAGTGAACAAAGCAGTAGAGCTTATGTTCTAATAGCAGGAAATAGACAATAAAAAGTTAAGTATGTAATATACACATATAAGTACTTAGAATAAGATTACATAGATTAAGAAGATAAAGGTGATAGTGGGGTGGTTAGAAAAGACTTCTCTAAGGAGGTAACATTTGAATAGAGACATTAATAAAGTGAGAGAGTTGGATGGATAAGTGGGACTGAGAGTATTTCAGATAGGCAGAACAAGAGCAAAGGCCCTGAGGTGTAAGGGTAGGGCTGGGTGCATCTGAAGAACAGTAAGGAGGCAGTGGTAGATACAATGAAGTGAGCCAGAGGATAGTGCTATATATGACATCTCTGAAAGCCATGGGAAGAACTTCGATTATTTTTTCAAGCATGGTAGTAAACCCACTGAGGGTTTTGAGAATCAGTGGCATGATCTGACTTAGGTTCTAAAAGGTTTTGGTTTGACTAACACAGTAAGTGATAATGCCATTGATGGAGAACACCAGATTTAGAAAGTGGACATCAAGCATTTTGTTTTGTTCATGCTAAGTACAAAGGCCAAATAGTATATTACAAGTCTGGGTAGTTCAGGAATGGACAGAGACTTGCAAGTTATCAGCTGTACAGTGGTTTTAAAACCATGATATTCTATGAGGCAGATATACATCTTGCTCCCCCACCCCCCCGCAAAGGGGTTTGCAGACTAGGAGTAAAGAGAAGATATGCAAAATAGGATGTGGTAATGTGGAATTACGAGGCGCACATGGGGAAATGAATCATTCAGTTTTGCTAGAATCTAGATTTGAAGCTCATTGGTTTCCCTTTCAAAGGATAGGGAGGATGCAAAAGACTTTGACCTTAAAATCACTTTATCCAACAACAGCAAGGTGGCTGTTGAATAGAGGGCAAAAGTTAACCCTGGAGTTACTGCCTCCTCTTTTCTTCATGTTCCTTATCCAACTTCTTACCAAGATTTGTTATTTTTGCTCATAAGTCACTCTCATTTTTGCCCTATTCTCTTCTTATTTCTCTGGCCACTTAAAACTATGTTTTTATCCCTTTTCTTGCATGGTATCTCTCCCTAAAATGTCCTACATGAGCTACATTTAAACATAATATCCTGAATATTCCTATCTTACTTGTCCAGTCTTATTCTTCACTAATTTTTTGAATTATCCTGTTCTCTTCACTAAATTGTAAAATGCACGGTGAATGGTCAAAATCAACAAAAAAGCAACAATCTGGGTTGGTCCCCTCAAATAGCTGGTTTTGGAATGTGTATAGGTGACAAATTTAATCTTGGTTAGATGGAAGCAACATCCTAACCCTTTTGACCTCATATTTCAAGATTCTTCACCCTTTTATAGTTGGAGATGAGATGATCTTGGGATTTCTCCAGAGACCCACATATAGTTTGTGTGGCTGAGTTTCACAGGCTTCTGTGACTGTCCAGAATGATTGGAAGTCTCCAGGTATAGAGGAGCCTCTCCAGTGGTTTTGTCTTATGGTTGGGAATAGTTTTGAATCCAGTGAAATCCTGGGTACAATAAAATCTTTAGTTCTCTGATAGGTTTTTTATGTTTAGTTTGTATGTTTGAGCTATACAAATTATTAACTATATAAATTATTAATGAGTATATCTCTTACCAACTATCCACTGAATCAATCTAAAATCGTGATGCTCTCCCTTTCTACCAGGTTTTTGCTGCAGAGGGATTAAAGCTTACTTCAAAAGTACAAGCTTTTTCAAAACAGGTAACTCCTGTCTACCTGCACAGTGCCTGTGGTGATGTAATGTATACCTACTTTGGGAGTATATTGTTGAGATATAAAGGTACTTAAGATATAAAAAATGAAGTTGTGATGGAGTAATTGTAACTTCCTAAATTACATTTCAGCTAAAAGATGATGACAAGCTTATGCTTCTCTTGGAAATAAATAAGCTAATTCCCCAGTGTCACCAGCTGCAGACAATAATTAAGACATCTTTGCAGAATAAAGTGATTCTAAAGGTAATAGGGAGGGTGGGGTATTCAGGTAGACACTTGAGAAGCTGGCATCCTTTTGTCTCTATCAGGTTAGATCTAGCTCCTTTTTCTTGAAACAAAAATGTTGCCCTTACCCATAGAAGGGCAATTTATTTTAATTTTTCATACCTTTACTGAAAGCATTATTTATTATCTCCTGTTATAACTGACCATTAGCAGCAGGTTCACCAAATAAATGGGCTTTGTAGATACAGATTAATTCTGTAGCGCCAAACAGCTACCCTTATGTCATCACTGTATAAGCACAAACACCTCAAAGTCTGGGCTCATGCCCACAGAGCAAGAATTGCAATGTAGAGGATCCACTGCCAGTATTTGGAGAGTTTTGAGAAGCTCCTAAACAGCCTGTAGTAGCCACTTTTCCACCCATTATTCCTGAGGCACCATAAAATAGGCATGAGCCTGGGCCACAAGCCCTGCTGTTTGGGGTCTCAAGTCAGCTTATGTGCCTCAATCCCTACTTTTCAAAACCTCTTAGATTCCATGATGGTGAAATTTTATCATGTCAAAACTATACAGGTGATAAATTTTTATGAAGTATCACTTTTAGAATTTGACTTGAATGCTTTCCTGTCACTGCAGGTTGACAAGTGTATTATAAAGACAAGGTCCATGATGACTCTCTTGGTTCAACTTCTCTCCCTGTGCTATAAGCTGCAGAAGAAGGTGAGGTAGTTTTTCTACCTAAAACTGATTTTTTAAAAAAGTTAACTTTAAGGAAAATGCAAAAGAGAATAATAGCACTTTATTTTGTAACTTTTTTTCAGAGTAAAGCAGAAACTAATTATCTTAACTCTTTGCAGTTTCAGATAGAAAATAACAGGCGGGTCTCAGTTACCAATAAAGACACCATGGACAGTAAAACTTGAGAAGCTTTGGGCCAGATCTTTGGAATTTCATGTGACAAACCTGACATTTTTAAAAGCAAATGATGGTATTTTCAGGAATTCCTCAGTTTTATAAAGAGAACAATACTGAAATCTTGCTTTATTTTCTGATCTTCAGACTGTGAAGCTTTCTGACAACTAATAAATGTGATGGTAGTTGCTAGAATTCTAATTGCAATGTGATTTTAAAATGAGACTGTGCACTAATAATGTTCTTTATATGTTAAACCAAATATCCCACTGTCTTTAATGACAATTGAATCCAAAGAAGCTACTTTGATTAGGTTCTCAATTTTCATGTATTATACTTTATTTTCTTTATTTAAGCTCATCATCAAGAACACTGCCTTTAGTAGAAGATACATGAGTCCGGGTGAACACAGGGTTCTTCTTAAACCTGTGGACTCTTTTTCAATCCCTCTGTCCAAGAGTGGCAAGGGCCCCTCTGATGCCCAGTCATAGATCATTCACGTGAGTAGCAAGGTTGTTTTCTAACAACCACCTCACATAGCCAGGATTATGTTTCAGGCTGCATGTGTCCCTACTCTACTTCCCAAAGCAAGATAATGAAACTGGCTCCACAGAACCCTGGAGCAATTTCTGGAAGAAGGAGATGGCTGTCTTTTGGTACTAGTTGTAGCACAGCTGGCCAGTCTATCCTGACTGTTGGCTGGAATCCTCAGCCTTACTGACTTAAAAAAGTTTTGAAATATCCTTCTCAGTATTGATGGAATGGTGACAAAAATGACAGAACATTGCAATCAAGGAGGTGTTTAAATTCTGTATACTCATACACTGTATTTAATATATGTGGCAATGGAACATTCACATCTAACAAATAAACATCTTTAGTATTTTTAACATTGGTGTTTAAGGTTGTTCTTTTTATGGGATGGGATTTGGATTGAAGGATCTGGTTTATGTGCTTTTTCCTTATAAAGTATGCTTAACTTTGTTTTGGAATCATGTCATTTCTGTATCTTGATACTTTGTAATTAATTTTAAAAGCAGTCATGTCATCAATTGCCAACTGGCAGTATATATATAAGTTGGTCTGATGATATTTATCTGGTTAGCCAACACAATCAATGTTCATTTAAGATCATGAAGAGGTCACTACGTCAGTCACCACTGATGAATGGATTAAGAAAATGTGGTATCTATACACGATGGAATTCTATGCAGCCATGAAGAAGAACGAAATGTTATCATTCGCTGGTAAATGGATGGAATTGGAGAACATCATTCTGAGTGAGGTTAGCCTGGCCCAAAAGACCAAAAATCGTATGTTCTCCCTCATATGTGGACATTAGATCAAGGGCAAACACAACAAGGGGATTGGATTTTGAGCACATGATAAAAGCGAGAGCACACAAAGGAGGGGTGAGGATAGGTAAGACACCTAAAAAATTAGCTAGCATTTGTTGCCCTTAACACAGAGAAACTAAAGCAGATACCTTAAAAGCAACTGAGGCCAATAGGAGAAGGGGACCAGGAACTAGAGAAAAGGTAAGATCAAAAAGAATTAACCTAGAAGGTAACACACACACACAGGAAATTAATGTGAGTCAACTCCTTGTATAGCTATCCTTATCTTAACTAGCAAAAACACTTGTTCCTTCCTATTATAGCTAATACTCTCTCTTCAACAAAATTAGAGATAAGGGCAAAATAGTTTCTACAGGGTATTGAGGGGGTGGGGGGGAGAGGGAGGGGCCGGAGTGGGTGGTAAGGGAGGGGGTGGGGGCAGGGGAGAGAAATGACCCAAGCCTTGTATGCACATATGAATAATAAAACAAAAAAAAAAGTCACTACTGCTAGTCAATATTTTACTGAAGAATACTACTTTTGTCCTTGGGGAGAGTCATTGTGCCACTTGAAGTGGGTGTCTGCTGGTGTGTAGTTATATTTTCAGTTCAGCACTGTTGCTGTAGATGTATGCTATGTGTAGAGAAGTGACTGAAATCAAGTCTCGTGTGTATATTTAGGGGAGGTTCAGATTATAAGAAGTTTCTCTTGTGAACTAAAAATAATTTTTAAGTCTAATTTATAAAACACTCTTGTATGTACCTGAAAAGAGACTATTGTCTTATGAAGGTTCAAGTGGGGGTGGGAAGAAATACGACTTCAACAGTATAAGAAGATAAAGAACCAAAGAACCAAAGGAATTTACAGATCAAGTGATTTCTTCTGTATAAAACTATTTTATTTAAAATCAGGGATACTTAAGTGTTGCAGTCCTTAAGAAAATATAACAAGACATAAAAGTTTTTTTTACTTGAAATTCAATGTAAATTAAGTATCTAATCTTAACTAATAAATTCAGTTTTTTCTAGTTTAAATAATGTGAAAGTCTTTGTTCCATTCAGAGGATAATTGTCATTAAAGTAGAGTACATTTGAATGATGTAGTATCATCAACATCTTTATTAAAAGTAACTGTAACTAGAATGTGTGAGACTGAGTGACTGCAGTGTATTTGCAAGAACCAGCTTAATACTGAATTATAGCAGTTCTAATAATTGCTAGCAAAGTCTTTTGTATTTTTCAAAGCCTTTTCATATTTCTGTCATCTAAGAAGTCAGTGTCATGGTTCTACTTTGTTTTAGAGGGAAAGGCCATCCCACTGGTATGAGGAGGAGAGAAGGTACTCTATGCTCTGCCTATTCCCTACAACTTAAAGGAAGAGTTGTTAAGGCAGAGGGGTGACTAGGCTTTTCAGTAGTATCACATTGAAGTAGATTGGGTAAGGAAGACCAGTTAGCTATTTTTTTCACAAAACATCAAGCTGATGGAAAGCTGAGGCAAAAACAATATGCACGCTATAATATTCAAACAGAAATATGTCCAAATATAGTATTTATTTCCAGGTTATAAGTGTGATGGGAAAATTACTTCTATTTGGCTACTTAAAACTTTTCTGTTTTCCAAATTTCTCTCAAAGAGTTTTGTTTGGTTTTTATCAAAAAAATATTCCTTGCTTGCCATATGTTAGAAGCAAGAGAAGAACAGAGAAAATACCTGGACGTGGCAGATCTGGGAGCTTAAAGTGGGAACCAAGGCATGTTACGTTAAGACAAAGGGGGAGGACTAGATTAAGTGAGGGATTAGGCCTCCAGTGCTGATGCTAGGTGGGAAGTGAAGTGGGCTTCACATACACTGGCTCTTCTCCTGTGCACTGAGATGATGTAGGCATCACTTTTATTCTATCTCAGTCCTCACGATGCAGTTCTTGTGGCATTAATGCGTTTTACCACAACTTCTTCATATTGCTTTTGTGTCAGTAATCCTTCTGTTATACTTTTACTTTCTTCAAATTTGGGTAACACAACTGCAATGTACCCTTCAGTGGATGGCTGGAAACAGAGTATTTAGTACTGTTAAATGACCAAAAAGTGAAAAAAGGTATTTCATGGGATCATACATTTTTTCCCCCTTTTACCTTTTCTTGGAGAATAGATGGCTTATGGAGAATATTTTCATTCACTTCCATCAACCGACCTCTAACACAGCTGTTTACAAAAAGAATTATTTTTAAGAAAAATCAATTTTCTTCCAAGAATTCTTCCTGTAGTGATCAAAGGCACTTTGTTAAACATAGGCACTATATTAAGAGACCATTCTGGGTTAGGTGACACATTCAATGTTCATACAAGATCCTGAAGAAACCAGTGTACTACCAATTAGCTAGTCAGTTATTTTATTGAAGAAAGTGTCTACGGTAGTCCTTGGGGAGAAAATACTCAGCTTGGTAATGACCTTTTAAAAATGCTTCTTTAATCAGTCAAAATAAGCATAAGCTTTACTCTATGAAACCAAAATATTCCTTTAAGACTAGTGGCTATAAAGTTACTCACCTAGATACGGTATATTCTTCTCCATCTGAGCAGTATATTTTACACAGAGGTGCAAGTTCTGTTAGAAACTGTGCCCCCTAACAAGAAGGGAGAAGTAAATTAATTGACATGTATTTCTACATCTCTTTGAGAGGCAGTCCTCAGTCTTAAAATGAGATTTATTAGATTAGAAATAACTTAAATTCCTAAAAAACACTCATGTATTCATTTATACAGTAAGTGCTCATTAAGTGCTAAATACCATCCCAGGCTATAAGGAGAAAAGCTAACTAACATGTATGTATGAGATGATAGTTTAGTTACTGACAAATAAGATATTTTCTCAACTGTAAATGAGAAAGCTATAGATAGATAGGTGTAAAGAATTCAAAGTGAGCCCTGGTACTGGTAGCTCACACCTGTAATACTAGCTACTTTGGAGGCTGAGATCAGGAGAATCATGGTTGGAGGCTGAGCAAATAGTTTGCAAGATTCCCCCATCTCCAAAAATACCCAGCATAAAATGAACTGAAGGTGTTGTTCAAGTAATAGAACACCTGCTTTGCAAATGCAAAGTCCTGAGTTCAAACCCCAATCCCACCAAAAAAAAAAAAAAAATTCAACATGCAGCAAAATCCACCATCAAGCAGTAATATAAAATTCAGGATGACAGCAATATTGTACAAAGTTGGTTTCACTAAGATTCTTAAGTTACTTTTATATTAGAACTTAATAGGTAAAGGAACTTTTATAATAGTGATTGCACTAAGACTTTTTGAAGAAGGGTTATTTTTCTAATAAACAAAAATTGATCTTTGAGGAAAATTTGGAAAGCACAGAAACATTTTAAGTAACAAAATAAAAATAATGTATCCATTATCCTATGATCCACTGGTATAATGTTTTTATACTTATAAATATACATTTGAATATTTACGGTATGGTTGTTTCACATACTCCACTACATGGATAGATGAATCTGGGGAAGTTCTGACAAGGAGGCCCATGGTAGCCAATATAGGCATATCTCATTTTCTACTGTTTTCCAAGAATTTTTCCAGTAGTGAACACAGGCAGTTAAAGTTAAGATGCTAATCTTATGACCTTTTATTTACCAATCAAGACATTATTAGATAACATTCAAATACTGCTACATTGGCTTCACTCCTCTGCACATTGGGTAGTTACTTCATTTCAACACACTAGCATAGGTGCAATTCCTCAGGATGAGGGATTTGTCTCAGAGGGACTATCTACAACTTGTCTGTGTCAAAATAGTAGAAGCATTTGGCCTCTTTATCATCTCCCTTGGAAGAACAAATGATTGCCAGTTCTGAGATCCAATCAATGCTTGTCTACAGTAGATTCAATGTGCATGTCCCTCTGTCCATTAGGAACAGCAAAATTCTGGACATTGATTTATTGTGGGAGATTCACAAGAACTAACACTTGGTATAATTTTGGACTTTATGTGTTAAGAAAAGCACACGCTTTTCTACATCTGTTTCCTGAGTGAGGAGAAATCAGTACGTAAGACATGTTATTAGGGTCTCCTGGAATAGTAAGTATAATTAACAGAAACATTTAGCATGAACTGAGTAAATAAAGGACCTAAATCTTTCAGATAAACTTTCCTAACCCAGTGGATTTGTCAGGATACTTTATGATGTAACTAAAGTATCCTTGGTGTGTTACCCTCTTTTAATAACATGTCTATTTTGCCTAGAATTGAAAGGGATAGAGATAACATTTTGTGTAACTGAGCATGTGTAGAGGTAGAAGATGAGGGTAAATGTGTATTAGATTGGCAATGTAGTAAATGAAAAGTGGATAAGGAGCAAATACCATATCATTTTTGCAGATTGTTTTTTCCTACTCCCTCAGGATATTTTTTCATTTTTAATTTACATGTGAAAAATACATGACAGCGCTGGGATGTAGCTCAGTGGCACAGTGCTTGCCTAGCATGAGTAAGACCCTGTGTTCGATTCCAGCACCAAAGAAGAAAAGACAAAAAAAAAAAAATAGAAGACCCAAAATATACATGGTAAATAATAGTTAGTCACCCTAAATTTTATAGAACCTGAGATACTGGTCCAATAACTCCAGAAGAGACAATAGATCTTGATAATACAGGTATCACAGTTGTCCTTTCAAAGGCCCACCTTCCATCTCCTCCATTCTGGGGATAATAAGAATGGCAGTAAAGAACCTAATATGACAGGTACTATACCTCCTGAAGTTTTTTGTGTGTGTGAATTTCTTTAAAATATACTTAATATGTGCACCTCAAACTGCCACAGAAGTATGCTGAGCATACGTTCCTGGATCCGTCATATCATGAATATAGAGGATTATAGTAGATAACCACACAATTACAGGAACATACCCGCTTAAATTTTCCGGAAACCTTATTCTGAAGTCTGCTACAGTTGGTACTGATCTGATAAGAAATACTTTTAATTGTTTTTCCACTTTGAAGAACTGGATGAGATCCAGCCAATGTGATGACACATATTCTACAAGGAGAAAAAATTAATCCTGTGTTATTATATGGAATAATTCCTTCTTCTGTAATGTAGTATTTCTATTGGCATAGAAATATCTAAACTGATATTTGTTTAGTCAAGCTATCATCTCTTTTTTCATCGGCTACTATTGGAGCCTAACTGTAGCACAGGAAACACAGTAATAGAAGAGGAGAAAGCAGGACTGAATTTCCTTCCCAGGAAAGAGAAGAGTGCCAGAGGTCTTTAGGTAGCATGCAGTAGAAGACAGGGAAGTAAGGCATGCCTGTATATGTATGGTGCCACATAGGCATCCACTATAGCCCTCTCCATGCGCTCCAGAGGTCAGTGGTTAGGCACAGGCTGGCTACTTTAGGTAGCACATGAGTCAGGATGTGGGCCTCCATTTGGGCATTTGAGTAGTCAAGTTTATTTTTTCAGAGTGATTAGAGACTGGAAGACTCATTCCTACCAACCAAACTCCTATAATAATATCATTTCAACACAATGGAAAAAAATACATATATTGGGGGGACGAACTGGGGGCTTGAAGTCAGGGCCTCATGCTTGGTAGGCAAGTGCTCTACACTTGAGCCATTCCACCAGCCCTTTTTTAAAGCTCTAATTTATTTTTAGATAGGGTCTCAGGCTTTTTGCCTCAGTCAGCCTCCGCCCACAATCTTCCCACTATAGCTGGGATTACAGGTCTGAACCACCATGCTGTGCTTGTTTTTTTGAGATCAGGTCTTGCCTGAACTGGCCTCAAGCCATGGATCCTCCTATCTCTACCTCCTGAGTCTGGGATTATAAGTATGCATCACCACACCTGGCCCACAATGGAAGATAATTTAATGAATGTTCATTTAATGAACTTTTGTTCAATCCAGAGTTATACCAGGCTAAGTTACCAGAAGAGAAAAAATTTGATTATTAAAAATTCCTGATTTGCCTACCGGTTAGAGTGCTGCAGTATACAGTGGTCCTCACAGGGTTTTCCTTTGACATCTAGAAGAAGAAAAAATGAATTGTTGGTTGTTCAACCAATATTTATTATCACTATGTGGTACTTTCTTTGATTCATAAAGATAATTAATTATGAAAATCAGACTCATGCTGATGACTGGTATTCCTTTATCACTCAAAAATAAATATAAAGGTTTCTACTTAAAAGCAACTGAGGCCAATAGGAGAAGGGGACCAGGATCTAGAGAAAAGGTTAGATCAAGAAGAATTAACCTAGAAGGTAACACCCACGCACAGGAAATCAATGTGAGTCAACTCCCTGTATAGCTATCCTTATCTCAACCTTCCTATTACTGCTTATACTCTGTCTTCAACAAAATTAGAGGTAAGGGCAAAATAGTTTCTGCTGGGTATTGAGGGGGGGGGGAGAGGGAGGGGGCGGAGTGGATGGTAAGGGAGGGGGTGGGGGCAGGGGGGAGAAATGACCCAAGCCTTGTATGCACATATGAATAATAAAAAATAATAATAAAAAAGGTTTCTAATAAACAAATGTTAAGGTGATTAAGTCCTTGCCATTTTGCTTTCTTCTCACTTTAAAATGAGTATACCATATCCATTATTTCTGTTACCCTCAGTCCTGGTAAAGCCAGGACAGCTGGATATCCTAAATTTGGCCTAGAGAAAATACATGCGTGCATATTTGCGCATATTTTGTGTGTGTGTGTGTGTGTGTGTATGTGACCGTTATCCCTGAATGAAAGGAAGAAAGTTGGGGTTAGAGGACAGTCCCTAAAGGATGCTCCTGGAACCAATATTTACTTAGTACACAAAACAGTACATGGGGAATGCCTACTTCTAAAAGGCAAATGAACAATACCAGCGGCTTCTCCGTAAGTAAAATTATAGATACTGCTTCCTGAATGTCTCTATACTAACGTAGCCACTTCTCGCCATCCTACAGCCTCGTCTAGCTTAATCTGATAATTTTAAGTAACTAGCTATAGGACTGAGCCCCTCGAATCCCTCCAGGCTCTCAAGGTCCCTTGCCACCTGTGCCAGCTAGCCTACCTCGGGAGCCTCGGTTTAGCCTACTGGTGTTCCCTCAAGCAACCCACACCGGGCTTGCATTGAGCTCCCCCTCCTCAGAATTCGCCCCCCAACTCTTTGCAAGTCCCACCTGGGCCTAGAGGGGAACGCAAAGGTCAGGTTTCTCCTGACGTGGGTAGGAAGCTCCAGGAAGAGCACTTCTTGGCTTATGATCTGTCACCGCAGTCCTCGCAGCATCAGGCCAATGCGGCCAAGCAGATCCCCATCATTCCGTACTTACCAGCTTTGTACCAGCGAGTGAAATAACGATCCACCAGCGACGGCACCGTGGGTTCTGGGGCCGCTGGCTCGGTAGCCATGGCGACCGGCCACGCCGCTGCTCTAGCCCTCCAGAAAGCGAATACTTCCGACCAATAGGTTCCGGCCGGAGATGTCCTTCCGGCGCGCGGCTGAGTTGTGCGCATGCGCACTGCTTCCAGGCCTTACAGGGCCTCCATCCCTCGCCCTTGCCAATTACCGTGCTTTGCAGTCTGAAGTCAAATTGGGGATCAAATACAAACGGGTGTCAGAAGGGCGGAGGGAAAGGAGCCAGCAGCCAGCGCAGCTCCTCTAGGTTGCTGGGGCTACAGGAAAGGGCAGTAGGAGCGATCCGCCAAACAGCCCGGACACGCCCCCTACGCCGCGTGACGCCCCCTACGCCGCGTGACGCCCCCTACGCCGCGTGACGCCCCCTACGCCGCGTGACGCCCCCTACGCCGCGTGACGCCCCCTACGCCGCGTGACGCCCCCTACGCCGCGTGACGTCCTACGCCGCGTGACGTCCTACGCCGCGTGACGTCCTCCGCACCGCCTCGCTCGTGCTGCTCTCTCCGCACAATTTCTCTGCGTAGTTCCAGCTTCAGTACCCTGAGGCAGAGCGTCCCGGTGCGCACGGGAGAGCTCGGGCTCCGCGGACAGAGAGGCTAGTGTGCCTTCCGGCGCGGGCTCCGGGAGCCGAGCGCGCGTGGCGGGAGAGGCGAGGGCTGGCGCGCCGCTGTCTGGGGGCCCTCGGCGCGGCGCAGGTGAGCTGTCAAGGGACGCGCCCGGAGAAGGGGCCTGGGACCCTGCTCTGTGCTCCCGGGGATGCCCTGGTGCGGGAGACCCCGACGCTGCTGTGCCGGCCGCGGGCCGGGAGGTGGAGTGCGGCGTGGCCCTCCTCTTCCTCCGGGCCCTAAGTTCTCTCTGCAGACTTCACCCGCTCCCCCCGGCCTTCCGGGGGCCCTGCGGGCGCAGCAGCCGGGATGACCTGCGCTCCTCCAGCTCCCGAAATCCAGCTTCGGGATTCCTTGCAGGGGGCAGATAAGACTAGGGAAAGCAGATCAATTCGTTCACGATGGAAGCCGATGGTTCTTAGAGGGTGGGGTGCTCTTGCTGCGGAGGTAGTGTCTCCTGGGCCCCTGCACCCATTGTGCTGTATTATGTGGCTTTCTCCCCCGCTAAGCTGTGGAGTGATTGTATGATATTTTTTCTTCGGATCCTAGCACTTAGTAAGTTTTACCATAGGTCTCAAACTGGAGAGTAGGATTAGGTATCGTACAGGATTCGACTTGGGAACAGAGAGAGTAAAAATGCTAAGTCCCAAAATATGGCGATCTGTCTTTTGGTGCAGGAGTAGCAAGCTTGTCGTTTTTCAGGTTGCATCTGATGTGCTTGTAATAACAGCAGGAGGTTGACAATGCGGGTTGTGTTCAGTTTGGACTAGTTCAGTTAGTTAGACTTAATAGGTTTATCTTATGCTCTTACAGCGATCTGCCCTATTCTTGTTGTCGTGGGCATGGTGAGTAGCCCAGAGGTGGATGAATGAAGGGCAAGGGAAGAAAATGCAGGGAATTAGGAGATGATTCAGGGTTGGCCAGTGCTGTTGAGGGATCTTTAGCACATTTAAGGACTGAGACAAATTGGATCAGTGGAGACAGGAGAGTTGGAGATTGCAGATGTCAAGGAAAGAATGTTAACAGGCCGAGATTCTGGAGGAGTTTGGAGTATATTCTTTTCTTAACCTTGAAAGAAGTGGGGACATGCTTCCTCTGAGAAGTTAAGGGAGTAGGATGATGGGTATGAAAGGTCATAGAAGTTAGTTTTCATGCTCTAGTGATTGAGGAAGGAGAGCGATTCATGAGCTCACTTTGGCTGGCTGTGAACTCAGTGATTAGAAAATTCAGTTTGTTTGTTGTGTTTGTCAGTCAGGTTCCAGTCAGAAAAGTAGAAGGTAAACAACATTTCATCAGAATTTAATATGAAGAATTAGTTAAATAGCTGTTGATACTCAGGAACTCAGGATGAGAGTCATACTTCTGTCTCTGGGGATGGAATGTTGAGGCTGGGCCTGGGAGCACTGGAGACTGGAACCAAGGGCCCCTGCAAGACCCATTGCTGGGTGACAATCACAGAAACAGCAAGGTAATGGGAAAAAGTGAGTCCTCTTTCCTGTACCCTCCAACATTCTTAGCCTAGATTCCATGGACTCCGGGGCTGCACAGATTGTTGGTGACTAGAATCCAAGTTCACAGGAAGGGATATAGGAGACAATGGGATTTGATCATGGCAAGAGTAACAGTATATTCTGTGGTTTGGAAGTGTACCCCAAAGTTCATGTGTTGGGAACTTAATCCCCAGGCGACAGAGGTGGAACCTTTAAGAGACAACAGCATAATCATTAGATAAACCAGTGTGAAAACCGTTAGTAGCTACACAGCTGCCTCTCTGCTCCCTGTCCTCATTTGTTGCGGTCCTATCCCTTGCTTACTCTTGCCAGGCATTCTCTATTCTCAACTCTCCCTGTACTTTCAATTACATGTCTTGGTCACTTTTAAAGATGAAAGACATGTAGTATTTACACGATTTGAAAACCCTAGTTCTATAAATGGAAAATATTTTAATTAAAAACCCACATGGCAGTGCTGGGGAGTGGCTCAAGTGATAATGCACTTGCCTAGCAATTGAGAGGCCCTAGGTTCAATCCCCAGTGCCAAAAACAAAAAAACAAAAAAACAAAAAACAAGACAAAACAAAAAAACCACAGCAAAATAAAATAAAAAATCAGTCTTCCTGTGTTTCTTAAGCTTATCCTCCTGCCTTTGCCTCCCAAGTAAAAATCCACATGGTATTGGTTCAAATAATTTCCACATGTTCTTAAATACAATGTCACCAAAACTGAATAAAACAATTCTTTGCCTTGATTCTCTTTCTCACTCTTACCACACATGATTTTGCCTCCTCTTAACCCACATTATATGTTGCATCGTTTCTGTTATACTTGACATTATCTGCTTTGTACTGGACTCATTTTTATTATTTTCATGCCCTACGTAAGAAATGCAAGATTGAGAAATCTCTGTGGGTTAAAGTGACAGTGAGACCAGTGTGACCTGTATAATTGCCACCCGAAGTTAGAGAATTTGATCATAAACCTTTAAGGGATATATTTAAATACCCAGGGTATTTGATGGCTTTTGTTTTCCTTAGGTAATATTGTTCATTAAAGCAAATCTGATTTGACAGACCAAAGTAAATAACTTATTTAGCGTTCTTTCCGTATGTTCTGTTGTATGGTAGAAGCTGCTAATTTGAAGTAGTTATATCAGATCTTTATGCTCGTCAAAATGTTCGTCATCCTTTTGAAGCAAGGTATCATTTTACTGGATCTTCCCCCTGGGAACAGTAAATACTTTTTTTCAGTTTTTTTATTAACAATTTATTTTGAGTGTATGAATCCAATTTATTAATAAATATTCCTGGTAGATATTAAAGATATATTTTCCAGATTCCTTTCTACTGCTGGTATATACATACTGATTTTTTTATATGGTTCTAATCAATGGGGTAGTCTTTTGTTTTTCCTTAGGAGTTTTTAAATCGTTCAGACTATAAAGATATCTAATATGGAAAAATAGAATGTTTTTCCATTCATTTTGTTCTTTTCAGTTATTCTAAGGAATAACTCTTGTCAAATATTTTTTGAAGAAACTCTGAAGCTGAGAATTTTCCTTTTCTATAGAGTGAGAACATAAAGTAGAACCCTCAGTTTGTAGACCATAGCTATACAACTAGGTTGCTGCCACACATCTGTATAGGGGTATGTGTTCTGAAAAGTAGGTCCCCCTGGGTTATTCTAACTACCACTTCTCTACCATCTGAATTATTATACTTGAGGTGAGTGTAATCATTTATCACTTTAAGCTGTTTCTTTCTCTTTTAGGCATTAATACTTGCTCAAGAGAAATTTGTATTTTTTTCCAGGTGTTGCTTCATCATGCGAAATCTAAAGTTGCTTCGCACCCTGGAGTTCAGGGACATTCAAGCACCAGGGAAACCTCAGTGCTTCTGTCTCCGAGCTGAGCAGGGTACAGTGCTCATTGGCTCGGAACAGGGACTGATTGAAGCAGATCCGCTCACAAGAGAAGTAAGTTACTGATGGAGATATGAGCACTTGGCATGACCCTTCACTTGTTTCCTTCCAAACCTCCTTCTCCCAGATAGACTTCGTTTATGTCTTAGTTAATTTATGTCTTCTTAAATTGACCTCTTCTTTATACAGAGGGTTTAGTAGCTAAAGCTTAAATGGTAACCTATCTTTGGTGTTATTTTAAGATAAATTGGCAAAGCAGTGACCTTACATTTTTTGTGAGTACCCTCGATTTTACCCTTTCTGTATGTGCAAACTATTTAAACAGTGGTTCTCAACTAGGAATACACATGAAAATTGCCCATGGTGCTAGGGGTCGAACATAGGCCCTTGTGTATGCTAAGCAAGTGCTATACCACTGAGCTACATTCCCAGCCCCTACCCATGTAACTTTTTAAAAATATGTTTAGACTCCCAATCCATACTTGGTAAATCCCAGTCTTTAATGCTAGATCTGACCATATATATTTTTTAGGTAGTATGAGTCAATTTTTATATTTCCTCTTATTATATGTTGCTACTAATCTATTTTAGGTGATTATATTAGATTGCCATTTCCCCATATTGTAGAAATTCTAGAAAACTATGATCATGGGACTAGGGATATAGCTCACAGGAATGGAGTGTATGCTAAGCACCTGAGAGATCCTGAGTTTAATCCCCAGCACCTCAAAAAAAAACAGTCATTAGCTTGTTTTTGGTGGTACTGGTAGTTGAATTTAGGGCCTCCTGCTTGCTATGCAAGTACTCTGGCACATGAGCCATACCCCCATCACCTTTTGCTTTTTACTTATTTTTGAAATAGGGTCTTGAATTTTTGTCTGGGCTGGCCTGGACTGTGATCCTCCTTTTCACACTTCCCATGCCCTCTGTCATGCCCAACTATTAGTTAAGATGTGGTCTTTTTACTTCAGCCATCCTTGAACCCAGGTCTTTCTGATATCTGCCTCCTGAGTAGCTAGTATTGTAGGTGTGAGTCACTATGTCCAGCCATTTTTTATTGGACATTTTTTAAAAAGACACACTTTTTGTTCTGTTTGGATTTGCTTATTTAGCAAGAGTCATATTAGCCATTTTGTAGTTGTTGCTAAATATAATCGAGTTGTAGTATTTCTCAAAAAACATGGTAAAAGTTTTTATGTTACGAAAGAAATATTAGAAAATATTTTATTTCTGTATATGTGATTGTTCTTAAAAGTAGATTGTGTTAATTTCCTTATGTGTTTGCATTGGTGAAAGGTGAAAAATGAAATTCCTTTGGTGGCAGAAGGCTTTCTTCCAGAGGATGGAAGTGGCTGCATTGTTGGTATTCAGGATTTGCTGGACCAGGAGTCTGTGTGTGTGGCCACAGCCTCTGGAGACGTTGTACTTTGCAATCTCAGCACACATCAGGTAAGAAGAGTCCAGTGAGGAGGGAGTCTCAAGTATCCTCAGCCAAGTCACTTGTTTGTTGTTGAGATTTTCAAATTCATAGCCATAAAATCTAAGCTTTTGCAAATTAGTCTTTGCATTGCAAATTTGTTTATTAAAAATTATTGGCATGGCTTTACCTATATTTCAGGATGTTTTGAAAACTCATGTTTATCTACTACATCTATTAATCAAAATGATAGGACATTCTAAATTCGAACTTAAAATATAAATAAATGAACACTGACCATTCTTGTGTGGTGTAGGTTCCATTCAAAATTCCATCCTGAGTTGTGATCTTTTTCACTTTAGGCAGTCTTTGAAATGTTTGTATGGCTTGTATTTTCTATTACGAATGCTGACTGGCTAACTTGAGAGTCCTTGAACTACAAGCATGAAAGTAATATACTGTCACTACAAGCATATTTTGAGAGTACCAGGAACATAGATTTCAACTAGTTGCTTCTTTTTCTACTATAGCATAGGGTTGGAGTTTCTGAATTTCAGCCCTCACCTTATTAGCTATAAGACTTTAGATTAAAATTGCCTAATCCTTTGAAACATCTTTGATGATACCATTAATTGTGATCCTTTGAACATTAATTGAGTCACAGGAGTTATACTATCATTAACAGTAGGATAACAATTGCAGCTTACATTTATTAAATGCTTACAATGTGGCATGCAGAATTTTATTTACTCGTCTACCTTCTGAGGTAGATTGTTACTTCCCATTCTTAAGAAGAGGAAATTGAGGCACACACAGTCTAACTAACTAGGCCAAGGGCACACAGTTACCAGATGGAGTGTGAACCCTAGCAGGGTAAATGTGGCACCTTCACTTTTAACCAACCCATTTAACGCATTAGTAAACCTTGCTCTCAGTTCATGCTGAGAAATAAAAAGCTATCACATTAAACTTCATTAGTATTTCTCATATTTAAAAGATAAGCATTTACTTTCAAAACATTTGTAGAATTTTTTTTCCTGATTACTGAGCTTCATTCTATTTATCTATGTTTAATGATGCTGATCCTGCCCCTTTGTGGCTTCTCAACTGTCTGAACCACAGAGTTTAAAGACCCTTTTGCTCTCTGTTCCTCACATTCCCTTTTAGCTTCATCCCCCATTGTTCCTGGGTATGTGTGTGCCTTAGGCTGTCTTTATAGCTGATTTTTAACTGCTCCTTTTTGCCTCAACACTGTGTTTTCCTTCTTATCTTTCTTTCTCTTGGTCCTTTTGTCATCTTTGAGACACTTTCATAGACATTGTCCTGGACTCTTCCAAGCTGTTTGTCATTCCCTGCTCTGAAAACCACTTTACTTCCTAATCCTGCTGTAGTCATTTTATTGCCCTCATAAGATGGCATTGTGAAGAAAGGCATATCCATTCCAATCCCTGTGCTTGATATCATATGTAATCTCTTGATACCTGTTACTGAAGATATGTTTGTTTGATAAATTCACCTTCATATGCTTGTTTTTGGTTGTTTTAATTGAGGCCATACTAAATCTTTATCAAGATATTGATGTTCTGAATTTCCTTTTTTGATTTTCTCTGCCGCAGCTGGAATGTGTTGGGAGTGTGGCCAGTGGTATCTCTGTCATGAGCTGGAGTCCTGACCAAGAACTGGTGCTTCTTGCTACAGGTAAGCTTGTTATTCATTCGTAACTGATTAATAAAACTTTACTCCTAATATTTTACAGGGTGCTCAACTTTCAAAAATTTTTTTTGAGCAGTGGTAGCAGTGTTATATTGTAAAGTGATTATGTTTCTTTTGGCTTAAGTTTTTCCTTTGGGTTGTCATAAAAAGTTGTTTCATGTAAATTTTTTAGACTTTGGGAATGGAAAAAAAATTTAAACATGCATTTTGTCTGTTCTGTCCTGTCCTGACTATAACGCCTCCTTTCTGGCTCTGTAGTTTACAGTGCCATAGTTGCTTACATAACATGTGTTTGTTACATGAAAACAAAATCCTTCTTGTTCGTGCTCCTCTAAGGTCAACAGACCCTAATTATGATGACAAGAGACTTTGAACCAATCATGGAGCAGCAAATTCACCAGGATGATTTTGGCGAAAGTGAGTACAGCTTTGTGATACTTTGTGGCCTGAAGTTCCTCCTCAGTTTTGATCATTTTCTTATATACCAATAGCCATGTCATAGGTTCAAAGAGCTATAAAGTTTAAATCCTCCTTTGTGAAGTGATAGCCTAGTCCTTCAGGCCATCCCAGATCTTAAAAGGCATTTATCTGATTCCTCTCCAGGTCTGAGAATTGACTTGGTCAGTAGAATAGAAATCTGCTTGAGATCTCCTAGGTAGCTGTTGCCCAAACTGTAGGAAAGGTTAGGCTGGGGTTGCAATGAAAGGAACTGTACAAACTACAATAAGGGGAGCATTTCTGGAGTACAGTTCTGGGGAGAAAAAAACAACAGGAGAGGTGGGGTAGAAGGTTGTACTTTGTTCTGTCAACTAGATCCAAGCCTGCATTTTCATTTGAACAATCAGATTGGTTTTTTTGCTTAGATCTAGCCTAAATTATTTGGGCTTTTAGGCCTTGGGAGTATTGAAGGGAGAAGAGATGCTTATTGAATATGATAAACTCTGGGTAATGTGAAGGCACTGGGTTGCTGGCCTGATTGAAAAGAGGAATTGGGGGAGAAGGTATTTCAGCTTCTGTTGAGGTCTAACTACATGCCTTCCTGACATATTAATTCTAAGAAATCATTTAGAAAATGGCTACTTATTTAGTCATTCAAAATTAATATCAGGATAACTTTTGAGTAGGTACTATGAATCCAGTAGTGTGTTGGTGCTATGGATAATTCAGAAATGGCTACTTAATGTATTTTACCTGAAAGAGGGCCATAAATTCAGTAGCAAGGGAAGGGAAAGAACAACTGGAAGTGAGGGATCCCAGAAGAAGCTGACTTGAACTGAGTGTCAGTTGAACTGATGTTGGGTAGATGAGGGGTGGAGGGTGGGGGAAATTTGGCCCGGTAGTGATTAGCATGCAGGGGTGGCAGGACATGAGTGTAGAATGAATAAATGGGATGGATTTTGATGGAGTTTATATGCTGTGGTAGGGAATTTAAATTGAATCATAGGTGATCAGCCGTTAAAGTGTTTTTTATTATAAAGATTGCTCTTGATGACTTTTTTTTTTTAAAGATTGGCAAAGTTTTACTTAGTAAAGGAGGACAAAGCAGGGAGAAGTAGAAAGGGAGAAAGGAGCACCCCCTGATATTTAGGGGTGGGTTCCGAGAGGCTCTTGGCATTCACTTTTGTGTTTGTGTGTGTGGAGAGGGAAGAGATTAGAGAGAGGTAGGGTGATCAGGTTGCTGTGAAAATCAGATAAGAGATAAGGAGGTAAGTATGGGACTGGAAGAGGGACTTGCCTCAGGAAAAATTCTGATTCTCAATGTAGTTGAGAGTACATTTTTTGGATTTAGCTGAGAAGCTTTTCTGGAATATATGTGCATGGTTTCCCTCTTGCCATGAGCCAGTTTGAGAAATACCAGTGTAAAGACTGAAATAAATAGGCTTTGGATATGTGGGGTAACGAAAAGTTTAGTGAGACTCCAGCTAGAAGTTTGGGTGATAGGAATAAAGATGCCAGTAACTGAGAGAAGATAGATGGGGAAGTGGTAAGTTCTGTTTAAGAACTATACATGATTGTCAGGTAGAATATGCAAATATAAGGGTTTGGGAGCCATTGGTGTGTAATCCTTCCTATCTTGGGAGAAAATGAATTTGCTCAGGGAGCAGATATAGTGATGAAAGAGTCTAGAGCTCAGGATGGAACTCTGGGCATCCAGATTACAGAACAGACACAGAGAGTAATCAGCATACAGCATGCCTGGGAATAGGAAAATGCACGAGGCCTGGCTTTTCCGATATGCCTTAAACAGTAAATTGAGGGAAGGGGAGTCCAAGTTAGGGTCTTAGTCTTAGAAATCTCTTTATTACTTGTCATTCTGGAGTGATGAATATTTTTCCTCTAACGCAGGGGTTGCCAAACTTGTCTTGTCAATGACTAGATAGTAAATTTTTTCAGCTTTGCAAGCTCTACAGTCTGTTGCAACCTCTCAACTCTGCTATTATAATGTGAAAGCAGTTGTAGACAATAATAAGCACAGCTGTGTTCAGTAAAAGAGTATTTATAACAGCAAACATAAGCTGCAGTTCGCAGGTCCCTGCTGTGACCCCATCACTTGCAGATAGAAGCCAAGGGTGTGCACAGGGTAGGCACTGCTCTTTGAATATCACAGCAAGGTGTGCTTTTAGGTACTACAGTGCTGGAACATGCTGTGCAAAGCAGAGAGGAACTGTTGTGCTCACTGATAATTTACAGAAATTATGAACACCCTACTTCATTAGAACCAATGGCAGGAAGGAAATACTGGGTCCTGGATCTGGCTGGTACTTTCACACCCGTCTACTTCTTACAGGTCGATGCCAGATCCTACCTCTAGAAACAGAAGGGCTACATTTTTTGGCAACTCTTACTTTATGTTTTGTGTAAGAGAAGCATTATTTTTACAAAGTACCCCAGTCTGCAAGGCAGAAGCCCTGTGTTGTGATTTTTGCTTCTGTCACAAGGGAGTCTCAGTCTCTTTAAGTCTACATGAAGAGCCACATTTGATAGTCTATAGTCTTCTCCACCGTCAGCAGAAAAGTTGTATACCATGGTTGATTTAAAGTTGAAAATCAGGGCAGGGATGTAGTTGAAGTGGTAGAGTATTTGCCTAGCAAGTGTGAGGCCCTGAGTTCAAACCCTAGTACCACAAAAAAAAAAAAAAAGATGCAAAGCAGAATTTATTCTTAATGTTGTCTTGAGTGTTTTACTTTGTTATCCATGAGCATATTATGGAAATTCTTCATATTTTATTCATATTACTTTTAAGGTGTGGGTGATATTTCTGACTTGTGTCATCAAGGGAATGTAGAATGTATGAGATGGCAATAAAGGCACTTCAAACCCTTCCAGGTCATTGCTGCATGTAATATAGAACCTAGGTTTTTAACTGTTGACTGCTGGTTAATTTATTTAGAAGTCTTAGAGAGCTCAGTAAGTTGTCAGTGACTAACTTCATGAAGAATAATAATGAGACTGCTATTATTTGATTTCCTTTAACTTTTTGCTTGTCTTACATGCCCTCAATTTTTTTTTATTCATTTATTCATATGTGCATACATTGTTTAGGCCATGGTCAAATTGTTTTTTTAGGCAAGTTTATCACTGTTGGATGGGGCAAGAAGGAGACACAGTTCCATGGATCAGAAGGCAGGCAAGCAGCCTTTCAGATGCAAATGGTAAGGTTGGTTTGATGGATAAAGAACCTAAATTGGTTGAAGGTGCTACTTAGGAGACAGAGATCAGGAAGATGGCAGTTCAAAGCCAGCCAAGGCAAATAATTCACAAGAGCCTATCTCGAAAGTACCCAACGTAAAAACAGGGTTGGTGGAGTGGCTCAAGTGGTAGAGCACCTGCCTAGCAAGTGTGAGATCCTGAGTTCAAACCCCATACTGCCAAAAACAAATGGAAGTTCTGCCGCATACCAGGAGCTCTAGGTGGTCATTTCTAGGCCAATAATGGAGAGATCTCTAATGCTTTTATAAAGCTGTAGGTGTTTAGAGCCCTCAAAGAAATGAGTCACCCTAGAAAGATTCTGTTTTCTTTTTTCTTGCCAAGTTGCTTTGTAGTTTTTTTTCAGCATAGAGAATAATTATAACCAATATTCATCACCCAAGCAAAACATCACTGACAGAAATGAATAACCTGTGTAGCCCTTCTTGGAGTCCTTTCACTTTCTTTCCAGAGAGAGCTGCTGTCCTGCATTCACTGCTGGTAATTCACATGCATGTTCTCATACTTTTCCTCCAGATGTACCTATTTTTAAAAGATACTGTTTCTCATTTTTCCTGTTGGATTAAACTTTTTGTTTTCCCACTTTCTGTATTAGAAAATTGTACAGATCACATATAGGTGTATTGATGACCCAAGACAGTGTTTTTCAATCTTCTAATGTAGAAGGCAAAAGCATATGAACACACACACACTGTTGGGGCACCTGGAGAAGTGTTTCAGTGTTTGCTATTACACTAAAAATTTTAAATTCTTGTATCTTAATTTGTATATATTTTTAAGAGATACTGATTAAAAAATATTGCCATTAGGTAAAATGAAATGACCCAGTAGAATCTGCCATGGTGGTCAGGCACTGCCAAGGGAAGCATATCTCTTTCTTAGAGACATGTAGATTGCATTGCTTTATCATGACATTCAGTAGCCATGTGACGTTGGCAAGTTTTCTGACATTTCTGAGCATCCGTGCTCTTGTCTATAAAGTGGACATAGTGATGTCTCCCTAGTGAGGTTTAGAGGCAATAATACATGTGAAATGCCTTCCACAGTACCAGCAGAGTAGGCAGTCAGGTGGTAGTTGCTGCTCTTATCTTGGTAGACACATAACTTTTGAGATTTAAAAAGCACAGGCATTATTTCAAAACAACTATGTTCTAAGTAAAATGTGCATGTTAATCTACTTTAGCATTCTGAAAACTGAGATGATCCATTAGAATCAGTAAAGCACTATTAAGGGCAGAAAAGTAAAGTATTCCCCTCATGACCTTGCTTCCTTAGGATAAACTTCTAGTGCTGTATCCAGTTCAGGAAAATTGGATTTGATGTTGCCTTGGTTTTTTAAGTGATTTTACTGAAGAACTTACAAAAGGTGGGGGGAGGAAGCAGGAGTAGGAAAGGAATTTGACTAAGTAAATTGGATTGTGTACATTTGTGTATTCTTTTTTGCTCTGAAGAACTAGTAAAATATGACAACTTTCAAAAGCCATGTATATGTCAGTAGGTTTAAAAAATAGTTCTTTATTGATATATGCTACAACATGGATAAACCTCATAGATAAATGAACCAAATCACATGTTACATGAATGTATTTGTATAACATGCCCAGGATAGGCAAATCTATAGAGGCAGAAAGTAGATTAGGGCTTATCTAGAATGGGGAGTTGTGGGACACAGGTAGAGTGACTGTTGATGGGCCCGGGCTTTCTTTTGTGGATGCTAAAAGTGTTATCATGAAAATACATTTTAAAACATTGAATTGTACAATTTAAATGGGTAAACTTTATGATGTGTAAATTATATTCCAATAAAGATGTTAAAAATAGTACTTTAAGAAAATATAAATAATATTCAGAATAAGGCAACTTTCCATACTCTGTTAAACTCTAGAAAAGACATTTTACTCCTGGTACCCACTAGATTAAGAATTGTCTAATGTTGCCAAAAAGAGGTTTTAGTAATGACATAAAATAATATAGGTAATGGGGGGGGAACTAAAATACATTCTTATATATAATGTACTTTCCAGTAGACTACTTTAGCTTTTGTTCATGAATTTTTTTAAAGGCTCTAGGGCCTTGTCTTAGTTCAAAAGTTCACAGTTACCTTTCAGAAAACAAATTAAAAAATTTGTGGATTAAGTACCAGGTATGGTGGCTCATACCTGTTGTCCCAGCTACTCCAGAGGCAGAGATCTGGTTTTTAAAGTTGGTGACTCAAGGACAGGCTGGGCAAAAAGTTAGCAAGAACCACACCCAATCAATAAGCTGGGTGTGGTTGCACACACCTGTGATCCCAGGTACTTAGGGGGTATAGGTAGGAAGATTGCAGTCTGAGACCTGCCCTGGTTAAAAACCCTACCTGAAAAGTAACTAAAGCAAAAAGGACTGGTGGCCTGGCTCAAGTGGTAGAGTACCTGCCTAGCAACTATAAAGCCCTGAATTTGAACCCTCTACTGCCAAAAAGAAAAATTTGTGGATTAGAAGCAAGTATTTGTGGGAATGGTCTGGCTTCTCTTGCCTGTACTCTTCTGGAGCCCAGTAACACTGATTTAGAAGGTTGCATTGTATATCATTTTCCTACGAGTAGGAAATTTATTGAGTACCTACATGTTTCAGGCTCTTCTTGTGTAAATAAAACCCCTACCCACAACAGAGGGTATTCTTTTGGAGGGGATAGCCATTAAAATCATATATAAAATGGCAAGGAATGAACACTACTATGGAGAACAGTGGAGTAGGATCTGAGTGGCAGATAACAGGAGGTGTGCCTGTGAGGGATGGCCACACCAAATAGGTGCTGTTTGATTGTGGACCTGAAGGAATTGAGGCTGTGTCAATGTCTGGGAGAACATTCCAGGTAGAATGAAGTGCTGAAGACCCTAAAGTCACGTTTTTTTCTTGAAGGCCTTTGTGGGGAAGCAAGGGGAGAAGAGTGTAAGAAGCCAGAGATGTGACAATGGTGGGCATGCTTGTATCCCAGTGTCACTATTGTTTTTATTCCAGTTGCTGAAGGGAACCATTGAAGAGTTCATAGGGTGACAGGACCTGATTTATGTTTTCATTAGTTCGCTCTGGCTGCTGTGTTCAGTGGAAAAAGGAGAACAGGAGCAGATGTGGCAAGCTCTCAATAAACCCTGTGTGACTAGGGAGATGACAGAGGGATGGTGAGGAGGGACTTGACTCTCAACATATTTTGAAGGAAGAGCTATAGGATTTACTGATAGAGATCAGATGTGGGTGTGAGAGAGAGGAATTGAGGATTATGCCAAGGTTTGGGCCTGAACAGTTGGGAGCATAATTTTATATAGAAATTTCCTGGGCAACCCTTCTAGGAGCGATGAATCAATAATACTCTGCTTCTGTTTACAGTTTTCCATCCTTTTATTATTTCCAGCTGCATTCAATGTAACTCATTTTAGCCCTTACCCCTTCAGTAGAGGAAGTTTGTGATCTATACATAGGGCAGTTCCACCAAGAATAAATCTTGGTAGGCTCCCTGTGTATTCCCTGCTATGCAGATGAAGACTAGCAGCCACTAAGGTGCATTGGTGCTCAGGTGCTTATTTGTAGACTTGGCTGCTGTCTTCAAGGTCTACAGATTGAGATGCAAGGGGTACTGGTAACCTTTGTTCCTCCTCTACCACAGATCACAGAATGTTTTCATCCTAATTTGCTCCTGCCTTTTCACCTCTGACTCTTCCCTACTCACCTACCTCTCAGCTCGTTACTCTTCTGGGCTCTGTTGTGAAGCTTAAACAATAATGAAACAAAATTCTACCCTGTTAAATGTAGAGCATTTATTCCTTTTATAGTTACCTGGTAGGTTCTTTAGTTCATTTTATTTATTTATTTATTTTTTTCACACACAGGCTCACTATGTAGCCTAGGGTGGCCTCCAACTCACTATATAGCCTAGGCTAGTTTTGAATTCGTGATCCTCTTGCTTCTACCTCCTAAAAACTGGGTTTATAGGCATACACGATTATGCCCTGCTTCATTATATTTAATATTTGGATCTATAGTGCTTGTTTAATGCCCAAAGGATATTTTTTCATTTTAATGCCCATGATATTTTTGCTTTGTTTTCTTTTTCAGTTCTTTGTTCTTGATGATTTTTGGGTCTAAGACCTTTCTAGAAGGTCCTGGTGAGCCTTTGCAGTTGGTTTTCTAGATAGCTTAAGCCTCGTGTAAAAGAGTTCTATTTAATGACTGAGGCTTGTTTGGTTCTAGACCATCACAGTCCCACAGTAATACTGGTGTTTCTTTCTCTCCTTAGCATGAGTCTGCTTTGCCATGGGATGACCATAGACCACAAGTTACCTGGCGTGGGGATGGACAGTTTTTTGCTGTGAGTGTTGTTTGCCCAGAAACAGGTATGAAAATAAATTGCAGTCAAACCAAAAAAAAAAATTTTTTTTTTACCTTATTTAAGTTTAGAAAAGTTTTCTTCCTTTTGCTTTGGGTAGAGTATTAATTACAGAGAAAAGGAAAACATGTGCTGCTTTAGATGTTAAATGAGTTAAGACTTGGACCAGAGTCCTTTACTGCCATCTGGTCTAGCCTCTTTCCCAATGGGTACAAGTGGGAGAAACATCTGAAAGGTAATGACTTGACATTTGTTATAATGTTTTAATTGCATTTGTTTGTTTGCCTCCACCTCCTGTTCAGGGGCTCGGAAGGTCAGAGTATGGAACCGAGAGTTTGCTTTGCAGTCAACCAGTGAGCCTGTGGCAGGACTGGGACCTGCCCTGGCTTGGAAGTGAGTGGGAGAAGAAACCTGGGGACTCCTTGCTCAGAGAATTTCTTGGAACCAGAGTTGTGGTAGTGGTACTCATTCAATATAGAAGGATATTTAGTTTTCTTCATTTGGCAGTGAGCCTGTATCTAGCTTCTTTTTCCCTTTCTCCCTTCTGTCCCTCCTTCTCTCATTTGTTTCCCCAGAAATCTGAATTCATTTTGAATTAGGATTCTGAACTTCTCTACACTCTAAGGTCCCACATATTTTGCATTCCTGAGTGTTAAAAGGTTATGGTTATAAGTTGGGCCTATGTGAAGCCATTGTAGAAAACAAAATTGCACTTAGAGGGGAAGTTCTAATCTGCAAATGGAATAAATGGTGCTTTTGTGAAAACTAGGAAAACAGCGTCCTTCCTCTGTACAGATTTCCACAGCAGGGGATCTGGTAGTCCAGAAAACTGCAGGCTGGACTGCTGAGCTCCCTTCTTTCGTCCACCTCCTTGGCTCAGTATCCTGTCATGTTGGCAGCATATAGATTATAGATAGAAGAAATACCACCTGTTTCAGTAGCATCTGTTACATGCAAAACCATGTGTCTTCAGACATTTGTTTTCTACCATGTTTGAGTGGCATTGGGTGATAGAGCAAGAGAGATGTATTTGAATTAAAACTGGAGATAAATATGAGTAAGACTAGGGGATTCGGATGTTTTCAGTACATACAGAAGCATGGAATAATTGAAGAAGAATTATGACTTTTAGGATATTATATTTGGAATGGTTTGGAAAATTTACTGGTTTTTAAAAATGTCATTCAAGTGCAGTTTAAATCTGTAAGACTTTATAGACAAATGGAGCCTACACTTTTTCTCCTGGACAGGTGCTTCTGTATGTTGTGGTAAAATACTTGAGAGATGTCTCTTGTCTGAATTTCCTTTTGTGCTTTAGCCTGCCAGATGGGCTTTTGGATGTTCTAATACTGGGATTTCTTTAAGACCCTCAGGCAGTTTGATTGCTTCTACACAAGATAAACCCAACCAACAGGATGTTGTGTTTTTTGAGAAAAATGGACTTCTTCATGGACACTTTACACTTCCTTTCCTCAAAGATGAAGTTAAGGTAAGTGTCTAGGTTATTTGTCATCAAATTTAGAGGACTGTGCTCAGCTATTGAGAAATTTGTGTTTGATATGAGTTCTAAACAGAAGCTCCAGAGTAGATAGTAATAAAAATGGTGGCATCTGTGACTGATTGTTTTTCTTATAAACAATAAAAATTGTTTTTCTAAAGTGATTTCTGTACAAAAGAAGTAGCATTTCTTACCTATCCTAGATAAAACAGGAAAGAAATAGAAATGCTAGTTTTTATTGTTTATTTTGACAAAATCATAATTTTTCCAGTGATCTGTTTGGTTTTTTTGTGGGGATTAAACCGAGGACCTCACACGTACTGGGCAAGTGCTCTACCACTTGTAAGCCCCAAGCCCTTTTCAAAAATTTTTTGTTTTTGAGACTGTTTATATATTTTTTCCTGGGCTGGCCTTGAACCTGTGGTCTTCCTGCCTCTGCTTCACAGATAGCTGGGATTACAAATATATATAACAGTGCCAAGATTAAGATACTTTTCACTTATAATGTTAAGCTTTACAAAGCTTGTATACCATTAAATTCCTGCTGAGGTAGAAGCATATTTCTTTTTACACCTACACTTCATCTTAATACTGCTACTCAATTCATGGTCAGATTCTCTTTCATTGTGTTAAATTTCTTATCTTTTTAAAATCTTTAAGCATAATGCATTTATTTTTAAATCCTCTATAGAATGACACATTTCACAGATGCATTAAATAACTCTGTAGGTTAATAATTTACAGCTAGCAGTTAGCTCAGGTAGGGTGGTATTACTCAGTTTGTGAGAGCAGGGAATTCATCTGTTGTGAAGATTTTAAAGCAACTGCACAAGTAACGGTCAATGACATCTTTTGTCCTTACTAGGTAAATAACTTGCTCTGGAATGCAGATTCCTCTGTGCTTGCTGTTTGGCTGGAAGACCTTCAGAGGGAAGAAAATTCCACACTGAAAACCTATGGTTAGACAACTATTGTATCTTGGCTTATACTTCATAAAATTTAGTCCCATAGTGGAACCAAAGGAGCTGACATGGATAGATGCAGGTGGGGAGGGGTTAGGTTTGGGTCATTCATGTATCAGTCAGGATTCACTAGAAAAAAGGAACCAGTAAGAGATGTATGGTTGGGGGGAGGCAGGAGAGATGTTGATGGATTTATTATGCTTGTAGGGATGGCAAGTTTGAAATTCCTAGAGCTGGCTGGCAGTCTGGAAAGGATTTCTGTGTCAGATTTGAGGCACAAGTCCTTTTTCTAGGAAACCTCAGTTTTTGCGTTTTAAGGTCTTCAACTCATTGAATGAGACTACCCGTGTTATGGGGGCTAATCTGCTTTATTTGAAGTCAGCTTGTTGTGAATGTTATTCATATCTGCAAAATACCACCACAGCAACAAGAAGTGTTTGACCAGGGCACCACAGCCTGGCCACACTGACACATAAAGTTAACCATCACAAGTCACTAGTGCTCTTCTTTCTTTTTTTTTTTTTTTAGCTTTTCAAATGTGTACATATGTGTTTAAGTATTAAAGTATAGGAAAATACTACAAAGTAAAGATGAGAAAATAATCCTTTAGCTCTGACACTTAGTAACCAGTGTTACTGGGGGGCCTTTTGCTCAGTAGGCAGGTGCTCTACCACTGGAGCTATGCTCTCAGTCCTTTTTTGCTTTTTGTTATTTTTTGGATAGGGTCTGGTGTTTCTGCCCCAGGCTAACCTCAGATTGTGATCTTCCTACATGCACCTTCCATGCAGCAGGGACCACAGCCATGCCCCCACCGTGCCTGGCTTATTTGTTGAGATGACTTTCTCTAACTTTTCTGCTCCAACTTGCCTCCAACTATGTCCTGCAGATCTGTGCCTCCTCAGGAGATGGGATTGTTTTCTAAATTTTTTATGTGAACTGTTTCATTTTTGTTAAAAGTATTGATAGGATGCATACTGTCTTATAACTTGCTTTGACAGTATGTCTCAAGCATATTTCCATTTCATATGTACAGCTGCACTATTTTAAATTGTTATATAATATTCTTTTGTTGATTAGTCTTTTCTCAAATCTCTTGCTATTAGACATTTAGTTTTTTAATTTCTCATTGTCGCAGCAATGCATTTGTTCACAAGTCTTTGCTTATTTTCTAAGTATTTTTCAAAACCCTTAATCAGTAGAACATTTTAAGCTGAAATGTTATTTAAAAAATTCATTCATTCATTCAACACAGTAATTCTCAACCCTGGCTGTTCCTTTATTAAAAATAGTAGTATCCAGGTTTTATCTCAAGAGTTGGATTCAGAATGTTGGGCTAGGGAGTATGCGTCAGTATTTATTTAATTATTTTTGATGGTGTTACAAACCCAGGGGTTTATAAAAATTAAAGAAAACAACAACCAAAATTTCTGAGTGATTTTTAACATGCATCCATTGTTGAAAACCACCAATTAACTGATATAGCAATAGATAATACTGTGATGTACTCAGGATAAAAATATTGCACAAGAATAGCCATTGTATCTGTCCTCATGGAACATGAGCCTGTGGTCTAAGTTACCAGCTCATGCCTACATATAGCATCATAATAGCATTGTTAGAAAGCTAGGTTATATTAGCTGTGGTCACTAAGTTGAGAATTAGTGAGCAATGGTATTAAGGAAATAAATTCTTTAATATCTTAATCTACATGTGTCATTTATTATAAGGACTTGTTAGGGCATGAGTAGGTCTTACTCTTTTAATACATGTTTAGAAAGGATCATTGAATGCACACTAATCTTATTTGGGCAGCTGAATCATAGTTAATAACTTGGGACATAATTACATGCAAAGCACCTGAAAGAAAATAAGGTGTTTTTTTGGGGAGATTTTTGGTGGGAATGGGGTTTAAACTTAGGTCTTTGTGCTTACCAAACAAGGACTCTACTGCTTAAGCCACACCTCCAACCCCAAAATAGCATCTTAATCCCATTCATGTAGAGAAACTAGTTCAAGTCTGGAGTGTTCAGTATAGTCATGTGTAACATGATGACATTTCATTCAATAGCAGCTACATGATACCTAGTGGTCCCATAAGATTATATGACCCAGTGACATTGTACCCATCTTATTTGTGCAAGTATACTTTTAGGATACTCACATAATAAGGGTATCCCCTAACTATACATTTCTTAGAATGCATCACTGTTATGTGATGCACGACTGTATTTATAGTCTGATTGCCAAATTATCTTCTCAACTTTTCACAGAGACTTACTAAAATAATGCTTTGTTCTAGTAGCCTTCTTTCATGAAGATAAAATTTAAAGGTAAATTCAAAAGTGAAAATACACGTGTGTACTTCTGACCTTATTGATGCTTGACATTTTGTCTCCATAGAAAGCTGTCTTTTAACAATTATTATTATTGTCATTATTATTATTATTATTGTTTTAGTGAAGAGGGTGAGCAGGAAGAGGTATTTGGAAAAGATAAAATTGCTCCTGTCATCTTGCAGCAAGTGATCTGAAGTCTGGTCCCCTGATCTCTGAAAGTCTTCCTTTCATTTTCCTTTGCAGTTCAGCTCTGGACTGTTGGAAACTATCACTGGTATCTCAAGCAAAGCCTGCCCTTCAGCACCACTGGGAAGGGCAAGATTGTGTCTCTGTTGTGGGATCTGGTGACACCATACCGCCTACATGTTCTATGTCAGGGCTGGCATTACCTTTGTTATGACTGGCACTGGACGACTGACCGGAGCTCAGGAGATTATTCAAGTGACTTGGCAAATGTGGCTGTCATTGATGGAAGTAAGCTGCTGAGAAATGTGTCCAAGAGCCGGCAGGGGATCCAAAACCCAGGCCCTGTACATGTGGTGGTTTGACCAGAACAAGTCTGATTTGGTTGTTTGTTTTTACTTATGTGTTGTTTTGGTTTTGATTGACTGGGAATGCCATTTGGTGGGGTATGTATACTCTCCTGAGAAATCATAGTTCCTCTGACTCACCCCAGTTCCCTGTTGTACTATATGCACGGTCTTCACACATTTACTTGTCTGGTGTAGAAAGAACTACAGTAGAGTCATATGGAGTTTAGTGTGTTAGCTTTGTCTGTTTGCCCTGACCAGACTAACATTGACCCTTACACTCCTCTATTTGTATTGGCTTTTTCCTGATATAAACACTTGTAAATTATATCCTCCTCTGGTATGTTCAGTTCAAGTCATAGACATTTGTCCATTATGGGAATTAAATTGGCATTTTATAATTGAATAGAGGTATTTTGGGAAAGGCTGGATTGGCCAGCAAAATAGTCACCTGAATGGATAGTTTCCTTATTGCTGACTAAATAAAGGAACCCTTGCTTCTAAGATGTAGCGTGAGAGGACGTACTAATGTAGTGCTCCTAACTGATTTTTTTTTTTTTATGGAACACTTCACAAATTTGCGTGTCATCCTTGCGTAGGGGCCATGCTAATCTTCTCTGTATCCAATTTTAGTATATGTGCTGCCAAAGCGAGGACTCATAACTGATTTTATAATCATGTTCTCTGTGGAGAACTTCGTTCTACCTACTACCAAATTCACATCTAGGAAAATCCTTTAAGGATTTTTAAGGTATTGATTACCCTAGTTTAATCTGTCTTGATTGCAGGCCTAGGTTTAAAGCTACAACCTCTTGGCTTATTTCCCTTAGTCCATGGCACCTGAAACTTCCAAGGATAATCTTCATCTAGAGATAACAATTGCCAGATATAGACAGAGTACATTCCACTTACTCTCCCTACCCCCAAAATGTTTTTAAGGTTATTCATGAGAAAACACCAAAAGTTATTTTCAAGAGTTGCTATATGCTTTCTACCCCCGTTATTACTTAGAGGCACAGCAATGCTCAGACGCTTTCTTTTACTCATGGAATATCCATCCACATGTCTAATCCTACTCTTCTTTCACACCCAGATAGAGTATTGGTGACAGTCTTCCGGCAGACTGTGATTCCACCTCCCATGTGCACCTACCAGCTGCTGCTCCCACACCCAGTCAATCAAGTTGCATTCTCTGTACACCCTGAGAAGAGTGCCGACCTTGCTGTCCTGGATGCCAGCAACCAGATCTCCATTTATAAATGTGGTGTGTTGAAAGACTGCCACCGCTTGCTCTGAGTCATGTCCCTCTGCCCCTACACAAAGGCAGATGGCACTTCGCTGTTATCGTAGCTCCACTGTTTCTACTGTTTTGACATCTGCAATTGAATTCATTATCATTAGGACGCATAATTGGCTTCCATTTCATTCTTTCTCTCACTCCTACTCTGGCTTATAAAGCATTTCCTTTTGCTTTACTGAAGTTGAAGAGTCAGTTACTTGAGAAAAACATTAGAGCTTGGAAATAGCAGCATCCTATTACATTTTTAAGAGGCTTTACTACTTTCATTGCTTTACATGTATTTTCACTTGACCTCTCTCCTCGCCTAGGAACTATGTCAGATGATTGATAGTGGAGGAAGTGGTGCTGGGGGAGAATGTGGCCCCTTCCCCTGATCTTGAGAGCTTGTTTAGAAGTTCTAGCAGGGGAGCGCAACTACTCCTATGCCCTTGACCGAAGAACGGTCCTCCTCTATTGGGGATGGTCGTCCTCTTTGACCAAGCGTGCAGCTTTGGGAGGGAGGAAGGGGACACCTGCCTACCCAGCCAGATCAGCCAAATCAACCCTGGTCATCAATGGGGTGACAGATGTCTCAGCCAAATTCCCCTCACATCCCTTCCCCTGATCTTAATGAAGTGCCCCTTAATTGGCAAAGACTAGTTGATGTGTTGTTAAGGGAAAGCAGGTTTTGGTTAAGCCTGAAAGGTATGCAGAGGTTTAAGAAAGAGGTTGAGATGTGGTTATTTTCCTGGTTGTTTTATTTGCCTTCTAGAACCTATTAGTTGCAAGAACCCATACCCTTAATATTAGGAGAAATACTTACAGTTTGCAAGATAGTGTTTTCATTTTTTTTTTCCTAGGTGATGGTCTGAGTGTCGACCCCACAGTGAACCTGGGAGCTGTGGGTGGAAATGGATTTAAAGTTCCTCTTAGAATACCTCATCTGGAAAAGAGATATATGTAGGTTCTTAATTATCTTGGGTCACTAATCAGCCAGCATTTTGTCCTAAAATTTAGCCAGCTTTTATACTCTGCCTGATGCTGTTGGAACAAGAAGTAGGACAATAGTCAGGCCTTGGTTTTTCAGCCTGCTTGGGAAGGCCAGTCACTTAGCTTATCTGAGTGTCATATATTCCAGTGGGTGGTAAGGAAGTTGGAGTGGTAAGCCTGCCTAGAACTCACTTCCCAGAATGGTTTTTGGTTCTCCAGGGAGAATCACATGAAAAGTTGGAGGTGAAGATGGTAAGACAGAGTTGCATTCTCTTAAGTAACTGAGGGTATTCAGGTTGTTGACATATAGGTGACCCAATGCAGCCTATGTTTTTGCTTCATCCTAGACTCCAGAACTTCTGGCTGTTGTAACTTTGAGGCTTCCAGATTGAAATCAGAATACATTTTTCCATTGAAACAGTATTACAAATATAATAATTGAAAACCTCAGATTCACTGTAAGCATTTTCAAAATGACCCAGCAGCCAAAACTATAATACCATTTCTGTGAGAAAATTATTTTCATAAGTACCACTTATTGAATGCTTATGGATAAGAAAACAAAGTTAGAGGATAGGCATCATGCTCAAGGTCATGGACCTGATAAATTAGAGAATGTAGGATTTGACTCTGTTCTATTTGGTAAGTCCATGTTCTTAATTAGTGACTTGCTCTGCATCCTGCCTTAATTTATAGAATAATTGGGCATGACAAATTATAGAATTAATATTAAAATACTTGTCTCAAATATATGTCATATGTATCAATGTATATGTTTCCATCCTGTGTATGATTTGGGACCTGCCTGTTTAATACTTAGTAGTTTGTAAAGAACACTAGATTCTTTGATTTGTTTCATTTTATAGTGTGCTAGTTAGCTTTCCATGATTGTGACATTCCTGTGATAAGCCAACTTAATAAAGGAAAGATTTACTTTGAGGCATAGTTTTGGAGGTTTCAGCCCATGAGCAGTTGGCCCCATTACTTTGGCTTGAGACAGCATAGTACATTGGTGGTAGAGGAGGCCTGTGCACCTCATGCCAGATGTTTTAAAGAAAGAGGAAGTGACCAGAGTCCCACAGTCCGCTTTGAGGGCGTGCTCCCTGTGACCTAAAACCTTCCGCCAGGCTCTGCCTTTTAAAGTTTCCACTCTTCTCAATAGCACATAGGCTAGGACCAAGTCTTTAACATATGGGCTCAAGTTTATCAGCTGGCGTCTTGTTTGAATGGTAGTAGTAGAAAGGCCCTGGAGTTCATTGGTGTAGGCACTGGGTCAGGTAATTTTCTTACATAGTCAGTTTCCTCAGCATTCCCTTCAAATCTAAAAATCTCAGGATATGGGAAACAATTTAAATGCAAAAACATTCCTAAGCCAGATGAACACTTATTTTGGGCTTTTTGTTAGGTATTAGCTCAGGTTTTGTTTCTCCAAGAAATTGGAAATTGATTTTATATAAAATGGTTTATTCTTCCTTCATTCAGAAAAGATTTTAAAGATTCGGTGGTTTTACAGTTTTAGTCACATGTTGGACGTTCTTCAACATTTCAAACAGGATTCAGTTGGAGAATAGTGAAGATCAAGAAGTAAACCCACTGAAGCTCAGTCTTCTCACCTGGATTGAAGAGGACATTTTCCTGGCGATTAGCCACAGTCAGTCTAGCCCGCAGTCTGTCATTCACCATTTGACTGTTGTCTCTTCTGAGATGGATGAGGAGCAAGGACAACTCACTGTCGGGTAATACTGTACTTCCCTGTATTCTATATGTTGAATAAGCAAATAGAGTTAGGCTTTTGTCTTTTATGATCATAGGGCTCTTTGGGGCTTCTGTTGAATAAAGTTGACTAGTAGCTTGCTTGTTAGATAGATGTAGCAAGAGGATTATGTCTAGTTTAGAGTCATGTCAGAATGACAGACCAAAATTATATTAATAAGCAGCAAAAAGTAGGGTAGATAGCAGATGAGGCAAAACATTTTAAAGAAATGTTAAGTATTTTAATTTATCATTTACTCACATTTGTATAGTTAGTAGACTTCATAATTGATTTTAATAATTGTAAGGATAAATAAGGTGGCTAATTCTTGGGCTAATGTCACAGGAAGAAATTTGTTTACAAATATGTTTGATTTTGATGTAGTAACGTCTAATGTTTTTTCTGGCCTCCTTCTATACATTGTGTTTGGCACTTGACTGCATTTATCACTAGAAGGAGCTCAGGAAAGAGCTTCCTGAGTTTATTTCTGTTTGAGGTTGCATCTTCATTGTGAAATAACTACAGTCACTGAGTGCTCTTCTGGGTCCTGCAAACCCTGTGATGCTGTAGGTAGCATTTTCTGGCCAGGTCTCAGAATGCCTCAGGTTCCCAATATCAAGACTTAGCAACACTGCTGTTAACCTCTAGATTCATCTGTAATTATAGTCCTGTTCATTAGATTTATACTCAGAGAACTCTTGTTGAAAAATTGGAACCTTTCCATTTTATATAAATAAGCCGCATTATAAGTTCACTCCTGATCATTATAAGATGATTCCTGATCATTATAAGTTCACTCCTGATCTTTGACTCAAAAGCTTCATGATACTTTTTGAGGATGTCTGGAACTGAATATGTTCTATGTTAGATATATGCAGCACTGATAGTAAACCAGAACCCTGCTTTCTGAAACACAGAGAAGTTTATATTAGAAATGTCTAAATTATTCAGGTTACTAACTTCTTCAAATTTGAAGTTCTTCCTCGTTGGCTTATGCAAGGAAAAGCTAGGGAAAGTCATCTCCTTTGCTTTAAAGGTAGCAAGCAGTCATTTTCAATGTATTGCTGCTTCTTTCACTTTTGTTTCTCAAGACTGTTTTGTTCATGTAAAATGTTAATGTCTTTGAGGAATGTAAAGTCACTCAGTCAGTTTGTAGCTATTTATAGCTTACATTTGCCATAGTTGTACTTTGTAAAATATACTCTTGTGAGTGATTTCCCTTTATTAACTCACTGATTTCTCACAATACCTCTTTGAAATACACATTTATCAGCATCATCCTTTTATAGATTACACAACTGAGGCACTCAGAGCAGTAAAGTGACTTGCTTGAGGTCATGCAAGCAGAGCCAGCTCTAATACCAGGAAGCCTAGCTCCATGGTGTTGTCTGAACCTCTGGATAGGTTATTTACCCTCACAAAATTTGAGGGATTTGTAGAGAAACTAACTATTGTTTTAATTTTTAGATTGGTTTGAATCTTTTGAATTGACATCATTTGCTTTATGACTACCTCTTCCTTTAAGAAATTTTTTCTACTTTCTGTTAACTGACTCAGGGAAAAAAGTGTAATGTCAAGAGTAATTCCCCCCTTCTCCTAATAAAGACCCATAGATATTTATGATAGCAGTCGAGACAGTGTCCATTTTCCTATGACTGCTTTATTAATGCAGTTTATATTTTAAGAATACAGAAATTATATTGGTGCCATTTGTGTCTAATGAAGCCAGTAAGCTATGAATTACTGCCAGAATAAGAGTGATGACTTCACAATGTATACAGTTAGCTTATTGGGTTTGTGGAAAATAGTGTCACATAACAGGTAACTGCTTAATCTGGGCTTGGGCTTGGAATAATTTATTCTCTATTTATCTGTCTATATCTATGAATCTGTAAATATATATAAGCAAAATTTTGTGTGTGTGTATTGAAATAGACCATGAAACACCAAAGAGGCATTGCTTATTTCTTTTCTTGCTTTCCAAAATCACTGAGAATCTCTACCTTTGAGAATAATTGTCTGTTTATTCCCTCCCTGCCCCTGCCTATTTTTTCTTTTTTCTTTTTACTTAGCTCATCTGTACCAGTGGATGGGGTCATAATTGGTCTGTGTTGCAGTTCCAAGACCAAGTCCTTAGCATTACAGCTGGCTGATGGCCAGCTACTTAAGTACCTGTGGGGTGAGTATCAGAATTTTTGGAAAGCATGTTTTATGACATGTATAAATGTTTAATTCTTGAGAATGTGTACTTTAAGTATCTTATCCATGCAACATTATTAGATGTTCTTTGTGTGTGTGGTTCTGGGGATTGAACCCAGGACCTTGTGCATGCTAGGCAAGCAATCCGTTGTTGAATTATACCCTCAGCCCAAATGTTAGGTCTTTAACTACCCTGGAAATCTAAGCCGTAGAGTAGAAACAAAGCTGTATTCTATTCCTGTTTTCTCTTGTAATGAATGGGGTATCCTAATGACTCTTCCACAAGTGCAAATAATATGTTAGGTGTTTTAGGGAGTTTTTGTGTTATTTTTTGATTTGCTTTGTTTTGTTTTCCACAAAAGAACTGATCAGCTAGTTGTAAACCAAATCTACCAATTTTGTAGAGTCACCTTCTCTGGCTTTTGAACCATGGAAGAACCCTGGTGGATTTCCTGTTCGCTTTCCTTATCCATGCACACAAATCGAATTGGCCATGATTGGAGGAGAGGTAAGTGAACACAGGACAGGAAAAAATGCTACTTAAAATAGTTAACAGTGACTGACAGCATTGAATAGAGAGAGCGTGGACTTCAGGGTTGGCAATGGGAAGTTATCTCATGTTTGTGAACCACACCTTCTTTATCTGTAAAATGGGAAAAGTCTTATTTTCAAAGTCCAGAGGAGAATTAAGTGAGATAATATATGTAATTGGCAAATTTTGTCCCTAATTGATAGAATATTCAAATTTAGTTTTATTAAATATCTTCTGAGGAAAACAAATGTAATATCACATTATATTTAATAGGTTGACATTAAAAAATATTAGAATGTGTATAATTGGATTGAGTGGTAGAATACATTGGTTACAAAGTACAGTTAATTCCTGCTCTATCTATAAATATAGATAGAATTCCTGCTCTGATTCTTTCAGTATGGATAGACTCATCCTCACTGACAGGTGAGTGAAGGAAATGAACAGGGTTAATGGGGTAATTACAAGATGGTAGCTATGAGAATGGGTGGTGCAGGAAAGCCTTGTGAGCTGCTGATGTGTGTACTGAGATGTGACGAAGAAAGCACTCCCCAGAAAGAAGAGTTTCTGGAAGAAGAAACCAGAAACACCCTGAGCTTGGAAAGATCTCAGCTTATTCAGGTGACTGAGTAGAAAGAGTATAGCTGGAGCTGAGTGACAGGCCATAAGAGTGCGTTTGGATATTTTTATTTAACAAATATTGAAAAGTTACTGATGACTTTTAATCAGTGGAGTGATGTGTTCTGCTTCGTGGTTGATAGGTGATTCTGGCGGCCCAGAGGAGTAGGTTGGAGTGGAATGAGATTGGAATGGGGGATCAACACAGAGACTAGACTGTTGGAGTGGAGTCAGTGAGATAGATGGGAAAGGAGATGTACCTGAGATAAACATAGGAGATAAAAATGAGAAGACTTGCTGTTAGGATGGATGGAATCATACTCCACTTTGCCTTGCGTATCTACATTCAGTCTTGAATATAAAGACTTAAATGTGATCATAGGGCAATAGAACTATGGAATAATTAAGTTATATTTTAGTTATTTAGAAATAGAATTGCTTATAATTTCAGTTTTTTTCTTTGCAGGAATGTGTCCTTGGTCTGACAGACAGGTGTCGCTTTTTCATCAATGACAGTGAGGTATCAAGGATTGGTGTGGTGTTGGATCCTTTTCACAGTGTTACCTCCAAGTAGTACAGCTAACATTCCCATTGGCCTCTCTTGCCTTGTTCCAGGTTGCATCAAATATCACATCATTTGCAGTATATGATGAGTTTTTATTGTTGACAACCCATTCCCATACCTGCCAGTGTTTTTCCCTGAAGGATGCTTCATTTAAAAGTAAGTTTTCAGTGTACAAAATGGAGATAGCCTCTCTTTCAAAATCTTTTGTCTTGTTGAGTCTTGATGATTTAAATTCTTTACCTGTTTTGACTTTTTACCATGGGGTCATAGGCTGGAGAAAACCTTTAGAATTTGTTTACTTAGCCTCTGTCTTCTACATAGTATCTCAATTAAATCATACTGTACCAGTTAACAAAGACTTCAAAAAAAGGGAGGAAATTCCTTTCTTAAGTAATACATTCTAAAGTTACACAAAAATTCTTCAAGATATTTTATTATATAAGAGATCTGATATTTTATTTTGAGTTACCATGTAGATCCCAAACTAGCAGTATGCTCTAACTTCTATATAATCTTTCTTTATTCACTGTGCTCACCCTCCATTGTACTTTTGGACCCCATCTTGTAGTTTGTAGGCTATTGTCATCAGTTTTTCTTTGATTCTGTGCCCCATTTGTATGTGTGTTTGTAATTCTAAAAAGCCTATTTGTTTTCTTTGCCGCTAACTTAGAAATGGGGATTGTTTTCTTCCATTGATCTGATTATAGTGTATCAGTAATGCTAAGAAATAGAGAGAAGCCACTCCTGTCCTTCTGTGTTTTTCCAAATTGCTTGAGAAGTTATGTATGTGCATATGCATGAGGGCTTTGTAAGAGAGGTCAAGTTCAGGAATGAGACTGCTTTATAAAAAGGGTTGAGGAGAGCAAAGCAACCTGGTGTGTTAATTATTCTATATTGATACCGTGCGCAGTTTCACCTGCAGTTAGTGAAGAGTAGATGTCATGATAATTCTTAAGGCTTAGCCAATGGTATTTTTAGCATTACAGGCAGGTCTGTCCAGCAATCATGTGACTAATGGGGAAATTCTGCGGAAGGTGGAGAGGGGTTCACGGATTGTCACAGTTGTGCCCCAGGACACAAAGCTTATATTACAGGTAAGTAATTTCTTAGACTTTCTGATTGTCATTCAGTCTATACCAAACAGAATTCTTGCGGGTTGTATTTTAGGCTCTATTATCATTTTAATACATTTATTATAATTTTTTCCTACTAGGTTGCCTGTTAGCTTTATATAAAGGAGTGTTGGTACAAGTTCTGACCAGTAAGGCTCTAAGGGAAGCTTTCTTGAGTGGCTCAAGTAGTTGAGCCTTTACCTAGCAAGAGTGAGGCCCTTAGTACAAATCCCAGTACCATAAAAAAAAGGTCACAATGAATTCCTCCAGTACAACGAATACATCCAAATAAAAATGGAAAAAAAAAAAAGAAAAGGAAGGAGGGAAGCTTTTCTTGAAAGTCAAGGTAAATACTGAGCACAATTAGATTCTGCTGTAAGTGTGCTCATTTTACAGCATTGTAGTCGTTCCTTATGAAGAGTCAGGTAAAAAATCATGTATCCTGGCTGTTTAAATTTTTCTGTTCACTTAAGAATGTTATTGTTTGCCAGGCGCCAGTGGCTCATGCCTATAATCCTAGCTACTCGGGAGGCAGAGATCAGGAGGATCGTGGTTGAAGCTAGCCTGGGAAAATAGTTCACAAGAAAGACCCTATCTCGAAAAAAACCTATCACACACACAAAATAGTTCACAAGAAAGATCCTATCTCGAACAAACCTATCACACACACAAAAAAAATTGGGCTCAAGGTGAAGACCCTGAGTTCAAGTCCCAGTACTGCAAAAAGAAAAAAAAAGGTTATTGTTTTTTATTTGTTTATTTTAAGATGCCAAGAGGGAACTTGGAAGTTGTTCATCATCGAGCCCTGGTTTTAGCTCAGATTCGGAAGTGGTTGGACAAGTAAGTGCTGTGTATGTGACTAGTTTGTTGTGAATTGCAGTGAAGACAATGAATATTAATGTTGTATTAAACAACTTTTAAAATAGAAGAGTAAGAAAAATCTTCATTACAGATACCTTCAATCAGATTCTTAGAGGTCTTTTTGTTTTTTTTTTTTTCATCTTTTGACTTTAATGCTGTATACCATAGTAGCTATTCCTAGAGGAAAGAATCATACAGCTTATCATATAAAAGTGAGCTTCTCTTAACCCAAGGGGATCCATGTGAGCTTTAAGTGGTTCATAGTTTACTTAAAGAATTGTGCACCAGACTTTGTGTGTATTTGTGCTGATCGAAAGCCCAAGCCAAGTGCCCAGCAAAGCCTGGGCCACTGTCTTGAAGGAAGTGAGTGAATTTCTTGATCTATTTGGAACAGTTTGTGTTAGAAAGGTCTATACCCATGCTTGGCTGAAACAGTATGTGTCAGTTCTCTGGTGACTTTCTGCTGTGGAAATGTGGAGGTGTATAATCCTCAGATTGCTGTGATGACTAAGTCACACCTTTAAGGGGGTAGATAATATGGTACCTGATTTTTCATTCTGTAGTTTCAGATAGAAATCCAGCAGTAGTTGTTTGGCATTCGACCTGTAATCTGTTTATGACTGGCTAGATCATAATGAATGTATGCTGGGCCAGAGAGCTTAGTTTTTATGAAATGCTTTTCTCTCCATTCTCTGTGTCCTCACAGACTTATGTTTAAAGAAGCATTTGAATGCATGAGAAAACTAAGAATTAATCTCAATCTGATTCATGATCATAACCCCAAGGTAACTTTCCAAACCTGACATTTACTCAGCTTACTTTATACATGAACTAAGGTGATCTGAGCTAAAATGCTTGTCCTTTTTTTGTTGCTTTGTTTTGTTTTTTTTAGGTGTTTCTTGAAAATGTGGAAACCTTCATAAGACAGATAGATTCTGTAAATCATATCAATTTGTTTTTCACAGAACTGAAGTAAGTATTTTGATAGTTCCTGAGTATTGTTTTCCTAATTTTCACTTTTGTTAAGGAAATCAAACATAAATAGCTAGAAAAGAAAAATCACTGCTCATTTTTTAAAAAATCACTGTAACTGTTAGATCCCAGTAGGTTTTTTGCTTTTTACTTTTTTTAAACAGCCTATTTAAAACTATGACTTTAAAACTGTCATTCAGAATTATTATTTGACTTTTTAGGTATACATGTAAAACTTTCTCATGAGGTAAAAAAATCAAATGGTATCTTTCTTTTTTTTTTTGGAGACAGGGTCTTGCTGCATAGTTCAGGCTGGTTTGGAACTTGCTGTGTCTCCCAGACTGGCCTCAAACTTGTGATCCTCCTGCCTCATCCTTTTGAGTGTTAATTACAGTTGTGTATCACCACTCCCAGCTTCCAACTTTTTATACAACATTTTAAGCATAGGGAAAAGTGGACAGAATTTCCTAGGAAGCATCCTGTATTATCACTTAGATTCTTTTGTTCATGTTTTCATATATTTGCTTCATCACTGTCTATAATTTGTCCATCCGTCACTCATTGTGTTTTAGATAAGTATCAAAGTAAGTTATAGACATCAGTCTACCTTACTTCCTACTACTTTACCTTTTGTAGCATTAACTAGAGTGCATTCTTTGTATTTGGCTAGTTTGGCTTTCTTATTTTTGTCAGATTTGTCTGACTAAATGCACAAATCTTAAGTGTGCAGTTCAGTGGGCTTTGACACATATATATTTTATGTAACCTGAAACCCTGTCGATGTAGAGAGCATTCTCTACTTTTCAGAGAATTCCCTCACATTCTCAAACAGTTCCTGTGTCCCATCCATACGGGACTACTATTCCAAGTTTTTCATTGTGAGTCAGTTTTGCCTGTTTAAGAACTTCATATAAATGAAGTCATACAGTATTTACTTTTTTGCACAAATAAAGCTGCTTTCATTAACTGTAAGTCCATCTGTGTTTTTTGCATGTGTCACTCCTTTTATTTTTTTTGTTACTGCTCAGTAGTATACCATTGTGTAAATATGCTACCATTTGTTTCTTTACTTTCCTGTTACTGGAAACCTTGATTGTACCCTGTTTGGGCCTCGAATCAATTAAACATCTATGAATGTTATTGTATAAGTCACTTGTAGACATGTTTCATATCTCAGAATTTTAATAATTAAACTTTTTCAAAGCCACTTTTATGGTTTCATCAATCTGTTGGATATGTTAGTAGATTGATAAACTGCTCAGTTAGTGACCTGTGCATACATACTTGTTCTTAGGGAAGAAGATGTCACAAAGACCATGTACCCTCCACCAGCTGCCAGCAATGTTCAGTTGTCCAGGGATTCAGAGGGGAAAAAACTTGACCTTGTCTGTGATGCCATGAGAGCAGCCATGGAGAACATCAATCCTCACAAGTATGGGGACTGTTGTTATTGTCATGTTTGGAGCAGCAGAAGTGTGCCATTGTCCCTGTCTGGTTTGTTTCTTCTCATTCTGGTATTCTTATTACCTCAGGTACTGCCTATCAATACTCACATCCCATGTGAAGAAAACAACCCCAGAACTGGAAATTGTGCTGCAGAAGGTACACGAACTTCAAGGTAGAGATCTGCTCCACAGACAGACATTTACCATGGCCTTGATAGCCACTAGTCTTCTCAAATGACAATTACCATATCATTGCCACTCCATAGAGTTAACATGTGGCTCTTTGGTCGTCATTTTAAGACCTTGTTAAATTTTTGAGTGCTGCACTCTACAAAGCATGTATGAATGATCTGAAATACATTTTCATCTGGTGTCCAGTTCTATCAAAAAAATGTCGTACTTTGTCTTTTTGGTTATGTTGCTAGGTCTGTGGATTTTTCTCCAGTGGTTCAGTTTTGTTTTGTTTTGTTTTTTTAAACACCAATAGGAAATGTTCCAGCTGTTCCTGATGCTGTGAGTGCAGAGGAAGCCTTGAAATATCTACTGCTTCTGGTAGATGTTAATGAATTGTACGACCATTCTCTTGGGACATATGACTTTGATTTGGTCCTCATGGTAGCTGAGAAGTCACAGAAGGTATGTGGAGTTGTTTCTTTTGCACTTTTTTGGGTATTGTTTATATAATCACAGTGTTTGAACCACTTCTGAGAGTGCAGTATCTTGCCTGATGTTATGTGGTAAGATCTGTGAGTCTCCAGGGCCTATGCTCCTAGGCCTCATTCCCCGTCATAGTTCTTTTTGGAGTTTTTTTTTTTTTGTAGGGACTGGGATTTGAACTCAGGGCTTCATGCTTGCAAAGCAGGCACTCTATCACTTGAGCCAAACCTCCAGTCCCCGTCATAGTTCTTTATCAGAGTGTTTTGATGGCCAGGTTGAGGAGATGAAAAAAAATTATGTAGTTATTTCTGAGATTGTAGGCATTCATATGAACTATTCTTCTAAGGGAAATGTATCAAGTGACTCATGTTCCTCTCCAGTTCTTTATCACATAGCTCTTTTTTCCAATGGAAAGTAGAAACATGGAAGATAGAAAGGCTCAAGGCCTTTTTTTTCCACCTTTGTGCATATACTACAGTCAGGAAGTTTGAATACCACTTATCTTCATATTTTTTATCCTTTTTTTTGTTTTGTTTTGTTTCAGTCTGTTCCTTTATTAGTTTTTCCTTTATTGTTGTTAGAACTCATCTTTTCCATAAATGAAAATCTGATCCTTTATTCCTATGCTTAAAATCCTTCATGAGCTCCCCACTGTCCCTAGGATAAAATTCAGAAGCCATAATATTGCTTACAAACCTTGCATGGGCTAGCCTCTGTGCATTATTCTGTTCTCATCTCTTGGCACATGTTTTTCTATCTGCCCATACAGGAAAGGCAGTGCATCATCTCCCTTCCCCCACCCCTCACCACCACCAACCATCACATGTCTTTGTAGGTAGAGACTTCTATGTCTTACAAGCCCTTGGGTTCCCACTGCTCCCACCTTCACCATTTTCCTGGCTAATTCTCACTCATCCAGGCTGAAGGATGTCAAGGTGGAATCTTCCCAGTAAGCCATTGTTACTACCTTCCAGGGACTGAATGCAGTACTCCCATGACTTGTGTTATACCCAAGGTCTACCCATGCTTACCACAGTCTGCCTCCTTCTATAGTGTACATTTCCTGAGGTGAAAGGTTGTGTGGAGTTCTTTATACTTATCCAGTGTTCATCTAATAGTTCTTGATTATTTTGGGCAACAGTTACCCTCCACATTGGAGATGAGCATTTAATTATGTACTGTTTTGATTTTTTTCCCTCCGTATTGTTCTTATGTGCATTCATCCTGTTTGCCCAGTGAAATTGTATTAAGAATAGGAAGCATCTCTCCTTTTGTCAGAAAAACAGCTTGCAAGGCAATGCTCAGAGCTGGAGATGGTAGTGACAATAAATAAGAGGTTGGCAGGGCCTCAGAGTTTTGGGTCCAACTCAATATATTTAAACATGTGCTCTTTGTAAGTGGAGAGTATTGAATGCATGAAAATAGCACCAAAAGTAGTGCCTTGCTCTTTTAGGAGAAACTCTGGTTTATTTGTTGAATATCTTCTAGGTTACAACACTCTTTCATTACCCTGTGAAAGAGTGGCTATTGTGGGATCTCAGGATTAGTCTTGATTATCCAGATGTAAAATAATTAACACCCAAATATGAAAGCATTTTTACCGTAACTGTTTTTTTTTTGTTTTGTGGTACTGGGGTTTAAACTCTGCTTTCATATTTGTTAGGCAAGCTCTCTACCACTAGAGCCATGCCCCTAGCCCTTTTAATTTTAGCTGTTTTTTAAATAGGGTCTCTCATTGCCCAGGTCAGCCTGAACTGTGTTCTTCCTGTTTATACTTCCCACCCAGCTGGAGTGGCAGGTGTTCACTACCATGCCCAGCTTTTTATTGGCTGTGATGTAGTCTCTAAAACTTTTTGCCTCCCCTCAAACCATGATCCTTTTGATCTCCATTTCCCAAGTCCAAAACTTGCTTTACTTTATGTATTACATAATATGTAACTGATAAATTAGTATAATACACATTTAAAGTTATGTTGCTCTGGATTTATTGCTATAATTTTTACATGTAAATGTCACAAGTGATTTTTTTTTTAGGATCCCAAAGAATATCTTCCATTTCTTAATACGCTTAAGAAAATGGAAACTAATTACCAGCGGTTCACTATAGACAAATATTTGAAGCGGTATGAAAAAGCCATTGGCCACCTCAGCAAGTGTGGTAAGTGTGAGGGTATTAATTTAGTGCTGTATCAACTCTTTTTTTGGAACAAGGCAGGTATAGATTAAAATAAAAGGTTATTTTAGATTGATTTAAGTTTCCACTCCTGAAAACTTTAATAATGTCGTATATTCACCTTATTTTGTCATGTGTCCAGAAAAGCTGAAAGTGAAGCATATCACTTTTCATGAGTGAGAGGTGCTCCCTAGCTAAGAACATAGAGCAGATCCTTTTTGGGTTGAAAGTAAGCACCTCCTAAGTTCACTTCAGTGCCTCTTAAGTCAAAATTAGTTGATAATCTCCCTTCTTATAGTGTTGCCGACATGTGGGAGAAACTCCAGCTTGTCTAGAGTACGAGGCAAAGTCCCATCCCATGCTCTGAAAGTGTTTTAATTGGGACTGGTGGAGTAGAACCAAAATGGTACCCATTGGTCTCCATCAGCAGTCATTGTCCTATTCTGGAGCAGTTGTGATTCTTCTCCGAGGGCCAACATCAGGACAAAGAAGAATCAGTGTTGCTTTTTGAGTACTTAACTCCCCAGGTGACTCTTATGAAGGAGTATGAGAAAACACTGAGCTGGATAGTGCAGCAAGAATTCCTAATATGAACACTGGTCACAGACATTGTGTCTCCTGCCTCAAAATCTGTAGTGGTGCTCATTAAAAATTCAGGTTCCTGGAGTCCATTCTCCACATACTTGGGTTATGTATGTCTTAAAAAGGTCCCACATGAATTTTGTTTCTAGTCCACTGATATAAGTGAAATCCATTATGCTTCCAAAGTCTTACACCTGTGTTGATGTGATTATTTCTGTAGGGCCAGAGTACTTCTCAGAATGCCTAAATCTAATAAAAGATAAAAACTTGTATAAGGAAGCTCTGAAGTTATACCCGCCAAACTCACAGCACTACAAGGTACGTGATGTGTGTGCAAATTGAGTTCTCCTGATTTTACTTTGTGCGTTAGTTGGTGGGGATCCTGGGTCCATAGCACAGTCCTTGGTTTCAGGGTTTGTCCTAAAAGTACTTTGCCTCATCTTGAACTTCTTACCTGTGAAGATGGCCCTGATCTATTAGGAAAAATATCACGCAGGGCAGAAATTGAGGATTTGCCCTGTTCCTCATTCAGAGCACCATAGCCGTTTCCTCCTGGGTCTGCACTTCCATCCTGCCTTCTCAAGTCTACCCTTGTGCTGCATGATGACTGTAGCTCTTCCACATTTATTTCAGGAGAAAGGGAGAAAGCTTAGGGTTTTTCATTTGTTTGTTTACACAAACATGTATTTAGCTTTTCTTATATAATCCCACACTTTGCCTGTAAGCAAAGTGATCCTCATAACCTGATGGGTTGTTGTATGTGATTTGCAGATGAAGATACAATTTGCCTAAGCATCCAGAGCTACACGTGGCAGATCTGTGACACAGAGTCCAGGCTGTCTCACTAACAAGGCTGTGCCGTTAACCACTACTCTACTACTGTCACCACCATTTTCAGTTCATCTATAAATTGCACACATGCCTATCTATGACCTGGCCCCTGCCAGCTTCTGCCACTCTTCATGGCCCCAGTTACTTGTAGGTAGTTATCCTCTTGTATATACAGATTTTATACCATGTGATGCCTCTGTCAGCCCTTTACCTACCCTTAGCCCCACCTATTCATAAGAACTCTCTGTCCTCCTCCAGAAAACTGTTCTTGGACTAGTTGCCAAACAAACCAGTTTGCTGCTTTGACTCTCCCACCAGGCTGTTCCTTAAGGGTTGGACTTGTGTTCCTCTCTGTGTCTCTGCCTATCACTGAGCTGGGGAATGTAGGATTTGGCCACTGGCTGCTTCTTGGCTATTGTTTTCCATCCTTCTCACATGTTCTCTCTACCCTGGTCCCACCAGCCTTGTTACATCTCAGACCTGCCACACTGATGGGTGGCCCTGGTGATTTGTCTGCTGTCTGCCAGAGACACTCTTCCCCTGACTTTTTATACTGCTTCTTCTCGTGGCTCTCAGAGATGTGCTCCCATTGTTCTCTGTCTCTTTACTGACCTTTGCCATTATGTCACGAACCATCTTGTGTAAGTCCATTCTCTATCTCCAAAAGAGCAGGAACTTGGTAGTGGTTCTTGTTTGATCTTCTCTTTGTTTGGTTTTATTTTTTGCATTGCTGTATTACTCCTACTACTTAAGATAGTACATATGTAGGTACTCAGTAAACATTTGTTGAGTAAATGGTACATCCCCACTAAGGTTTTCAAAGGCAAAATAGTTGAACTGCCTGATCCAACCGTAGCATTTTCCCAAGTAATTCAAGAGACTCTCGAGTATAATAACTAAGGTAGCCAGGATTGAAGCCTGGCTTCCTTCAATGATTTTTCCTCATCTACCCTGAATCTCCTTGGTCCCAGGCTGTCAGCATCGCTTATGGGGAGCACCTGATTCAGGAGCAGTTGTATGAGCCAGCAGGGCTTGTGTTTGCCCGCTGTGGTGCCCATGAGAAGGCTCTCTCTGCCTTTCTGACTTGTGGCAGTTGGCAGCAAGCACTCTGTGTGGCAGCCCAGCTTCACTTGTCTGGAGACCAGCTGACTGGCCTTGGTAGAACTCTAGCAGGTAAGCAGGGCCATTTATTTGTCCGTTTCCTTAGGAGGTTTTTGCTTGTTAGTTTGTGTGCTTGCTTGCTTTGATTGGTAGTTTTACAAATAAATTTAGGGCATTGTGGCTTGAGACAGCCCCATAGTGGTATTAGTTAAACATGGCCTACTAAATAGGGTAAAGGTTGAGGTGAAGAGTCCCAAATGCATTGGCGTACTAAAGAAAGTAGTTTATTTCTCTCTTGGGTAAAGACTGATGGATCCTTCCATTATGTGGCTTGCAATCCCTAAGGCAGCTGGTTGTGGCTTGGTTATCTCTGTCTGTATTTCAGGTGGTTAGGAAAGCACTTACCTGTGTAGCAAATAACCTGGAAGTTACAGCATCATGTATATTCTATCTTATTCATGCCATCTTACATCTATGGCCACATCTAACACTGTAGCTGGGCTATCATGTGTTCTGCAAGAAGGTAAAGATGAATTTGGGGATGGAGCCGTTCTGGTATAGACAGTAGATTGTTGGAAACCATAACAGCAATTGCCCGGACTATGGTGGAAGAAAGGTCAAATATACGATTAGTCTGAATGCAAAGGCTGTTTAGCAATTCGGGGTCTAGGATCCTGAAGCAGGGGTGAGGTTGAGGCTAGTACCAAAATCTGACCTCCTTCTGGAGGAGAAGATAAGGACACCCATGAGAGGAGACAAGTAGGGCTCTGACCTGTGCTAGTGTTTTGGGGTTTTTTTGTCATAGTCCACTTATTGTTGCTACAATACCACAGACTAGGTAAGTTATGAAGAAAAGAGGCTTATTTTGGCTCACTATTCTGCTCCAAGGTTGAAGGCCTGCATCTAGTGATGGCCTTGTTGGCAGAGTCCTGAGGTGGTGCATGGTATCTGTCACATGTGGAGAGATGGAGTTTGCATGTACAAGGTGTGTTCTGGTCTCTCTCCCTCTTTTAGTAAAACATCAGCATTAGCTGGGTATGGTGGCCCATGCCTATAATCTTAGCATTTGGGTAACAGAGGCAGGAGGATCACGAGTTCAGGGCCAACTTGGGCTATAAAGTGAAACCCTGTCTCAAAAAAACCAAAACCAAACACGACAGTATTCAGTCATGGGAGCTCAACCCTGGTGGCCTTATCTAATCTTGATCACCTTCCACAGCTCCACAAAGCACCATAGGTGGGTTAAGTCTCTACTCTCTTAACATTTCATAATGGGAATTTAATGCCAGCATGACTTTTGGAAGGAACAAACAATTCAAACTCTAGCATTTTTTTAAAAAAGTTTTGCAAATATTGTCATAGTCTTTAAAAACAAAAAGCAGGCCTGAAAAAGATTCCAAATTATAGGTCATTAATGTATATATCCCTCCTTCAAACTCTTAGTGTGCTGTATGTCTATGTCATGTCTTTTAAGAGTATTAAAAACAGAGGGCAGAGATGTACAGCATTGTTATACAGTAGTCACTTTGCATGCACACTTGGGCAGTTTACACAAGCCAGCAAAAGAAAGAAAACTATTTAAGTAGTGGAAGTGGTTTTTTAATAATTATCCTGAAGCAAGCGTGAGATGGGAGACATTACTCTGCCTGCCCTTAATAAGACTCAAGTTCTATGTGCCTCTCTTGGGGTGATTTATCTTAGCTGGGCTGAGAGATTCTAGAAGCTAAAGACTTCATGACTCCAAACCTAAGCCACCTACCTCCATCTAGTGCTCAACCAAAGAGTCAGAAATCTCTTCCTGCTGAGGAAGAAATGGATTAGTGAGAAATACCAGGTTGTTTCCCTTCTGCATGCCTTTGGAAGCTTCCTCCATCTACTCTACCCCTGGCAGAGAAAGGAGATTTATTTTGCAGTTCATGGGAAGAGGCAAAGTAAGTACTTCTTCAGGGTACAGACATGAGCTGAAGAGTTCCTGCAGCATGCCAGTGCTACTTAAAAATCTTCTTTCTCTGACCTTAACCACTTCTTGTCTCTTTATCTGGAAGCATTTTTTAAAGCTAATTTTAACAATACATGATTTTTAATACCTGTGCTAAATTTAGATTAAGTCATTTTAAGATAGGACTTCATGGTATGTATACCTCGTCCCCTTAGAGAAACTCAGAAAGTACAGAGTTTGATACATAATAAACACACAGAAAACCTGTTTAACTTTGCTGTCAAATGCTCATTGTTATCTCTGCAGGAAAGCTAGTTGAGCAGAGGAAACACAATGAAGCAGCTATAGTTCTGGAACAGTATGCTCAGGTAAGCTCACCTGCCCTTCCAGCCGGCAGGAAAGGACTTCCCAGTTGTATCTTACTGATAGTAAAGATTAAAGGGCCTGTGGGTAATTGTTAGATTCTGAGATAGTGTTTGCCCAAAAGGTCTTCTGTATCGCTTTCTTTGCATTGCGTATCTCTGTCCGAAACATCTCTAAATACAGACTGAGCATCTCTCATATAAAATCTGAAACTTTTTAGCGCTGATATGATGCCATAGGTAGAAGATTCCACTAACTTCATGTAATAGGTTATAGTGAAAATGCAAGTGCATCAACAATATTGTATAAAATTACCTTCAGCCTGTGTTTGTAAGGTAGGTATACTGCATGAGTGAATTTCCTCTTTAGATTTGGCTTCCACCCTAAAATAATCTTTTATACATATGCAAATATTCCAAAATCTGGAAAAATCCAGAGTCCTTCTGGTTCTAATCACTTCAGATAAGGGATGCTCATCCTGTAATTGTAGCTCTACTATTATGTATACAACTTAGTGCTTTCTTGGTTGAAAGTACTAAGTTAAATTTCCAAGTACTCTTATGTTTTGTGTTAACTTTGCTGAAGTAGAAACAGAGAGAAAGCACCATTATAAAACAAAGTAAGTAAGCTTTCTGGCTTTTATTCTCATCTTCTTTATTAGAAATGTTTCTTTTTACCTCAGGCAGCTTAAAGGGTTTCAGTTTTACAGCACATTATAAGGATAAGTACTTATCTGAGCTTTTGATAAAAATACAGAACTTATTATGAAAATAATAAAACTAATGACAGGCTTCACTATCTCATGTCTGTAATCTTAGCTATTTGGGAGGCTGAGATCAGGAGGATCATGGTTCGAGGCTAGCCCAAGCAAATAGTTTACAAGATCCCGTCTCCAAAATAACCAGAGCAAAATGGGCTAGAAGTGTGGCTTAAGGCGTAGAGCGCCTGCTTTGCAAGCGCAAAGCCCTCAGTTCAAACCCCAGTCCCACCAAAAAGAAAAAAAAAGAGGAAAATAATAAAACTACACTGACACTGGCCATAGACTAATAGGAACAGATACACAGTTGATGCCAGGAGTTATTGCTTTGTAGAATTTTGGCCTTTGATGGAAAGCTTTTCCTTATACGGTAGGAGAAGAGGAAAAACCTTGAAGATACTTTTCCCCAACTCTCACTTCCTAGTACTTTTCCACTCCTAGCCCTCCCTTTTGTCCCCTCACCCCCTCCCAGAAGTCCATAAAACTGTTGAATCCTTTTGTTCTAGGCTCCCTTAACAGTAATGCAACCGTCATGTGTGTGCTGATCCACTTGAAAAAATGCTTGACATTATTGGTCATTTTTTCAGTTTTCTAGAGGTTTGAAGTTTTCCAAAATAAAACTTTGGGGCTAGCAGGCTGACTTAAGTGGTAGAGTGCCTGCCTAGCAAGTGTGTGGCCCTGAGTTCAAACCCCAGTGCCACCAAAAATAAATAAAACTTTGAAGAAAAAAATAAACATAAAGTGGCTATTGTGCTGGGCACTGGTGGCTCAAACGTGTAATCCCAGCTGCTCAGGAGGATTGCAGCTCAAGCCCAGCCAGGCAAATAGTTCCCAAGACCCTATCTTGAAAATACCCAACACAAAAAAGTGCCTGGGCATTTCCAGCAGAAATGATCTTTCTGATGTTCAGAGATCATGCTTACGTGTGCTTTGTCATCCTGCAAGAACATACCACCATCCTTTGCCTTTCGTATGAGTGTTTATGGAGATTAGTATCCAGAATATACTGGGCCAGGCACAATGATGAGAATTGGGACTGTAAGAGATAAGGCCAGTCAGGAAAATGGAGGCAGCTTAGTAGGAGTGCTGCAGTTGGTTATGGTGACATCTGACACACTGGCTCCATTCACTTGTTGTCTTACTTGCTATTCTTTTATCAGGATTATGAAGAAGCTATACTTTTGCTGTTAGAAGGAGCTTCCTGGGAAGAAGCTCTGAGGCTGGTAAGAGAATTTTTAAAAAGTCCATATTGTGTGCTAAGCAGAAAAAGAGCAAGGGACACAACATCAGCTAGAGTTCCTTATGGTCTGAGTGAGCAAAATTAAGTAGAAATGAATGGCTCAGGTTCACAGGCTAAGCATAGGCAGTATTTTTCAAACCATTTTTAAAATTTATCCTTGAGAATGTTTGGAGTTAGTCCTCCGTAAGTGACATTAGTGTTTTTGCTGAAATGAGTAGAATTTCCTTGGCTACTTTATAGGATGCCTGCTTCTCAGGAAAATATCTGGTCACCTCTGAAAGTGATCCATTTCTCTCCAAGTATCTTAACTTCCCAGTGACAAGAAGTTTTCCTGTCTAAAACTATTTTTCTCTTTTAGGTCTACAAATATAACAGACTGGATATTATCGAAACCAATGTAAAGCCTTCCATTTTAGAAGGTGAGGGTTACATTTTGGGTAGTATTCCTCTTTCAGAAGTATGGAGGAGGGGGTGAAGAAATGGGAGGGCACTCTATTGATGTTAGTGCATTTTTAGTGTATTGTACAGGCTCATTCATAACTCTAAAGAATATGCTAAGCTATTAAATGTTTACCTATAAAAGACCTGAATTTAGAAATGTGACAAAATACAATTAATAATCTTTGTAATGGATGGACCCTGGACCTCTCACTCTACTCCCCAAACCATTACCTGGCCTCTGTGCCAGGAGGCTGCTGGCACTGAGGTGGGTTGCATAGTGAGGGGAAAAAAATCTTTGTATTTGGGAATAATTGGTAGCTTGAATATGAGCCACATTAGGCAATAATAGTATTATATCAATGGTACATTTCCTGCACTTAATGACTGTATGTAGCTATGTAAAATATTATTATTATTCTTACATTTTTAATCTTTAGAGATCAGCACTAAGATATTTGGGGATGAATGAATCGTATCTGCAACTTAATTTCAAAAGATTCCATGAAAGTAATGAGCATGTGCACACAAGTGTATGTATGTACCTCCACACTCATATGCACAAAGAAATAGGCAGCAAAAAAATATATCAAAATGATAACAATGGGTAAATCTAGATAAAGGTTATATGTGTTCCTTGAGCTATTACAGTTTTTGTGTAGGCCTGAAATTTTTCAACATTAAAAAAAAATTTTGCAAATAAAGTTTATGGCTTCTAGAGAACTGACAAATATTACCAGTTCTAGACTATTCTTGTGATCACTAGGACCCCTTACAAACAAAATAGAAAAGAAAATCAGTTTGACCTACAAAAATCTTAGGGAGTAAGGGTTGATTTTAAGTTCTGCCTTTTTAAGCAAATGTATGCACTAAGTAATATGTGATCTTTTGACATTCATATTTGCATTCATACCCTGCCTGATGCCCTTGCCCTTTCCTCACTACATCAGTTTCTGGTGTACTTTTGGTACTGTTTGCTTTAGTTATCCTTATGTGGGTATGGAAAGCATCCTTTCTGGTCCTGTAATAATATATAGCCAGTTCTGGGAGTTCACCACTAATGAGAACCTAGAAAGATTCTGATAATTCATCTGCAGAAGGCTAATACCTATTAATAAAATGTGCCCTTGGACAGTACTATATTGGCTATTTTCCGTATATCCAACGAGTCATTTTCTCTCAGTTTTTAATTGGACAGTACTTCTAAATAATCATTAGAGACATTTATTCCATTCCTAGGGGCATTTTGATGAATGTCTAGTAGGAAACATTTAAGTAACTTTCTTCCCTACTTTTGTTAACAGCTTCCTGTGCACTCCTTTCATTTTCCTATCTTTTCTTGTATTCGATATCAAGTCTTCATTTAGATGATTTTACAAGTTTAGTGGTAGAAAGTGTTCTGGGATAATGTCAGTGAACTCTGGGATCTCCATCTCCAGTTCATTAATGGTCACTAATGCTCAGTAAATTAAAAAAAAAAAAAATCTTGCTTGTAAGACCTAGATACCTCTTCTTTTGTATTGAACTTTAATCCTTCCTCATCACCTCCACGCATTTAGTTTTTTATCTTTGCTTAAATATTATGTTCAAATTATTTTCCACTCTATATCCCCAGCCCAGAAAAATTACATGGTGTTTCTGGACTCTCAGACAACAACATTCATTTGCCATAAAAAACGCTTACTGGTGGTTCGAGAGCTCAAGGAGCAAGGGCAGCAGGTGAATCTGGGTGAGTGCCTGCATGAAGTCGCTGTGACTTGTGATGTGGGGAACAGTTACCACTGCACATTGTCTAAGCTGTTTGGTGTCTGTTGTCCATTTTCTGTTGCTATAACAGAATACCTGAGACTGTAATTGATTTTAAAAAAAGGTTTATTTTGGTGCATGGTTCTGGAGGTATAAGATTGTGATGCTGACTCTGCTTGGCTTTGGTGAGGGCTTGATGGCAGAAAGGCAGGTATACACATGCAGAGATGTGTATTAAGAGAGTGAGAGGTGGTGCCAGGCTTGCTTGTAAGAGCCCATTCTGAAAGCCACCAATCCAGACCTGTAAGAGCAGAACTCACTCCTGTGAGGAAAACACTTGTCCTCTTGACCTAATCACCATTTAAAGATCCCAGCACCTCTCAGAGTCGCATTGAGTGTTAAGCACCAGCATGACTTGAGTGAGGACAAACTGTATTCAAACCATTGTAGTGTTCCTCTTGAAATTTTATTTCTGTCCTATGACAAGAAATACATAACTCTTTAGGGGCTATGTATGTCTTGTTTGTATATTGGAGAAGGGCCTGGGGTCAAGATCAAGTATGATTCAGAAGAGCTCTGTCCAAGTATCCCCAGCCCCCATACAGCCAGCCAAGCAGTGAGTACTTCTGGGTTCCACAAAATGAGTTTTCTTCATTTTCCCCCCTCCAAAAGAGGGGGAGAGGGAGAGAGAGAGAGAGGAAGTTTGATAAACTATGTGTTTACCATAAACACTGTATTTACTCTTACCTTACTTGTTTTGAGTTCAACTTTGTGGTAAGTTTTATTGATCCTTCTGTATGTGCTGATTGACTAGTCCATTTACCTCACTGATGGTAAACCACATTAATAGGTCTTCGTCTACATCCTGCTTTTCTAGATGATGAGGTACACCTTGGTCAAGAGTCAGACCTCTTCTCTGAAACGAGCAGTGTTGTGAGTGGCAGTGAGATGAGTGGCAAATATTCTCATAGTAACTCCAGGATATCAGCGTACGTATCCTATCTAGTCAGCACATTGACCAGCCCCTGGGTAAATGGAGAAGTAGAAGGACAGTGCAGTGGAGAGGGGAGGATATTCTTCAAAGCCAGAGGAAGTTGTGCAGGGATTTCCCAGCATTATCTCTGAGATGAAACTTGCCTTTAACTTTACTTAGTGCGTTGTTATAGAATTCAGGTTATTTGCTCTTCTAGTCATGTTCCAGGATATTAACTCTGTATTTCAACCAAAAATCCAAGGAAAAACATCACTCCTTGGGGTTTTCCTTGTTTATTTCCTGCTTGTAAGACTTTCTCCCATTTTATATTATGTATGGCTTTAATACCTCAATACTGTTTCCCTCCAAGTACTAATGTGCTCTGTAGACTATTTAGTTTCCCAGAAAGTGGTGGCCAACAGGTATATTCATTTTTAATCTGTTTGGCACAGGCCCAGCCTCCTTTTAAACATCTCTAATTTCTGACAGGCGATCATCTAAAAATCGTCGCAAAGCAGAGCGGAAGAAGCACAGCCTCAAAGAAGGGAGTCCACTGGAGGATCTGGCCCTTTTAGAGGCTTTGAATGAAGTGGTACAAAGCATTGAAAAGTTGAAAGGTATGTTCTCAATAGAGGTGATGATGAATTTTTTATTTTTTTAAGACAGAGTCATTATATAGCCCAGGCTCTTCTGGAACTTTTTTTGCCAATACTGGAGTTTGAATTCAGGGCCTCATGTTTGCTAAGCAGGCACTCTGCCACTTAAACCATGTCCCCCCAGCCCTGGCCTGGAGCTCTTGACTCTCCTGCTTTCACTTCCTGAGAGCTGAGGTTACAGTTGTACACCACCACACCTGGCTCATCTAATGATGATTCTTGACCACAAAAAAATGGGACCATAGGCAAGTACAGTTTAGTAGATAAATACAATTTCCTCAATTTGAGGGAAGAAGGAAATTTTCAGCAGAGAGGTCACTTCAGTGCATACTCCTAAAACAGCCCTTCTTAGCTGGTAACCTAGAAGCCTTCCTACTTGGTGTCCACCTGACAGGACTGTGAGAGATTAGCACTGAAGCCAGGATGAAGGTTTGTGTGACACTGCTTCCTGCTTGTTTCCACTTTGTTTTTTCTTTTGTAGTAGATGTAGCATTTGGGAAGAAGAAAATGTGGAAGAAAGCAACTAGTGTGTGACATTTGAAATTTTTTGCTTGGGGAAGAAACTATGGTATGATTCTAGCAATGGAAATACGGACACAACCTAACCACTCTCTCAAATTTCTTCCCTAGATGAAGTGCACAGTATTTTAAAGGTACTTTTCCTCTTTGAGTTTGATGAGCAAGGAAGGGAATTACAGAAGGCCTTTGAGGATTCTCTGCAGCTGGTGGAAAGATCACTCCCAGAAATCTGGACTCTTACATACCAGCAGACTTCAGCCACACCTGTAAGTTTTCTCCAAGAGAGTGTGGATTTTCATCATTTTCAGTGGTTATTACAGTCATAAAATCCTGTAAAAGTAAAAAAGTTCCTGCTTTTAAAACACCATGTGCCATAGTTAGTTTTTAGGTGTTTAAGCTGTCAGTAATATTTCATATTTTCCTGCTCAGTGATTAGTACACCTTGGCAAGGTTAAGTGGGTTGTTATTTCTCTGTTCCACTTAAAACAGCTGTCATAGAGGATATGGGAATGTCTGATGAGGATGAAAGATGGAGTGGGGAGGAGGAAAGCTAGGGTCAGAGTTAACCTTTACCTCCCTGTTAGGAAGTTGGAGAGCGGGGCTGAATTGTATCCCATCAAGAATTCTCATGTATTGTCATCTGTTAATTTATTGTTTATACCTCTGCTCACTGTCTCGCCTATCATGTCTATATGGACAGTTTGATTTGGATTCAAAAAGGCTGGTATATTAGGGTTCAGGAAGGAAAATAAAAACCATACCTATTATTTGCTCACAGAGAGCTTAATACAGGATTGGTTAAATAAGCACTGGGGGACTAAAAAGGCAAAAGGGGAGCACAGGAGGGAGGCATAATGAGAGAGTAATTAGGAGCAGCTTCTACTCCTGTAGTTCAGGGAATGAAGGGAAAAGGCAGGGAATTATTATAATTCAGAGCCAATACTTCTAGACCACTGAGAAAAGGGTGCCAGCCAACTGATCCAGGTAATTCTGGGGACCATAAGGAGGCTGGTTCTAAGCATACAGAAATAAATGAAAGCTTGAATGAACAATTGCTGCTGGGTTAAAAGCAAGCAAAATCCTTCTTCCTCCAACCTTGCACTTTTCCTGGCATTCCCTGTTGGTGGAGCATAACAGGGAGCCAGCTGACAAAGAGGAATGTTCAGGCTCCAAGCAGTGTAGAAAAGGGTGGGTTTGATGCTTAGTGACAGGTTGTAGTAATCACCTCACTGGTTAGAAACATTGGCCTCCTGCTGGGTCTCATTCCCTCAGTTAGAAGTGGGCATAGGTTCCTTGAATACTCCAGTGGAATGTTTTGAAGGTTGGGTAAGAGGGTAGATGTAGAAGCACTTTACAAAGCACAGATATAAAAGCAAGTAAGAATTGGGACCCCACAAATGCTTGAATTTATTATAATAGATACTTACTAGAAAGGATGTGATGGTCTTCAAAGGTGTAGCGGTTTGAGGCTAACAATTCAAAATGTGTCCCCTCCCTGCTTCTGTTCATATTACATCAGCTTCTAAGACACCAACTTTATGAACCTCTCAGGGAAAATGACTAGGAAATGTGTGCGTTTGTTGTGGTCGGCAAAGTGTAGTAATGGGATATGTTCAGGATCCCATGTGTCACTTGACTAACGTGCTGTTGGGGCATGGCATTACCCCTGACAGACAACGTCCTGCCCAGGGACTGCACACAGAGATGGGGGTGGGAGTGCCCAGAGGCTTGCATTCTGCTCATAAGACGCGCATATTTGTATTTGTGTTAATATAATGTGACTGTTTCCACAAGTCTTCAAGCACGTAAAATGGATACTCAGTATATTCTATAGTCTTGTACCCCCCAGGGATATGGCTTGCTCATTTGGAAATGTGAAGCATATATTGATGTAGAGTGCAGCCCTCCTTCCATTATTACCTTGTTCTTCTGGGAGAAAGGAGAGTTAAAAGTCTGAGTTGAGAAGCTAGTAAATTAAAATCGCATAGGAAAAGATAATTACTGTGATGATACCATACTAATAAAAATGGCAGGCTGTTTAGAGGTTTGGCCTGTTTTTTTTTTCAATCCTCAGTAGTGTAAGCTAATCTTTGCTGATGTAGTTTATTTTCTATTTAGGTTCTAGGTCCAAATTCCACTGCAAATAGTATCATGGCCTCATACCAACAGCAGAAGACTTCAGTTCCTGTTCTTGGTTAGTATCTCTTCTCTGCCATTTACCACTGTAGTGAGCAGGACTGTCTGTAGCTGTGGTGAAGGTCAGCAGTTTAGGGAGAAACTGGGCATTGGTGATGATCCCCCTAAATTCTGAGACTACATCTTTAGTAGATTGATTGAATGCTTCAGTAGTTGGGGGGGAGGGGGCGAGGGTCCAATGTGACATTAGATAGATCATTTTTATGTATGTATGGCATATATTTGTCCATACATACCACAGTTGCAGTTTGATTCTAAACTGTCTACATTTACATACACGTTTGGAAGATTCTTCTGAATCATTATTTTTGGCTCTTGGCAGTTTTGCATCACATCATGAGGATATTTTCGTAATTCTTCCCCTTTTATCACCTTTACGATTGATAATCTATCACATCCAATAATGTTAGCATTGTGTGTCATTTCCTATTTACTTATATGTAAAACATTTTGTTTGTTGGGGAGCGATGGCTCTCAATTAGATTACATATTCGTAAGTTAGAAGCCATAAAGACTAGCCTAAAGTTGGCTGAAAACTTTTGACAGATGAATTTGGCACCTAATTATTTACTGTTCAGGTGTATCACTCGAGCATACCAACCTCTCTTGGTTTTGAAAAGAAGTGATATGTTCAAAAATAATTGGCCTTTTTTTAACTGCTGTTTGCAGTAACTATTTCTTTCATGTCACTAGCAACATTCTAATTTTTTTTCATTTAAATGCTACTCTGTAATAGCATTTTGATGACATTTGAAGTAGCCTTTGGGGGTTAAAATTAAGTTTATCTGTATAAACTTAATTAAGTTACTACTGCATAGTAACTACTATAGTCCCAGCTCCCTTTCTTCCTGGAGTTTGGCAAACTGTTCTTCATGTCAGTTTCAACAAATACATATTTCTGAAAGGCTAAAAATTCACCTTAGATCTGAGGCCATTTGGTAATTATTTAGTTTGTACTACGTCCAATCCTGTTCCATGTGCTTGTTGCTGCTGGCCTTATCATGGCATCAGTGAAGGATCGCTCAGTCACACCTTTCCCCTGGGTGTTCTTGATCTTTCCCCTGGGTGTTCTAGATGTCCAAAGAGCACTTCCAGCTGAGCTGTGAAGAGTGAAATATTTGAGGGCTCCTCATCTGAGTGTGTATTATCATTGTCTGGCGGTTGCAAGGTTGTGTAGGGAAAAGGTCCTCATTGATCCAAAAGTGGCATTGATAGGCTACTTACAAAATCAGTCTCACTCAGATTCTTCTCAACCTGCCCTTTCCCAGCTCACAGTGTTAGGTACATTCACACAGTGCTCCATGGATTAGCTACTTGATGGGTCATTTTCTGTGACTGTTTCTGTGCAGTGCAGTATCATGCAGATTGATTGCAAATCTTCTAAAAATGTAGGATTTCATAAAATGTATTAAAGTGATATTAGAAAAGTGCTTGAATCATAGCCATTAATGGATAGCAAAATGAGTGCTTTAGTGAAAAAGATTTGACGACAAAAGAATTGAGAGGTTCTTGGAAAAATTGAAAAGCCCTCAAAGAATTTTTATAGAAATGACTTTGTGTCATGAAATTCAAACATAGAAATGTGAAAGATGTCATATCTTGCTCTCGTATAGTTTGTCAGAATAACTTCCTGCCAAAAAAGTCAATACTTGGTATTTATTGTTAGTGAAGTCTATAGTTACAGTTCTATCTGGTTTTCAAAATAAGTTAGAATACTTTCATAGTTTGTTTCTTTTCTTAAGACAGCCACATTTAAACTTGACTCACTATGGAATTTGGATCTGTTATCAATGAATTTATGTAGTTGGTATTTTCAGTATTAGTGTTCTTACATAACCAAAACCCCTCATGGACTTTTGTCTGTGGGATGGAGTGAAGAGTAGTAAGTTATGTGTGAGTGTAAAATAGATAATATGATCACTAGAGAAAGTCTTACTTGTAAAATGTTAAAATTAAAATAGAAATTTCTAGGTATAAAATACATGTGCATATGTTTACATGAAATAAAAATCATGACTTTTTAAAAAAGTTATCTTGATTTTTCTCACATTGTTAAATACTCTTTGAAAATCTTTAGTCCATTTTCTCCGGTTATTTTGGAGATGGGGGTCTTGTGAACTGTTTGCCCAGGCGGGCCTCAAACATTGTCCTCCCAATCTCAGCCTCCTGGGTAGCTAGTAATACAGGTGTGAGCCACTGCCACCTGGTTGAAAATATTTTTTAATATCTATGTGCTGTATCCCACAGGTGTACTGTGGGAAGTTTATCATTAATAATTCTGAAAAAAGAACATCCTTGCATATACATATTTTTTCATATCTCTGCTTCCTGTATGTGATTCCTAATTAGATAAGAGACTCCACAAATGTAACTGCAAGAGTGTTCAGGAGTTTTAGGTCGCAGTGATTGAACTTTCCTCCAAACCCCCTAATTTACATGTTTTTTTAAGCAGGGGTATCTTAGTTGATCAACCTGTTCATAGAGGTTTGAGTTCTTTTTTTTGGTGGTACTGGGGCTTGTACTTGCATTTGCACAGCAGGTGCTCTATTACTTGAACCATGCCTCCCAAACCCTCATAGAGTTTTATCATGAAGTATCCTTAGTCATATCACTTCGTATGTACATACCACTTTTTTTAACTCCTACAATTGAGGTACATTTTACACGTAGTAAAATGCAGAGATCTTGGGTGTACTATGCACTGCCATGTACCCAGAACCACCCCTCCCCATTGAGATACAGAACTTTCTACTTTGAATCACTTATCTGAAGTTGAATGCGGACCCTCTTTTCAAGGCAGGGACTCCAGACTGTGTGTGCTCTGAGCAGCAGGTTCACAGGTAACTAGTTGCCTACTTTGTTAGCATAGAATTACTGCCGAGCTCCCTTCAGCAAGAGTTTGTCTATCACAATTTCCCTTCCTTTCTTACAGATACTGAAGTTTTTATACCACCAAAGATCGACAGAAGAAACCAGTGGAAACTGAGCCTGCTAGAGTGACTGGCCCCAGCTAGGAAGACTCCAGCAGAGAAGACCAGTTTCCACTCACTCCCAGCTGTTCTCCCAGCCCTGGCTCCTTGAGGCCTGGCAGTCGAAAACCAGGGACATTGCTGAGGGCTGCTGTATGCACCAGACCTCAGTATACACCAGGCAGTTCTGTTTTTATTGTACTTTGGATATACAACTTGATCATTAGCAAACTTGAAGTTTTAGCCAGTATATCATAATATTTTAAAGATTGCTGTTCTTGTATGTAGCACTGTGTGAGAGCATGATTATTTATGACAGTCATGAGATTGGGTCTCATTCCCAGCTACAGATCACACTGGGACCTTTGACAGATCACGTAATTGATTTGTATCCCAGTTCTTATCTGCTAGTAGGGAACGTTTCATGGCTTCTGCCTCGAAAATATGAAGACAAATAAAATAATGTCTTTTTGGTTTTTTTGTTTTCTGAAATAGGATCTCACTACCTTGTAGTCCAGGCTGGCTTCATTCCCCTGTCTCATCTCCCTAGTGCTGGGATTAAAGGTATGTCCATGACACTTGGTATAAAATAACTAGGAGAGCATTATATATAAACAGACTTTAGTACTACCAACATTTAGTCAGATATAATCACTTAACTGGCCGATTTTCACCTTAAACTAAGACAGGATAAAAAGTATTATCTAATTAGGTCATGTGCTTCCAATTTTAATAGGACTGAGCCTCCAATGACACTGTTAAGGAGTTAGCAGCATTTGAGCTGGAGCAGATTAAAATTTCTGAAGTAGAATCATGAACATTTGGTATGGGTAAGCAGTGCACTTTGTTCTCCAAATACAGCTTCCTTTAACTGAAATGTTTTTGTCAGTATCTGGGCCATCTCTTTTATTTTTCTTTGTGGTGTTTAACTGATCTCTGTTTCATTCAGTTTCCAAAAGAACTTTCAGTTATTTTCTTTGGAAAAGTGAGAATGTTTTCTCTTTTTGCAAGTCTGGAAAAAGCCCCAGTTTATTTTGATAAGAGTTTTGTGGCTAATCCTTGGGTAAAGTTAAAAATTTCTCCCATGCTTTTAACAGCAGCAGAACCAGACCTTCACTATTGTGTAAGCAAAGAGGAAATGCTGTTTTGATCCTCAGAGTATATATCTACTCAAAATTATAATTTGAGAAGACTTTCCTTATTATACTCAGTTCTTTTCAGTACTGGGGTTTGAACTAGGGCCTCTCACTTGCTAAACAGGTGCTCTGCCACTGCCTCCAGTCCTTTTTTCTTTCATTATTTTTCTGATAGGGTCTTGTGTTTTTGCCTGGGGCTGGCTTTGGACCATGATCCTACCTGTGCCTCCTACATAGCTGGTATAAGGCATGCATCACCACACCAGGCTTGGTTGAGATGGAGTCTCACTAATTTTTGCCCAAACTGACCTCAAACTGCATTCTTCCTGATCGCTACCTCCCAAGTAGCTGGGATTCCTGGTGGGAGCATCTGGCTAGTAAGATGTTAACTGTAGAATCTAGGAGTATGCAATGTAGGGTAACTCAGCTTTTCTGTAGATTTGAAATTTTTCACAAAACAATTTTTAAAAAGATTATCTACTATGCTTTTGAGAATCTGCTTTTTGACTCATATCCATAATGGGTTTTCTGTGATTAGATGCTCACCTTTGAAAGGTTGCAAATCAAGGTTGCATTGTAACTTATATGGCATTTTAATATACTGTAGTGCTCTTGCTTTGAATAATAGTAAAGAGACCCATGCTGATAGACTAGAAATAGAAGTAAATGTCTTTTAATAATGGTGTGGATTTTCAGTTTCCTTAAAATAATGTATTAAAGCAGCAAGAATTAATTTGTGGGATGCAGATTACTGCCAATTACTGTCATCTGAGCAGGACTGAATTTTATTAGTTTGGAGAAACAGCAGGCAGGAACTGACCTTCCACACTAAAGGTCAAGCCATGGAAGAAATCCTAGGCAAAAGATGGAGTGAATGGGAAATGGAGAACCTCCAATGAGTGATGAATACTTTATTTGGGGAAAGATTCTGTTGAGTTTTAGAAAAGACTACATACTCTTCCCTAAAATTTGGGCTCTGTCTGAAAGTTTTCTAGTTCCATGAATCAAATACCTCTGCTCAAATGTTCCATGCATCAAGAGGGAACTTGTAGAGGGCTGTCTTCCTCTGTCAAAGTGGATTTCAGATTCACACTTTTTAAATCACTGAGGTAGGAGCTAATGTTTGAGGTTTCCTGTTGCTGAGGGTTGCACTCAGGGCCCTGCCCATGCTAGGCAAGTGGTCCTCCACTGAGTTACATCCTGAGCCCTCATATTTTTATTATGCCATTATAAGTTCTTGTAGTATCTTAGTACTGCCACAAATTTTAATTTTTCTCTATGTGTGTGTATGCACATATACATAGGTATATATATACACACACACACACATAGGTGTATATATATATATATATATATATATATATATGTAATACATATATGTATTGTGTATACACAGTACATGCAAACATTTGAGAAATTTGTCATTGCCATAACTGAAGAGGGTGTTTTTAAAAAAAAAAAAAATTCTTAGTAATTTAAAGGTTTTGCAAGTTTGGGAAGCAAAATTGAACTTTTTCCTTCTCTTGTATCAGTCAGTCCATACTGTACAAGCCTTTGGTAGTCTTTAGATGTTGTAAAGGACTCCATCTTGTCTGGCAGGACGACTGTTTTACTTTGTTTTGCAGAAACTTTTTCTGAACTCAAGCAGAACCCCACTCACATCTTATTGACAACATATTTGATCTCATGATGCCACAGAGAGGATTGTACAAGCTAACAACCACCTACCTTGGCAAAACATTGAGAAATGTTTTGGAACAGTTAGATAAACCAAAAAAACCAAAACATCCACAGTATATTTCTTTTACATCTCAAATGCTTATAAACCTTAGCCCTAACCTCATTCTGGGGTGATATCTTTTAGTATTGGTCCCTTTTCTCCCTTGGAGAGTGAATAAAACTTTGCTTCTGCTTCATTTCTTGTTTTTCTGTGAAATCTTTCACACCCAGCATACTAGCCTCATGAACTGGACCCTAGCAGGTATTATCAGTATCTCAGAGGCTGTAAACAAGCTAAACCTCTAATGGTGCTGTTTGGCAGCACCGAAAGCCTGCTCTTCTACTATATACCCTACATAAGTCTCAGGATCTATGTCTCTATGCTTCTAAGCCCTTGCCTGTGCCTGCAGTAGGCTGTTCCACTTTTACTCAATTGGTGTAAGGTCCCAGAAGTTCAAGAACAGCAGGTACCTCATGGCGTAAAGGAAAGAATGAGGCTTTGGGCTGAGTCCACTAATCTTAATGTCTTTGGGTAAAGTTATTTCCTCCAGCCCTATGTGCCCATTGTACTAAGCAGAGTTTCTGAACAATATTGTTGCTGACATTTTGAGTTGCATCATTGTCTGGACATCAGGGTAGCTTTCCTCCACATTGTAGGATACTTAACAACTTCCCTGGCCTCTACCCATTAGATATCAGTAGTATACACTCCCACCCCAGTTATTATAGCCAAAAATACCTTGGACATTGTCAAAATTACCTCCATTTGCAAACTACTGGGCTTAGATGGCCTCAAAATACTTAAAATACTAAATCTGCTCCATCTTTTTTTCATGAAGATGATTCTCTTTTTCTACTAGGGCAATTGTAAGAATCAATTGAGATAATTGAAAATACTTTGAGAAAACAAGCGATGTTCAGCTTTACATTGGTATTTTTAAATGGACACTTAAATGTTAAAAATTAACATTTTAACCCAGGAACATCCTAGGAACCCTGTTCTCCAGGAGCAGCACCTACCCCTCCCATTCATCAATACCTTCGCCCTTTTGGGCATCCTTGAATTGGGGTTCATTAAGCTGAAAGTACAAGTGTATATCTGTATGGTTGGTTTCCTCTGTAATCCTATATATTTTACTTTGTGCATTTAAAAACATTATTCCAAGGAGGATTCCTCTCATAGGACTTGCCAGCCTGCAAAAGATGTCCAAGGGTTAAGAACTAACAAACTTCAACTTGCCCCCCTTTCACTTCAAAGTACCCAACTCCTGACTGAACCCTTCATATAGCAGGGTTCAAGGAGTCATCATTCTTGCTCAACTCAGATGCCCTTCTTTGGTTCTCCACCTTTGCTTCCCTACTGCAGCTTGCTTGTGCAGCCAGGTATGCTTACTCACAGGCCTGGATTCAGACTCCAGTGGGTAAGCCTTTCCTAGGCTGTATAGGCAAACCCGGAGGCTGCGAATGAGGCTCTGGAAGGCTTCACCTGGTAGAGATGCCAGCTCTCCTGAAGGCTGACTGTGTGAAGAGGCTTTTGAGTCAAGATATTAACTAGCTATGGTGAGCACTTCCTGGAGACCAAAGCCTGATATTCAGGTGTTTTATATGTGGTTTTACATCAACTGTGTAAGGTAGGTATTCATAATCAGTGTTATGGATAAACGAAGATCACAGAGCTAGCTGGTAACGATTTCAAATCACAGGGGGCAAAGCACACGTTCTTTCCATTATATTCTGCTGCCTGCTAATGTTGAGATTCTAAACCTTAAAGACAGACAGAAAGTGTATTGGTGACTGTTCTAAAGAATTATATGGAGGCCAGGGAGGATGGCTCATGCCTTTAATACTTGGGAGGCAGAGATCAGGAGGATGAGGTTCTAGGCCAGCCTGGGCAAAATGTTGAGACCCTATTTCAAGCAGTAAGCCAGGTGGTGTGCACCTGTGATCTCTGCTCTGTGGGAAGCCACAGGTAGGTAGATCATGGTTTGAGTCTGGCCCAGGCAAGAGTGCAAGACCCTATCTGAAAAATAACTAAAGCTCAAAAGGGATGGGGGTGCAGCTCAAGTGGCACAGCACCTACCTACCTAGCAAGCCCTGAGTTCAAACATCAGTACTGTCAAAAACTAAAAAGAATTTCCCATTTGGTGCTCTCTAATTATAAACACCCCCTACAGGACTACTTCAGAACTTGCTGGGTCAAGGAAGGGCTTCCCTGGCTACTGAGGGTCAGCATGTTCTTTTGCATTCCTCAGCTGGATTTGAATGACAAGCATAGGGCAGCCTCCCACAAACTCACACCTTCAGCTCCAGAACCTGCAACCTCCATCGTGGCCCAACTGTATACTCCACAGGCTGACAGAGAATCCAGTGTGTGATGACATGCGCAGTTACTTGAAGTTCCTAGTACTGATAACTGACGATAAATGTTACCCATTCTTAACAAAGGGAAATCTACACAGCCTCTCATTGTCTAAAGAGCTACTTCTTTAGTGTACCTTACCTTGCTCATATCTGCTAGTCTTCAGCCATTCACCAGGATGGTTTAATAAGAACTGGTATTGAGATGTAAGTGACTAGGAATTTGAAGAAGATGGAGTTAGAACAGAGGCCGCACATCTTCATTAGCAATGTCTAAGCCTTCAGAATTGCTGGTGAAGTATTAAGTATACACTGCTTCTTCAGGAGATTGGGCTTTTACAGCATTCTACCTATTGATGTTTAGAAAGGGAGCTTATCTACCCCAACGGCACTTACTGTATAATGTCACACTCCCCACTCCATGCTGATTTTGGCAGTAGTTTGTAAAGTGGGGAGCACACACAATAAGGGACACTAATTTTAGAGCTAGTTTCTTCCAAGAGAAAGTGCTGGTTAAGCAATCACCATATAGTGCATGTCTATTTGGTACATTCTCCCTCCCCCCGCCACTTTTGTTTTGGCAAATGTATAATTTAAGGCAGATGCTGTATCTGTGGGGTTGTTCTTAAGTCAGGAAAGAGACACTGTGGAGGGGAGATGAGGTGTGTTTAATGCTACAGAAACAAACGTGCTAGTTCAGCTCACTGTGGGTAGGATGGGCTCACCCAGCAAAGCTGAGAGACTGCCACCACAGCTGCCCTGCCTCAGAGTTCAGAAGCACCTTCTGTAGAGGAAGAAAGGCCCATGTTCCTCATACTCGAAGCGGTGGACCCACAGTGGTTGGAAACCCTGAAGCGAGGCCAAGATAGAGCCACCAGTCCACACTGCAGTGTCTCTCTCAGGCAACACATTTACCTGTGGGTTGTCATTGGGGCACATGCTGCTCAGCTCCTTCTGCAGACGGTTAGGGAACCCGCTGAGCATAGTGCTGCCCCCGCAGAGCAGGATGTTCCCCATCAGTCCCGCTTGAGGGCGATGTCACACTTGTTAAGGCAGGACACTGTCTGGGTGTGAAGTCCTAGCTGCATGGACTTGATCAGAGATGGCTTGAAGAACATCTCTGAGCAGAGGAATCTCTCCTGGCCCAGGTGGATCTCTTTCCCATCAGGCAGAGTATACTGGATCTCGTGCTGAGTAGGTGGGACCTTCTTCTCTTCGATGGGGTCCAGGGCCACAAAGCAGCATTTCGTCTTGATGTCCTCCACGATGCTCATCTGGTCCTCAGTGAAGCGTTTCCCTGAATCATTCATCAGGCTCATCAGGTAGGCCGTCAAGTCAGAGCCTGCATAGTCTAGCCTTCCAGTGATGCTGGGCAAAGGGTAACCCTCATAGATAGGGACCACATAGGACACGCCATGGCCGACCTCTACCACCAGGCCAGAGGTCCTCCCATAGGAGTACATGGACAGGCGGGACTGGTAGGCGATGTGCATTGCAGGTGTGTTGAAGGTTTCGAACAGCATCTCGGCATACTTCTCTCGGTTGGTGTGGGGGCTTAAGGGCGGGTCTGAAACCAAGACTGCGTGCTCCTCTGAGGCGATCTTCATCTCTTGTTTGAAGAGATACTCCCAGATATCCTGCACTGTATCCCAGTCCACAATGATGCCATGTCGCAGGGGGTTGATGAGCCTGAGACGAACCTGTGGACTGAGGAGTTCCTGTCCCACGAATGTCTCCTTGCGATTATCCCCAGTCTTGGAGGTCTCCATGTAGGGCTTACCCACCATTGTTGAGATCCTGTGGGTGGGCTTGGGCAGGCCAGCAAAGCCACATTTACAGTAGCCAGTGCCAAGGTCCACAACCACTGCTTTGGTCGCCTCTTGCTTGGGCTTCTCATTGGACAGTGTGGATTTCACAGCTTCTTCTGAGCTCCCACTGTTGCGGCGGACCCATACTGCCCGCTTGGCTGGGCCCTCCTTTAAGGAGGCAGTCTGGAGGACCTGTGTCTGCAAGGAGGCCTGCTCACCCACTTTCTTGGCAGGACCATCCCCGATGTTTACTGTCTGTGGAGCCCACACACTGTCAAGAGCCATACTGCTCCCAGAAAGTTCCTCAATCCCGCTGGCTTCAAGGCCTGAAAGGCCTAAATCAAAGGAGAGCATGAGAATTTTCCCACCAATTACGTCACTGATTATGACATAATCCAGTGACCCGGGGCTTTCTAGCCACTGGGAACCTTTGTCCTGGATTTGGTACACTTTAGGGTATTAGTTTTGAAGTAGACCCCTCTGTAAATTTTGTAATAAAAGCAATTTATTCGTTTAATTGATAGTTACTGAGTGTCTGTGACATTCAAGGCAGCTGGGAATACAGCAGGGAAAAAGAAATGACAAAAATCTGCCCTTGTAGGGCTTATATTCTAGTTGGTGGGGGTTGGAGGAGACAATAAGTGTATATTAAAACAGACGTTTTGCTTAGAGTGAAAGAGCAGAGAAGGGGGACAGACAGGGGGCAATGTTGGTGTGGTCTAGGCAGGGCTAGGAGATAGTAGCAGTTGTGTGAAAACCTGGAGGAGGTAAAGAAGAGACATATGCATGTTGGAGCAGCAGGTGTGGAGGACTGAGTCAAACGTGTGACTGATGACTTAGGGCAGGGCCAGAGGAATGAGGCCAGCTCCAGCCTCCAGCCTGTGGTTGTATATAAACTTACTGGAACATCGCCACACCCATTCATTTACATAAGCAGCCACAGTACAACAGTGAACTGAGTCATTGTAGCAAAGAGTTTATGGTCCAAAAAAGTTGAATGAAAATAAATATCAACTGTCTGGCCCTTGACAGAAAATATTTGCTGACCCCCAAGTTAAGAGAACCAGCAAGAAGACGAGGGTAAGTGGATGGGTGGTACACACCTGTAATCCCAGCACTTGGGAGGCTAAGGAGGAAGATCATGAATCCAAGACAACCTGGGCTTCATAGACACTGCCTCAAAAACCAAAAGCCCAGTGTGGTCAGTGGAAGAAGTCCAGAAAAGTAGATGAGATGCGAGAAGGGGAGGATGGGGGAGGGGGACCATCAGGCCTCAAGGGCAAGGACTATGGGCCTGGCTAGGTGAGCTAGAAAGCACTAGAGGATTTTGAGCAATGGATTGACACCGTCTGACTTAGCAAGACCCACTACTGCTGTGGTGACTATGCCAAGCTCTTCTGTAACACTTCGGATACTAAGGTTGACACTGAGGATGACTTCAAGAGGAATTTTTTGGATATACATTTTGTACTTCATCAGGGTCATGGGATAAGCAGTGACATTAGACCAGAATCCCACTATGAAAACACTGAGGCACCTAAGTGCATAACTCTCCCAAGAACACTCAGCCAGTGTGGCCAAGCTCTCCTGTTGGCTTCTTCCCCAGGGAGTGCTCTGGACACACCCTGATGAGACCTGACATGTGTCTCTGAGACTACTTAGACTCTGTCTGCCATCTCTACAGCTGGTCGCACTGGAGCCAACACTCAGCCCCCAGAATCCAACCTTATGGCAGCATCTTAGACCTCACTGGTCAGGTCACCTCCATGCTCATAAGAGGCTGATACTACAATGGGGATTGTTTTGGCCTTGTGGAGAACAAAAAGATGTAGATTATCTGATGGAAACAGCCAAATGGGAAGAAAGTACTCTTGGGACTCTCAGGCTCTTTAAGGAGGTGAGGCCTGGTGTGTTGCAGTTGGATGAACTTGGGTAAAAGAATCTTAAGAGCTCTTGGCTCTTGGGCGAGTCATTTGAATTCTTAACCTTTACCCAGCTCTGCCTAACCTCCCAGGAGTCTGAAAAGTAAGTACCTGGTACAGCACTTGACTTACTGGAGGGGGCTCAAGTATTTATCACAATCTACCAAGAAGCAGGAGATTTTGGAAAAGGTGTTCAGTTAGTGGATGGGAGTCAGGTGAGGAGATGTAACCTCTGAGATTGCAGTGTGCTTGGGTTTCTAAAATTGCTGGTCACCTGCTCTATCCTGGAATGAACTAGTTAGGGGGAGGCAAGCCAACCCCCCTCCCCATCTGAATGGACCAGCCCTAGTGGCATCACAATTCTAAGTGGTTGCCAAGGCACTGCTGGAGGTGGGCTCTCATTTCTCCCCACGGAGCTCTAGGATGTGGATGTGAGAAGGTGAGAAAGGCAGGCAAATGGCAACAAGGAACAACCCTAGTCCCATGCCCCTGGGCACAGCTCAGGGGGACCCTGGAGAGGCAGGCACACTGCCAGGCCCCGAGGCTGGCATCCGGGACACAGGTTCCACCACCCAACTGAAAACGAAGCCCAAGAAAGTGCGCAAGATCAAGGCGCTCATCATTGACCTGGGCTCCCAGTACTGCAAGTGTGGCTATGCGGGGGAGCCGAGGCCCACCTACTTCATCTCCTCCACCGTGGGCAAGCGCAGCCCGGAGACGGCCGCTGACGCCGGCGACACCTGCAAGGAGACCTACGTGGGCCACGAGCTGCTCAACATGGAGGCGTCCCTGAAGCTGGTTAACCCGCTGAAGCACGGCATCGTGGTGGACTGGGACTGCGTCCAGAACATCTGGGAGTACATCTTCCAAACGGCCATGAAGATCCTGCCCGAGGAGCACGCCGTGCTGGTCTCCGACCCTCCGCTCAGTCCCAGCAGCAATCGGGAGAAGTACGCGGAACTCATGTTCGAGACCTTTGGCATCCCCGCCATGCACGTGACGTCGCAGGCGCTGCTGTCCATCTACTCCTACGGCAAGACCTCGGGGCTGGTGGTGGAGAGCGGCCACGGCGTCTCGCACGTGGTGCCCATCTCCGAGGGCGACGTGCTGCCGGGCCTGACCAGCCGCGCAGACTTTGCAGGCGGCGACCTCACCAACTACCTGATGCAGCTGCTCAACGAGGCCGGCCACAAGTTCACGGACGACCACCTGCACATCATCGAGCACATCAAGAAGAAGTGCTGCTACGCGGCGCTGCTGCCCGAGGAGGAGCTGGGCCTGGGCCTGGAGGAGCTGCGCGTGGATTACGAGCTCCCCGACGGCAAGGTCATCACCATCGGCCAGGAGCGCTTCCGCTGCTCCGAGATGCTCTTCAAGCCCTCGCTGCTGGGCTGCGGCCAGCCCGGCCTCCCCGAGCTCACGGCCACTTGCCTGGATCGCTGCCAGGAGACCGGCTTCAAGGAGGAGATGGCCGCCAACGTGCTGCTGTGCGGCGGCTGCACCATGCTGGATGGCTTCCCTGAGCGCTTCCAGAGGGAACTGAGCCTCCTCTGCCCCGGGGACAGTCCCACCGTGTCCGCAGCGCCCGAGAGGAAGACCTCCGTGTGGACCGGCGGCTCCATCCTGGCCTCGCTGCAGGCCTTCCAGCAGCTCTGGGTGAGCAAGGAAGAGTTTGAGGAGAGGGGCAGCGCCGCCATCTACAGCAAGTGCTGAGGGGCGGGCCCCACAGGTGAGGCCTTGGGCGGTCGGGCCACTCTGTACATTTACAGAATTTCACATAAAACTTTAATGTGCAGCAGCTTGTGTCTGTCTGGATTTCTTGGTCCAATCGGAGTGCAGAATCCAGCACCTTTGGCTCTGCAGGGTGACAAGGAGGTGGGGGGTGGGGGCAGGGGAGGGAACCTTCTCACCTCACTGAGCCTTTCCCACCACACCACCTCAGGAGGGTGACATCTTGAGCTTTGAGTGTGGCTTCCTGTTTCATTAGTCTCTTTACAGTCAAAACCGGATTCAACAGTCACTCCACAATGCTTGTACAACCATAAGCCAAGATAGAAATGGCTCCAATGAAGGGGTCACTCCACATAGTTCATTGGTAGGTTGGAGGAGACTCAGAATCAGATGTCTGGCTCCAGTCTTCAGTTTGGGCGGAGAGGAAGAAGGGTGGAAGTGGGGTGGGTGGTGGGTAGAACTCTTGCCTTCAGACTTAATAACCTGGACAGTCACTGCTTAAGGCCTGCTCACTAGTCTTTCCTCATTGCCCAGAACCAGTTTCTGGCCTGGGCCTGGCTGGGTTTGGTGCCAGGCACAGGCCTGAGGCTTTTTCCCATGGAGAGAGGTTGCAGATTGGAGGCACATGGGTTGAAGGTGGCCAGCACAGTGTATACGTTTTCTTCTTGAATGTGAATTCTTTGGTGGAGCCTGTGTTCTCCAGGATCAGATGTCTTCATCCACATGTGCTGCTTCAACATAGCTTTTGCTTAATTAGCATTAGTTTCTGTTGCTTGCAACCCCAAACCTTTGACAAATATTAGTCATAAAAATATTATGAGTTACAGAGAGAGAAACTGAGGCTTATGGACGGGAAAGCAATTTGCCCCAGACCACAAGAAGTAAGCAAGTGCTACATGGGAACCCTCTTCCACATTCTGGTCTCAAAGATTCCAGGAACCATGTCTGTGTCCTTGTCTATGTCTGCCCCTCCCCATCTCTCCTCTCTCACCATCCCTCCTCTGCAACTTCTGCTGTGTCTACTCATAGCTTCTGTCCCCTCACTACCTGGTCATCTCTGAAAGCATCCCTTATGTGGCAGAAGCTGTTAAAGTACTCCATTAATCAATTAATCCTAGACATGAATTTATTTAAGCCAATCATGGACATTTAACTTTGGTGGAAAAAAACATGAGTCAGCGACTTCCACTGACTGTGTTTATTTCTTCTCCCTCTTAAGACTGCACTAAAGTGATGGTAGAGAATATAAATGTGTGATCCCACTGCAAATGAAAAAGATCATCGGGGAGTTGCAGGAAGCTAGAGATTTCTATCTGGTTCTTGAAGAAGGAGAGTGGTGGCAGGAAAGGAGCCAGGCAGGAAGGCTACAGCCTAAACAGAGAAGGGCACTTCCTGCAGAACAAGGCAACTTCCGATCCTGAAGAATGGCCAGAGGTGTGGGACCTCGAAATGCTAAGTAGGGAAGGACACTAGAGTTAAGTGTGTGAGTGAAAACAGGCTGAGGAGAGGTGATAACTAATGGCCTCTACCTGGAAGCAGTGCCCCCTCCCACACTCCAGGGGTACCAGTCTCTATAAAGATGTTTCTCCAGGTGGAGGGGAGTTGAAGAATTCTCTCTGCTACTACACAGAGGAGGAAAGCTCATGATCACTGCCTGCACCCCATGTCCCTTCAATTTGTGAGTCACATGCAGGTCTGGCTGATAACCCGAGGTGGAATAGCGATGCCACCATTTTCCCTTGTCACTTCCCAACAGCTCCCAGTTTCTGGATAGCGGATATGACCCAGATATGGCTGACTTCCCTCCAGCTCCAAGGGCAGAGCATGGGATTTCCGCTAAGCCAAACAGAACCAGCCAGAATGATTCAATCCAGCCCTGTGGAATGAGACGCGTGCCTTTTTCTGGGGAGGCTGACATGAGGTGGGGCTGTGTCCTAGAACTGCTGCACCAACATTTGTTCCCAGGAAGAAAGCCAGAGTGAAGCGGCCCCACCCAGGAGTGCATAGTTCAAAGAATCCCCGCAAGATGGAGCTGGTGGGTGCCGTAATGAAAGGAGACCTCTGAATCAAACCACGCCCGCGTGCCCTGATGCCGGGTCTTTCGGGTCCCTGAGCCAGTATGTCCAGCCTCTGTCATGCCAGCTAGAGTTGTATGCCTGTCCCTTGCCCTGAGAGCATTCTAGCTGCTTCAGTTTTCCTTAACAATGGAATTCCTTGGAGAGAGATTGCATGGAGGAGGATTAGGGCGGAAGTAGCCTCATCAATGAAATACTAAGACCAACTCCTTTTTTTCTGTAACAACCCCCCCCCCAAAAAAATTTCGTCACGGTATTAGAGAATTTCAGATACCACCCTAACACTTTCACGTGCAGAGTCCCAAGGGTCAGTTGGCCGCTATCTTGTAACTCAGAGAATCTTTGTCGTCTGTCCCCAGGGTTGGATGCGAGTGGCTCATGGGCAGATGCCTCCTGCATTTTGGTTTTCTCAAAGTAACATGAAGAGCACGGCACAAAGTGGGTACTGGATCCTTTCCAGATAGGTTCATTAATTCCCAGCCTGTGAGGTGGAACTTACAAGTATTTCCCCTTGTTTTACAGATAACACCGAGGTTTGGAGAGGTTGTTCACGCTCACCTCTATGGTAAATCAGTCTTGTGATAAATCAAAATTTTGTGATTCCAAAGTGCTACTTTGCCTTTATCCCCTACCTTTCTACAAGTTGCCAATCTCTTTTCTGAGAAAGAAAGACATAAAATTGCTTTCAAATAATGGACAACAAATAAATATTATGTAATTACATAGTCATCATCCTGAGATGCTGATGATTTATCTTGCCTGAGATTTCTGGAGACATAAACAAATGTTAGAATGATATCAAGAGCTGAGGTCCTGCCTACTTAGATGTGGCAAGAGGCATGTTACCTTCACTGCCCATCCAGGAGGCTGACCTCTCCTCATCCATTTTTTTTTTATCAAGTTTGAGCCAAAGGTTATTTGCATAAGGTGTTTCCTTTTTTAAGAAATTAAACTTTACCATAAGCCATTGAGAGTTTTCTGTTTAATGGATGTAATATACTGTCACATTATATCTCACAATTTCCTGTGACGTAGCGGTCCCTAACCAGAGGGGAGGTGAGAGTTGAGGTGTGGGGTATGCTGGCGAGTGCTGGTGGTTAAATATTAAGGGGTGAACAATTGGGAGTTTGAGCACAGTGGGAGTATTTACCCCCCAGAAATCAGCAAATGCAACAAATCACATCCCTGCCCCCCAGCTTGTTGGTTATTTTAGAACTATTTGCCCTGGCTAGCATTGAACCATGATCCTCCCAATCTCAGCCTCCTGGGTAGCTAGGATTATAGGGGTGAGCCCTAAAATCAGAATTTTTATTCCCGATACCAAGGCACAGTCACAAAAACAAAAATGCTATAACTGGACCTTATCAAAATTAAATTTATTTTGCTCTGTGAAAGATTTTGTTAAGAGAAGAAAAGACAAGCTATGTCTAAGTACAATTTACAATTCATATTAGCTCATATGCACAAAAGCAATAGGTGTAACTCAATGTACAGCGCTCCTATGAAGAGATCTACACTTTCTGATGAAAGAAAGCAAAGATTACATAAACTGAGATACAGTTTCCCATGTTCATGGACAGGAAAACTCACTATTACTGAAATGTCAGTTCTTCCCTTCTGGGTCTATAGATTCAACAAAATCTCAGTCACAATCCCAAAAAGTTTTTATGGGGCATCAACAAAGTAATTCTGAAATTTACATAGGCAAAAGGCTTAGAACAGCCAACACAATACTGGGGAAGCAAAGTGGGAGGACTAACATTATTCAGCTTCGAGACTTGCTATAAAACTACAGCAATAAAAATGGTGTAGTCTTAGTTAGAAAGCAGATAAATAGATCAAGGGAATAGTATAGAGAGCCCAGAAACAACAGACCTATACAAATACAGTTAATTGATCTTTCAAATCAGCAAAGGCAACTTGGTGCAAAAAGGAGGGTCTTTTAAAGGAATGATGCGAAACTACTGGAGATCCTTATGTTTAAAAAAAATGGAATCTAGATACAGATCTTACACTGTTCATAGAACTAAATGTAAATTGCAAAATCTATAGTGTCTAGAAAATAATTTAGGACTAAACCTAGGTAATCTTGGGTTTGTTTATGAGTTTTAAGATATAAAACTAAAAGCAAGATTTGTGGAAAAAATTGGTAAATTGGACTTTATTAAAATTAGAAACTTCTTTTCTGTGAAAGACAGTGATAAGAGAATGAAAAAATAAGTCACAGTCTTGAAGAAAATATTTACAAAACATACATCTGATAAAAGCTGTGTATCCAAATTATATAAAGAACCCTTAAACTTCAGCAGAAAAAAAGGAACCCAGTTAAGGAATGGGCAAAAGGGCTGGGAATGTAACTTGGTGGAAGAGCAGGTACTTAGAACATGCAAGGCTCTGGGTTCAATCTCCTTTTCCCCTACACGAAAAGGCAAAAACTTTCAACACTTGACTTTACCAAGGACAATATAGAGAAGGCAAATAGGTAGATGAACAAATATTAGGCAATGCAAAATGGTATAGCCAACCATCATGCTCCTAGGTACTTACCTAATTAAGTTGAAAACTATGCCTGTGCCAAAGCCTGTCCACAATGTTTATAGTAATTCTAGCCATAATCACCAAAAACTGTAAGCAACTGAGATGTCCTTAAATAGCCAAGTGGATAAACAGACCATACAATGAAGTTTTATTCAGAAACAAAAAGAAATGAGCTGTAGAACCACAAAAAGACATGGAGGAACCTTAAATGTATCCTGCTAAGGGAAAGAAGCCAGTCTGAAAGGCTGTTTAGTGGATGATCTCAACTCTGTGATATTCTGGAAAAGGCAAAACCATAGACAAGAAAAGGATCAGTGGACGCCAGGAGCAAGGGTAGAGCATGGAGGGTGGAGGGATGCATAGGTGAAGTAGAGGGGATTTGAGGGCAGTGAAACTATGCTGTATGATCCTGTTGTGGTGGACATGGGACATTAAACATCCATCAAAAC